CTAAAGCAGATTGGTGGAGATTAACTAAATAAGCTTGGAATAAACTGCAGAAATATAACCTCCAAAACTATCGTAGACTCTTAATTAATATGTGCTAATTGTAGTTGAGATCGAAAGCCCCCCATCTTTGCAAGATCACCTTTTACTCTTGTGCTCTAGATCGTCTCGTGGGCAGAATATATGTATACCATCTTTATGGTAACGAACACCCACTGTTATGTGATTACAGTATACCCTTTCAACCCTAAATTCTAGGGTATTAAGAGCAGAAAAAATTAATTCATGGTGTGCTCATTTCTTGAGCGAGCGCACAAAAAACCAAAAGAATAAGTTACAACAACAGCAGCAGCCAGAAACGTCAGTAAGTCTTAACACCAAGAGAGTCTCTATAGAGAGTCCAGCCACTCATCTACTACCAAGCAACCATCAACCAGCCCCATCACTCATAGTAGCTCCGGTGTCCGATCTCCGGTCAGGTGGGGATCCGGCCCTTTGACTGTGTGTCTCTTCTCTTTCTCTTTTTCTTCTTCTTTCGAATGGGGGTTTACGTCAGAGGCGCGACATTAGGCCTCGAATGATTTCATCATTTGATGCAGCATCAGCAGACAGGCATTGCGAGATCTTCAAGAGATCTTGGAAAGATCTTTTGTGGTTGGAGCAAAAGGCTGCAGTAATGACAATGAGATGGATGAGTGGTCAGATGCGTTGATGGGCTCTCAATCGGTTATTAGTTCTTCTAATGACCATCAGTCGCATCCACTAGCTGCAATCTTAGCTTGTGGCCTAATCATGTTCTAAAGAAATGCACAACCTAATTAGCTTTTGATTATGAAACTCTTAAATAACATGGCTTGCGCTGGAAGACTGTCTGAAAGCAGTGTCTTCTAAAGCCTGATTAGCCCAATTATCCTGACAATTTACATGAAAAGTGCAGCCAAAAAGGTGTGACTCTTCAAGGTTAAATCTATTTGTCTATATCTCAATTCTTGTATATGTATATATTATTTCCATTCAAACATCAAATTCTTTGTCTGTTTGTCAGATCTACAAATTTCTCAACAACATAACCCCATATTTCCACGCACAAACACACAAACTTTGCACACATACTTTAATAGCATCCAATTATATGCACATATAATCCACATTAAGCTGTGTGGAACCCAAGCCCTTCCTTCCATCATTCTACTGTGCTAAGGAGAGCACGAATGAGCGAGCGAGCAACTCTTCTGTGGCACGGCAAAGAAACCAACATAAAATAGTCTAAGAACTGAAATAATACCAAGCAGAACTATTACAAGAATCACCACGAGTAAACCACATGAAAGACGGGGGGGACCCAAGCAAAGAGCGCTCGCAGACGACATTAAAAGTGGGAAAATAAATGTAATAATGACATTTGTGGCCGTTAGGAGTTGGGATTCTTAACTGTTTGACATTTTGCGTAACCTTTTTCGTAGACATTTGGCCTTTATTCGGATTAACAGCATATTTCTTATGTTGTTTTTGTGCTTTTGTATGTAAGTCTCTCTCTCTTCCTCTCTCCCTCTCTGGCGAACGGAGGAGGAAGTTCGTTCCGAGAGGAACTTTAACAATCCGTTCCCATTGCCCATTGCCCATGCGATGCCGTGATGATGAACGTTTTTTCGTCTGGCCCACTGAACTGGCCAAGTTAATTGGAAACTGAAACTTTCAATTTCATGGCGAAATGCTAATTTCCCATCCAAAAGAAAAGTCAACTTGGTGGAAAAGTAGCTAGACGACAAAGCAGGGGGCACACAGAGGAAATGTGCAAAAAAAAAAAAACAGCAAATGGCAAGACAAAATGAAAAATGTCAGTAGAAGAAGCAACAGGTAAGAATATTATTGAAGTAGTCCAAGTGGCGATTGGAATACCCTTTCCAGAACCTACCAACTATTCAATATCCAATGTTTGAAGTCTTTACAGTGTTTACTTTTGCCATCTTTAGCCGATAAGTGAATAATGATTAATTGTAAGGTTGCATTCGATAACTAAATCGATCAGAGTAAAGATCAGACTAATCAATTGGGAAACTCCCTTGCCAGTGTCATGAGTGTATGTCTTTTAGGTAATGTAATGCTTTTATTTATTATTTTTCAGCCAGAGAGTTTGTTCTTACAACACGAAAAGAATCGACGTTTTCCCTTTCTTCGATCTAGAAGGGATCCATAAAAATTATCTGTTCTACTGCTGCGATCCCATCAATGTTTTTGTTTTAAGGATTATAAGTAGATTTCCCCCTTTTCCTTAAATTTCTCACCGTAAAATATGAATTTTTAGAGCAGCACACGACTAGGCCTGTGCAAGAAATTCTTTCAATAACTCCATCTTTGACCTAATCGAAAAAATTTTCGATGTTCTGAAATCTGAGTCACGGCCCAGAAGATACCCAATTCATGTCGCAACTAAAAGAAACTAATTGGTTGCCTGTTTTTCGGTTCAATGCCCAAAGAACGACAAAGCGCGCATACCCCCTTCCCGGTTAGGGAAGGTGAGGAAAAACAATTAAATTTTGAGTGGCCCGAAGGAAGGAGAGAGCGAAGCCGAGCGACATGGTGGATGGTGAAACACATAGTGTCTGAGAGAGATGGCCTGGCCTGGCCTGGCCCCGCTTGGTTGGAGAGAAGAACAACAGCAACGCGACGCGACGCGACGCATTTATTGACGTAGCCAAAACACATTAGCCACCGCTGCTGCTGCTGCCTCTGCCACTGCCACTGCCACTCGGTGGCTCGTACCGTACCCGATGCTGACTGAAGCTGATGGCGCAAACAGTGTTGCAAATGACCCAATTATCCACTGACCCACTCAACGCTCGACGGTCCGGTCTGCGCCGGTCCGGGTCCGGACCTCTGGAGGTTCAGACCTCGTTGTGAAAGCCCTGATGATGCGAGTTCCCCCGACGGTTGCAAATGGGAAATAGGCGTCTTTAGCAGCATTTAAAAAAAAAATAGAATACAGAACAGAACAAGCTGGATGATGAGAAAGATACAACCCTAAAATGGAGACATTAATTAGCCTAATGACGGGCACAAAATGCTTAAAATTAATTTGCCAGGTACGGTTATTACAGCGGTTAATCTTTTTCGCAAAAAGGTGAAAGGTTGGAGCCTGGACGGCACAGCCAATTCATCAAATTTTATCTGTCCATCCACAGTGGGATTCCAGCCACCTCCTCTACACTCTGGCAATGAGAAAAGACACCGTCTTCTGTCCTCAAGAGCTAATGTTTTGGGAAAGTTCATCTTCAAGTGCATTGCGCTCGTAGGCCTACGGAAACCCGCACGAAAGTTCTGTTTGTTTTTCCACCTCTCGTACGTGCCTCATTAGAAGATGAAGTCTTTTTGGGGTATCTTCTCCAATGTTTCGGGGCTATCAAAACAGCAATCAAGTTCTTTTTGTTTGACATTTCTGTTTACACTTTTTATTGAGTTCTCGACTTCGAACTTAATCAAAATAAATAGGGTTTTTTGTGTGTTTTTGTATGGGGGCGGGATACAGCTGTGGGGCTGGGATCGTTGTGGTTATAATAGAGGGGGCGGTTACTGTGTAAACTATATTGTTATTTGTGCAAAAACGATGCTTACGAACAAACAAACACTACAATACGATAGATAATACAATACAAACTAGTGAAAATAATAATTAAATAAATTAGCTTCGAGTGGTAATTTCTATCTGGGGAATGGTAACACAAGTCGCTGTCTGTCTGTGCTTGTCTGCCGGAACTTGCCAATGGAAAATCTGTGACATTTTCCAGCAGCTCTGAAGCTGATGCTGATGCTGAGACGAAGACTCGAAGCCAAAGTCGAAGCCGGAGTCAGAGTCAGAGGCAGAGTCGAGTAGAGCGGAAAACTTCCAAGCAATTTCAGTGCGCTTGCGCGCCCGCGTTCGTGAGTTTCTTTTAATTAAAAAGAGAGAAAAAAAAATAACAGGCGAAAACTTTTACTCGCCAACAAACAAAGCAGGTAACTAGGGCTGCTCTCGATTTTCAGATTTAGATTTTATGCTTTGGCGATCTTCACAATCGGAATTAATTGTTGCACCAGATCTCCACTGCCACGGAGGAAGATCTCATCTACAACAAATCTAATTTGTTACAATTCCAAAATTATGAGTCTTTATTTGAAATGAAAAGAATGAATGGTACTTCAAGAATCGATCTTGTCGAGTTACAAGCTTGGTGCTAGCGTTGGCAGTAGTCTCTGAGATGTTCCATGACTTCTACAGAGGGATTTTAAGCTGGGTTTTCTAATTAGAAGTTCATTTGAATAAAGTTTCACGAATCTGATAATTTTCTCATACTAACTGTTATTCAACTGTTATAACAAGGAATAAAATGATTTAATAATGAAATACATTATTTTGCCCCAAAATACTCACTGAATCAGGGAAATGCTCAAGAGAACATTGAAATTACATTAAGTTAAGGTAAGACCCACTCCCCACCCACTCGGTATCTAGATAGACTGGACTATCCCTTACCCCGAACCATCTTAGAATGAAACCTTCGAATACCACTTTACATGTACTTTCTATTCAAATCTGAGGATCTGATCATGCACCAACACACAAGTGTGCTTGCATTTCGAAATTCCATGCATATGATAAATTTACTAACCAATATACTTATATAACCCTCACAGAGATCCTTCCTTTTGTGTTTAAGGATAACTGAGGGACTTACAAAACTAAGAAAAGTTCACGTTGTAGCGCTTTGACACGATTATACCCTAAAAATAATATTAAATAGAACCCAAGGAGTCGAAGATAAAACAATATTATTATGTAGGAACGTTGGCTTAAGCTCGATAATGTCCTACAGCTACCAGCTAAAAGTAACCCATAAACACACACCCCGTACAAATCTATATAAAACTCCTGGGTTTAACGTTAATGCACAAATAACAACAGCAATTAAGTATATGTATATAATGTAGATATATAGGTATGTCTAGATATACCTCTAATTATGGTTGTAGATCTGTAGATATAGCTAGATATACTCGGTAGATCTGTAGATATAGTACAGGTATAGTAGTATATTATAGGTTCATTTCGTAGTTCAATCTCTATCCGATCTCTACAAAGTTTCTTCTTCTTTTTGCGCCACAAAATCTGCATAAGAGTCTCGCGAACCCAAGTCTCTCTCTCTCACATCGTTCCCTCCACCCGCAACCCGCTGCCGCTCCCCGTCATCCACTTGTGGTCTTTGGCAAAAAGAAAAAGAAACAACAAAAAAAACACTGTCTTAAAAATACAAATCGACGCAGCGTCGCAGGCAGTGAAAGTGAAAGTTTTGAAGCTAAAGTGTTGTATGTACAAGGTTTCCATCCAGTCTCCCAAGTCCCGGCGGCGTCGGCTGCGGCGGCCTGTCTTTCTGTTCCGTTTCGTACGATTTCCATCGGGGTTTGGGGTTTGTACAACTTGGTTGGCCTTTTGTTTTTGCTTTCTTCATCGTCGCCCGATGATCGTGATGATGATGTGATGATCGTCTCCACATACGAATATGCCTTGAACGAATTTAATAGCTTTTCTTCTTTCTCGGCTCTTTCGTTTAGGAGGTTATGCAATTGATGTTTTGGTAGAAATTTGACATTTTTTGAATATACATTTTCTTTCCATGCACCCACGCATCGTCCGCCACACAGCTGCGTCTGCGCGGATCAATCTCTCTCCCTCTCTCATTCAAAATGAACGACTTTCGAACGCCTGCCTTTTAAGGGCAAGGCGACGGCGGCGACTCCTCCCTTCCTTCAGTTATTATATATATTCCAGGGGATTGTCGCTTTGGATTTTTGATTAGTTTTTCATTGTCGTCGTCACGAGATGGTGGAAAATGCTGGCTTCAATTTACCGTGCAACGTTCCCAGTATCAGCCGCCTGCTTGTGGGTGTGTCGCGGCGGCTGTCTCGGTCTTGGTTTTGGTTTTGGCTTGGTTTGGCAGCTGCCACTTGGCTGTCATCGTGTCCGCCTCCACCTCCACCTCCACCATGCTGCTGCTGCTGCTGCCACAACAGGCCAAAGCAATTGTTATAAAATTGCTGTGACGCTGCTCCTCCCTTGTCGATGCTCATGCTGATGCTATTGTTGCTCTTTTCGTTGCTGTCGCAGCTGTTGTTGTTGTTGCAATCCACAAGAAAATCCAAAGATGTGGGCGTCGCATCCGTCAGGTTCAGATTCAGATTCAAATGCTCAAAGCTAAAGACGAGGCCAGAGTCTCGACTGTAGCTGCCAGCACTATCCAAGCCACTGTCGCTGGCTCCCGATCCCAATACCGATCCGTGCCGATCTCCGCCCGACGATGACGCACTGCTGCTGCACGTCTCGATGAGCTTCCTCGATATCTCGCTGATGCTCTCGTCGAGCAGCGTCTCCGCCTGGGCACAGGCGGAGGAGTAGGATGATTCCGATGATGCCCTGCCTTTGAAGCCAAAGTTGCCAAAGAGATCGTTGGCTATGTTAATCCCACTCAAGATATCGCCGTAGCCCGAGTCATCGCTGAGACTGCACTGCGAGGGCGTCGTGATAACGCCCTCATGGGCATGACCCACTTGGTGGCTGCGCTGCGATCCAATGACTCCCACAATCTCCGCGCGACTGCTGTCCCCGGTTATGGGGGCAAACTCCTCGATGGTTTCCTCCGGCACAGTGGGAGCGTTGCAGGTCGGTGGCAGGCTCTGGGAGCAGATGGAGCTATCGCAGGAGCTGTCCGACGAGTGCGTGGACGAGGTGGAGGAAGAGGATTCCCGACTGCCACCGCCCGGCTCGCTGGACGAGGCATCGGAGAGCGAGCGATGCAGTGTCTGTGCCTGATAGTCCCACAGGGATCGCAGCGGATCGCAGTCCCTGCAGAAACAAACGCCGTGCGTGTGATCATGCTGCAGGAGTCCTCCTCCTCCGCCCAGAGGCAGTAGATGGTGGTATGGATGCTCCTCTCCCTGGACGGACGCCTTCATCTGCATATCCGGTTCTATCTTGAGTAAGACTCCGTTGCCGGGCTTTCGATCCTTCTTGCGGCGCTTGCGCGGCTTGATGATTCGTGGCAGGCAGCTCTCCGTCGTCGGTGTGGCATCCTGGCCGCTAGTGGCACTGCCAGCCAGCGTCTGCCTCTCCTGGCTTTGGAGCATGGGCGGAGCAGAGTTCTGGTATCGTAGGGCCCGAGATTTATCCGCCAGCTTGAAACTTTGGCTGGTTGGGGGCATTGGCTGGTAGGCACTCCACGACGGGGGATGGTGCTGCTGTTGCTGTTGCGGCTGGTGGTGTTGTGGCAGATTCTGCTTGCCGTTCTGCTGGAGGAGCGGCATTCCCTGGGCGTGGGCCGCCAGCTGGGACATGGTGTGCACCCCCGTCGGGGGCCATGGTGGCGACTTGGGGGCCGTCTTCCTTAGCAAACGCTGACGCTGGCCCGGCGACAAGTGGCTGGAGGCGTTCGAGATGAGTGGGATTCCTGCGCACTCGTTGATGCGCTGCTGATTAACTACAGGCGGTATGGACAGACCAATGCCGTAGCCGACTGGCTGAGGGGATGGAGGGAGTGGAGTCTGCGCCTGAGCAGGTGTCCAGCGAACGTGTGGTCCATGATGCAGGCGCTGACGCTGTAGCTGATTGTAGCAGGAGGCGGCGGCTGAAGTGGGGGGAGGAACCGGCGGCGTTGAGGCCCAGTGCAAGTGCTGTTGCTGGTGCTGATGCTGATGGTATCTAGCAAATGGTCCAGCGAGGATGTTCCCGTTGTCTGGCGCGCGATAGACGGCCACATGCGATCTCATAATCCTGCCGCTCTCCTTGCTGATTTCTGTGGGTGTTGGCGTCGTCTGTTGCTAGTCGTCTGGGCTTGGAACGTAGTCGATTGCACATCACTTGGCCGCTTTCAATATACTATTCCCGCAACACTCAATGATGCATTTGCACGACCCGTGGGGATTACCAAAAAATCTACAAATCTCTGTCTACAACGAAATGAAAAGCGAACTGGAAACTGGGACAAGCCGCTGCTGCTGCTGCTGCTGCTGTTTCTGTCGCTGCTCGCTGGCTGTCAATTACGAAACACTTTGCGCATGCGCGGCTGCCAACCGAAACACGGGTAAGGGTAAGGGTACGGTTACGGGTACGGAACGAGTGCCGAGTACGAGACGAATCGGGTGCGACGGTCGCGAACGGGTTTTTTCTGTGGCCAAGAGCAAGAGCAGAGAGCGTCCGTTTCGTAGCCTGGCGTGCGGCAGACTGAAGTCAGCTGAAAATTCAATTCAAGCTTTTGTGCGCCGGCCCCCACATGGGTTAAAAGCCGTTATGCCCTGTTGAGAGCTCGCTCTCGATCTGGCTCTCTCTCGGCTTGCTCGTCTTTGATTCTCTTGGGTTCCACACTTGCGATCCACAAACACTGCCGGCTTGATCATGCACGCTGAAAACTGCAAGCTGCACGCTGCTCTCGGACCAACGTCCAGAGCGGCTTTTTGCATGTCGAGGTCGTGCAGTTCTTTTTTTCAGCCGCTGCCAATTGTTGTAATCGTTGCATTCAATTAAAAAAAAAATAGCAACTTATAATTGTCGGCTGTGCATTATGTTTTTGGGCATTAATGGGAAACCATGAGTTTGAACTTTAATTACAGCTGCTGTCAAACTGGTTACTTGACTGATCCTGGTACTCGTAGTACATGGCGCGAAATTGGGGTCTCATACTCTCTTGATTTTTTGATTTAACTAGAATTAAAGGTAGTCCTTTTCAACACTAGTTGCGACAAAAAGCTGTTAACAACACTAAAGCTTACAAAATTATCGGCTAGGTTTAAGCAACTCGATTATTTGCGACCAAAAAAATTGGAAAGGACGCAAAAATTACAAGACTTCCGAGAACGGAGTTCCTTGGAATGTCACATGTCACAAGAGAGTAACCTATAAGGTTCATTAAATATATCCCATACATATGTACATTTAGTTGAGACCAAAATCATAACTCGCCACAAAGTCCAAATACCCTTGGTGGCACAGAGAAAACTTTCTCTTTTCGGAAGCCTTTTTTCCATGCTGATATGCTTTCCTTTTTACCCCCACATACCTGCACACAGATCCGCTCCATGAACAGGAGGGATCAGGCACAGACATCACACTCATACAAAAAAAAAAAAAAAAAATAAGAAAAATGAAGCGTAGACTCACATGACAAGTTGTCCAGCATGTAGGTGAGCAGTTTGGACGTGCCATTCGGCTCGTTGTAGATGTTCATAAACTCCTTTTGCAGCGGATTGCCCATCAGGCCGAGTATGACCAGATGGAAGAGCTTGCCAATCTCGTACGGCAGCACGCGCAGAAAGTTGTTGTTCAGCAGCAGTTCCCTAAAAAGGAGCAACAATTGTGAGTGAAAGATGTGGTTTCCATGACATGCATGCGCATCGTAACCCACCTCAGCTGTATTAACTCTCCAAGCTCGGCGGGGAGACTTCGCAGCTTATTGCTGGAGAGATCCAGTGTGCGGAGACTGGTCAGCATGCCCACGTCGGCGGGGAGACGCAGCAGCTGATTGTCGTTCAGGTAGAGGGCGGTCAAATGCTCGAACTCCCACAGCGAGGGGCTGATGTTCCGCACGCAGCCTGTACGAAACGATATTTATGAGAGCCATGAGCCAGATGAAGAGCCAGAGAGAGATCAAAAGGTATTTCGGGTGCATCACTCACCAGTTATTTCGAGGCCGCTCCAGTTTGTCTTTTTGCCAGCGGCAATATCCTCTTGGGAAAGAAAGATCTGCTGCCTTCGATTAGCGCTGTCGTATTTGTCTTTGTTACGAGACATCTTATAATGGTTGCCTGCGAGAGATGCAAAGAAAGAGCGGGAGAGGAGCACAGTTAGAGGAGCGTTGGGTATTAAGGCACTGCGGTGCAAGCTCTTGTTGAAGTATGTTAGGGCTCGTTCATGTTAGGAGACGAACCCTCGCTTAGCAACACAAATGGAATGTATTTTTGTAAGTCAATATTTTTGTTTTGTTTTCATTTTTAGGATAGTTGGAAACAAATCATAACCTTTCATAATAACCGCCTGATGATAAGCGTCTCTGCAAAATATTAATAAATTGGTTTGAATTATTATTTTGTATTAGTAAACAAAGATAGACTCGATACTGGATAGGGTTTGGGGGGGTGGTTGGGGTCCAAAATCAAAAGTAAGTGCAAAAAAAGGACTCTTGCAAGCGCGCGCAAAGTGCAAGCCCACATACAATACACACACATAATCGTTTACGACCACGCAAATGGAGGGTTACAGTTAGAGAGCAAGCTTTTCAATGGCGTGGGCCAATCCACGTAAAATGGACGAAACGAAGCAGTATAGATGAGATTCCGGGTCCGGTCCGGCTATTCTGTTCACCTGCATGTGGGGTTCCTGTGGCTCAACCTCTCTGCACTTTTCCAGCGACAATTGTCCGTCTTTAACGCTAATTGCCGCCTCTTTCCACACGCGCCTCTGTCTATTCCCTTGTGCGGTCTGTTCTCGTCGCCGCTTATTCCTCAATAATTTTGCAAATCTAACTGTCGCTGTCAGTATTTCTTCATCACTCTATAATTTAGTCAAATGCACAAGTAATTTCATGTTTTTTCTCGTTTTTCTCGCTTTTTTATGGTTTTCTAGTCATGATTCTCAACTCAAAAGGAAACTTCTATATTGCCTTCTCTCCCATTTCTTTTTCTCCGCGTTTTGCATTCCCTTCAGTTATTGCGCGTTTCATTTTCATCGTCTTTTCTTGTTTTTGTATACATGGTGGCTTGGAGTATTGCCACTTGCTGATGCTTCCGCGGGAATCCAATACGCGTCACAAGAATTTAGAAACTTTTCTCCATTTAGACAGACATTTCAATGCTTTTTGTATATCACACAAAACTGGGTTTTTAGTCAAAACAAAACAAGCGCTCTTCTCTCCCACACAGCTCTACACTCACACACAAGCACACACCACACACGCATCGCATGCAAGCACGCAAGCAGACACACACGCACACTCAGATACAGGAATGAAATAAAAACACGTAGAGATTTCGTACTATTTGCTTAACTAAACTAGCCACTTTTTGGATTCTTTTATTTGGCTTTAACTGTGTTTTGGCGCGTTATCCACAGACGTCTTATTTTTGTATTTATGTTTAATTATAGTTTGATCAGCGCTCCGCTATGTGTAAACTCTCGCTCTTCTTTTTTCTGCTTTGGCCATTTCTCTTTTCTTCACTTCTTCGGTATGAAAATACCACGTCCAGCTGGTATTTTCTGGGATGTTTGGTATGTTAGTGCATTAGTTGGTAGGGTTGCGTTTCGATAAGATTTTGATTGAGCGGGAACGAGCTTGGATTATTTTGTTGTATACGTCCTTGTGCAAATTATATTGTTATAGTTTATGTTAAAACCATGCCAGGCACAGGGCTACCGGAGGCTCTTCTCAAATACCAAGCCGAGGAGGAGCAAATGGTGATGAGCAATGCCGAGGAGCACGAAAGGGAATTCTTTCGCAAATATTACCCGCCGTGCGTAAGTAAAAATTTCACCGCAAACAAGCCAAAAAATCTACGTTTAATCCGGGGGACATCTTGCAGAAGATTAGGCCTGCGGACCTGGAGCGCGTGTACAGCCCAGAGGACGTTAGGCAGCTGTGCCTGCGTACCAAAGTACGAGTCAACATGACACACCTCAACTGCGTGTGGGACGCCAAGAAGCGGCTTAATGCGAAGAATCGCCTTGAAAATCGTTCGGAGCGCTTCATAAATGCCATGCTCATCAAGGCGGTGGCCAGGAAAATGGTGGAACCCTACACAGACGAAGAGGTGGCCGAATACAATCTCGTAGCCAAAAGCGAGCTGAAAAAGCAGAATAACTTTCGACTGGATCGTTATAAGCGAGAGCGTGAGGGCATAGGCCCGGAAGCTACAGATGTCACCACCTCGTTCTCACAGCCTTTATTAAACGATTCAGCAGCGGCTGTATTTGTCCAGCCAGACCAGCCGACGACACCTTTCAATGCGACAACGGCGATGCCTGAAAACGACTTTTTGTCGACCGGCATCGATTCTGATGAAGAACTGTGGGGCATTGGTCAGGATGAGATTGAAATACCACCAGAAACGCAGCTAACCGAGTCCGTGTCGTGTGATCTGGGCCACGATTGGGTGCAAGCGGGACTGCAGGTCAACTCGGAGAGCATGTCTCTGGACGAGGACATCAATTCACAGTCGCAGGCCCTGCCAGGGCATACAGTAGACAGTGAGGATTACAATGAATTTGGTACTCAAGTAGCAGCCGCATCCACGCAGGAGAATCAGCCATGAATCAGTAATTGCGGAAAACGAATTGGAGTTTATTGGATGTTTATATATATATATATATGTAGATATATTTGTTGTTGCTCTGGGTGTGTAAAAAACTTCATTAAAAAACACGATGTCGATTAAAATCTAGATTTTAGGAAATTATTGAGTAAAAATATTAAAAAACCTTAACTAACAATACAATTATCGGGGATCTCTCCGATCTCTATGTACAATTTTACACGAAACAAAAAGAACATTTGAAATGCTTAGGATATTTAAAATAATTATTCGCGCTATATACAATTTACAAATGGGTCCGAAGGAGGAGGATCTGCGAAGGCTGCCTGTGCTACGGGAAATGATCAAACATGAACTGTTCCATGAACAGCGACTCCGAATGTTAGTTGGATGAATTCTCCCCCATTTCGCTCATCGAAATGGTCATCACCTTCTCCTCATCGCCACTGTCCTGGTCCTGGTCTTGCTCCTGGTCCTGCTCCTCTTCATCCATTTCCTCCTCATCTTCATCATCTTCCTCCAGCTCCTCCTCATCGTCTTCGTCGTCATCCTCTTCGGTCATCTCCTCGTCATCCTCTTCGTCCTCGCCGAAACTATCCATGCCCCCTACCGTTCCAGCTGACAGCTGGACAATGGTCGCCCCGCCCGGGGCTGATGTAACAGTTGAGCCCGCAACCGTTGCCGCCACACTGGAGGCACCACTGCCCACGACCTGGCCACCGCTCCCGGGTAACTCGATCGTCACAATCCCACTCATCGTGCTGATGCTCTTCGCGCTGTTCTTCTGCTCTTGCTTGATGCTGAGCTCCATCAGCTCCACGCCGGAGCGACTCTTGAAGTGCGTCTTGATGTGCTTGGACAGATGATCGCTCCGCATGAACTTCTTGTTGCATTCGCGGCACTGGAAGCGCTTCTCGCCCGTGTGGGTGCGACGGTGGCGTTGCAGTTCATCGGAGCGGGTGAAACGCTTGCCGCAAAAGACCCACGAACAGACAAAGGGCCGTTCGCCCGTATGCCAACGGAGGTGGGCCCGTAAATGGGAGGTCTTGCCGTACACCTTCTGGCAGCCGGGTATGTGGCAGATGTGCTGGCGCTTCTTATCCGAATGCTTCTCGCCATCGGTGCAATTGGGGCAGGTGCAGGCCACACGCTTGAGTCTGGGCTTTACCTCCGCCCCCGCTCCACTGGTATCCAAGCTCACGCTCGTCTGGCCTGCCGGCGTCGTGGCGGTGGTGGTGCTTACAGTAATGGTGGTGTTGCTCCTGAGGCCGCTCGCTGCTGTAGTTCGCATCACATGATGCCCGCCAGTGTTCGCGATGGTGGTGGCTTTCGTGGGGAGATTGACACTCCTGGCAATGGTGGCCACCGAAACTGGCGGCGTTCGAGGCGGAGGCAAGGTCGTGGCGGTGGCTGCCTGCGGCTGTGGCTGTGGCAAGGCTGTGATTTGTATGGACGCTGGTATTGTCACATTGGAGAGCGGATTCGGATTCGGATTGGGATTCCCCCCATCCGCCTGCGTGGTTGGTGGCGCCTGCGGCACAATGAATTTTATTTGCTGTGATTGCGGCTGTGGATGTGGCTGAGATGTTGCAATCGATGTGGGAGTGGATGGCGGACGAGCCGGAGGACCCGGAGGAGCAGCAGTGACAAAGTTATCTGGCGGCTCCTGCTTGATGCTGGTGATCATCTGCGTGGGACTCTGTGGCTCCTGTTTGGGCATCACCGTTATAGATGTTGCATTGGTCGTCTGAGCTTGTCCCTGGGCCTGTGCTGGCGCCTGGGCATGAACCTGTTGCATTTGTGGCAGTTGATGCAACACCTGCTGGAAATTGGCCGGCAGATTGGCGGGCAACTGATTCGCCTGGATGATCTGCACCTGCCCCAATCCTGGGATATTCTGTATGGGCAGGGCCTGCAACCCGGCGGGTAGCTGCATGGCAGTGGGGGCCTGTGGCGCCGGCGTGGCTGTGGGTTGTGGATTCTGCCTCAGTTGGGCTGGTATCACCGTCAGCTGTTGGCCCTGGGCATTGGTTATGGTTATGGGTTGATTCGCTGGTATCTGGCCACTCGCCGAGGCATCCTGGATCGCTTGGATGAGCTGTTGGTGCTGCTGTACCTGCTGATGTTGTTGAAATTGCTGCTGTACCTGCACTTGCTGCTGCTGCGCCTGCTGTTGCTGCTGCTGCTGCTGTTGCTGGTGGGGATTCTGGATATGTATGATGTTCGCGTTCGGCGGCAACTGGCTGTAAGGCATTGGCGCCAGCTGTACCTGCTGTATCTGCCCGTTGGGCGTCACAATCTGTGCAATCTGCGCAAACTGTGGTATCATCTGCATCTGTGAGGTAGCAGCTGAGGGCATCGCCATCGACTGGGCCTGCATCAGATTCGACAGACCACTTGGTGCGGCCTGCACTGGGACATGGACCGTCTGGTAGATGGTCTGTCCACCTGCTGTTTGTACTGGAATCTGCACGGCAACCGTCTGCTGTTGCACGGGCTGTGGGAATTGCACCAACTGTGGTCGCAGCTGGATCTGGCCATTATCCAGCTTCAGCGTGGAGCCGCCTCCACCGCCGCCGCTCAACAGACTTGAGAGGTTCCCGAGCAGACCATTGGCCGCGGCCACCGATGTGGGTATCTGGATATTCGTCCCTGGGATGGTGATGGTGCTCGGCAGCTGTGTTGCCTGGAGTCCCCCCGCGTTCCCCGTGCCGCTGCCGCCTGCTCCACCTTGGGATCCAGTCTGACCACCAGTCGTCGTTGCCTGCTGGGACTGTTGCTGCTGCTGCACTGTCGCCTGATGCTGCTGCTGGATGAGGTTGGTCACCGGTATCTGAATGCTCGTCCCAGGAATGGTAAACAGCTGCGTCTGCTCTTGCCCCAGGCCATTGATGATCTGGGCGGGTGTTGCCTGCTGCAGCTGGATGGCCTGACCACCGGCCTGACCGGCGTGGGCCTGTGGAGCCCGCAGGATCTGCCCGTTGGGCGTGATGAATGCCTGCTGTCCATTGATGTTCACGGCCTGGGCCGTCGCCAGCTGTGCATTCAGGTTGGGAATGAAGATTGCCTCCTGGCCATCGATATTCACCGTCTGCATCGCATGCATCGGCTGGACAATCTGGAACATGTTCTGGGACATGGCTTGGGGCTGTCCGCCGGTAACGTTGCCGCCTCCACCACCGAACTGTGGTGGCATCTGGTGGATATTGATGATCTGTTGCATGGTGGGGGCTGCGGCTGCAGAAGCTGCTGCAACAGCTGCAGCAGAGGCAGCAGCAGCAGCGTTCGTGTTCGCATTCCCTTGTGGCGCCTTCCCGGAAAGGTTGGCAGTGGGTGTGGCTGATGGCGCACTATTAGCAGCCGTGGCATTCTTATACTGCAGCATCTTGGCTACTTTCGACTGCCTTTCAACGGTTTAATTAAGATTTTCCACTTGTAAGGGATTTAAAGTAAACATTTCAATTTTTTCTTTCCAGACGCGCAACTTTGAGATTCAATTCGAGACGGTAGCAACGATAATTAAGGAGCAAACGGAATTATACGTTAAAGCGCGCGGTACCTTTGTTTAAATTCGAGTTTGTGAATCGGGCAATGCTTTAAATATTTAAACTAAGACCTATTAAGCAATTTTTTTTTAATTTTGTTTTGACAAACACAAACACAAACGCAGAAGAAGAGAGGCAGGGTTGCTCCTAAGTAGCTACGTTTTTGTGTGAGTGTCACAATTTTCACAGTGGCGCCTCCGTGCTGCCACCTGGTTTAGCTGTGCTTGAGGCGGCAAGCTGTTGCCGTCCAACTGAAATTTGAACGACTCCAGACAGCAGGGACAGCTTCTCAAATATTGATTACAGCAAAAACCTCTGACATCATGACAAGATGCGCGACATTTACGGTATATTTTATTAATCTATTGGAATGACTTTCGTTTTTATAGGTGTTTTTAGTCAAAAAGAAAATAGATTTATTAATCGCATAAAATTGAGTGGGCATGGCTAAATGTTCCATATAGATAGTATTTTTTTGCATCGAATTTGTATTCGCCGCAGTTTGCCGCAGTTCGCCGCAGCTCGCCGCAGCTCGCCGCAGTTCGCTTTAGCAACAATGAGTCCCATTCCATACACAAACATGTTGCTAATTCCATGCACACATACCCTGGGGGAAATGGATGTTATAGAATTGTGAATACGTTTGTCTTCCAAGGCTCAGTAGGTATCAAGATCGAGATAAATATACACAAGATACTAATAATGTACTTGAATATGTCTAAAGAATATCAATTTGAGAAAAGGTCTTAATAAATTGCGTTTGATCTACATATAAAATTAACGAAATAGGGTATTCCAAGGCCTACACGCATCACAGTGACTCTTTTTTTGTCGAACTTTTCCGTTTAAACCTCTTTTTACACAAAATCCAATAAAAGCAAGGATTAAAAACTATCCAATCTTGTAGAAAATTTATTCATTAATCGTATAAAATTATGTGGGCATTGCTGAAAGATTTAGTTTGCCAGCATTATTCAATGGAATATCAAAATTGAGCAATATGAACGAATTTCCCTTTTCGTTTGTTTTGATTAACCTATTTCGCTACTTGCTTTTTGTTTGACTTATTTCGCTAAAACCTCATTTTACGCAAAATGCAATAAAAGCAAGTATTTAAAATAAGCCAGTCAAGTAGAAAATTGATTTATTAATCGGATAAAATTATGTGGGCATGGCTAAATGTGCTATTTAGCTGGTAATATTCAACGGAACAAAGAATATAAGGAATATGGTTTCCAATCCTGACGGAGAACGATTAACCTATTACAAGCCAAGGGGGTATTTCAATTTTCCACTGAAAATAATAAAAATTTAATCATTTTAGCGCAGTTCAGCTGAAAAATATCGTGGTTTTTTTTTAAGTTTATAGTAGAGATGGCATGAATCCTCAAGAAGAATTTACAATCAGTAATATTTTCCGCCATTTACCTCAAGTAGTTGAACTATTTAAATACAGGGGGCTTTAGTGGGCTAGACGCTTGCACGGTTATTCTGTGCTTCCCACTATCGCCCACTATCGAAACATTGAACCATCGATATTTAGTAGCGCGATAGTGTCTTACCATCGATAGTGTCCATCTACACCAAATTAGTGATGTAAATTTGAATGAAAACATCGATGTCGATGTCCATCGATGTTGTCAAAATCAAACATCGGTGTTGGATTGATACATCGGATTATTCTTCGATGCATCGATGTATGACCGATGTTTCAAAACTTTCCCATTTGATTATAAAACGAATATTCAACAAAGGAAAAATTAAACTTGAGCTCTCATAGCAGTCTTTTACATATCATAGGACTAAACGAAAAAATATTTAACATAAAAGAAATGATTATGCTTTCATAGCAGTCTTTTACATATCATTGTAGATCAGAGATATCTAATATTTCAAATAAGTACTATTTGTCAATGCTTTGCAAAAACCAAAATGCGGCTTAGTCGCACAGGTGAAAGTCTATTACGTTTTCGACTTAATATGTTAGCAGGCTGAGTACACCCGATCAAAATACACCCAGAAGATGCCATTAACGTCAAAAATTGCATTGCAATTTTGTAGAAATTAGGAAAAGTACCTAACTTTTCATACCGTCCCAAAAACACGAAGGATTGCTTTCAAATGAGGCAGGCATTGCTGTGTTTGCTGCTTACAGATTTGAAATTAATTGATCGATGTTCTGCAAAACATCGATACATCACTCAACATCGGTACCAGCAAAAACATCGGAAAACATTAGTAAACATCGGCAGAAAAACATCGATGCCCGATGCATCGATGTTTTTTTACATCACTAACGTAAATAAATAAATAAAGTTTTTGTTGGCATAAAACGCGCTCAAGTCCGAATTTGTGCAGGTCATGGAGGTTGACCAACTGTCCCTGGCCGATGTGGTCTTTGTCATTGAGGGCAGCGCCATCAACGGTGCGTACATCAACGAGCTGAAGACGAACTACATTCTGCCCACTCTGGAGCACTTCACCACGGGCTCCATTGACGAGCGGGAGTATCTGATTGCCGACCGATTTGCCACTCTCTATGGCATTGTCGTATACCGCACGGCCTCCAATCTGCTGGAGCCGGTGTGTGCCACCTACGGACCCTTCCTGCAGCCCCAGAAGGTGATGGAGACGATCGAGCGTCTGCCGCTAGTTGGGGGCGGCATGGAGTCGTGTGCTCACATGGCCGAGGGCTTTGCTGCCGCCCATGGTTGCTTCGAGGACATCAGCGAGCGCCGCCAGATGCTGGACCAGACCAATGTCCAGCGTCACTGTATACTCATCTGCAATAGTCCGCCGTATCAGATGCCAGTGACGGAGTCGTGGAAATATCTAGGCAAATCGTGCGAGCAATTGGCCGGCCTATTCAACGAGCGCAAGATCAATCTGTCGATCATTGCTCCGCGCAAAATGCCGATCCTTTTCAAGCTGTTCATGAAGGCGGACGGGGATCAGCCGATTACCAGCAAGAACTATGCCAAAAACATTCGTCACTTGGTTCTGCTGAAAGGATATAGCCTGAAGGAGCGTGCCGCCAGTCCCAATAGCATGGCTGCTCAAATGGCAGCCCCGAGCACAGCTCAGGCTGCTGTCCAACAGCAGCAACAACAGCAGAACCCAGGGGGTCAGCAGCAGGCGGGTTCGGGTATGCCAATGGACACCACATCAGCACAACAACAACAGCAGCAGCAACAACAACAGGGAGGTCCGCCCCAGCAGCAACAACAGGTGATGAACATGAACCCCATGCATCAGCAGCAACAGCAACAGCAGCCGGGTCCCAATCCCCAGGCGGGTCTACTGAATCCCCAACAGCAGCAGCAACTGATGCAACAGCAGCAGCAGAACCAATTCGTGCCCCAAAACCAGATGCAGAATCCAAACTTTCAGCAAAATGTGGTTCCTGGGCAGAATCGTTGGATGTATCCTAATCAGCAGGGACAGGCACGTCCGCCATTCATGCAACAGGGTGCCGCAGGGGGTGGCGGCAACATGCAACAGCAGCTACAGCAGCAGCAGCAACAGAATGCCAATTCTGCGCTTATCTCCAGGATAAATGCACCGCCAAATCAGACGGTGAACTCGCTTCAGCAACAACAGCAGCAACAGAGATTGCAGATGCTCAATCAGCAGCAATTCAATCAGCAGCTCCAACAGCAATTGGTACAACAGCAGCAGCAGCAGGGACAACAGCAGCAGCAGCAACAAGGGAATCCCAATGCCAGCAACATGATGCCGGCGGTATCCAATGCGGGAAATATGCCCAATCCACAGCAACAACAGGTGGCACAGCAGGTGGCCCAACAGAATCCCCAACAACAGGCACAAGTTCAGGTCCAACAGCAACAGCAACAGCAACAATCGAATCCCCAACAGCAGCAGGAGCAGGCCTCCTTGAGAGAGAAAATCTGGACAGGGCTCTTGGAGTGGTCGGAGAAGCCGAAAAACGATCCACAAAAGATACCCCACACGCTTCAGTGCACTGTTTGCACTAACATCAAGGATGGGGAGCCAGAGATCAAGGCAGAGAACTGGCCACCGAAGCTACTGATGCAGCTCATGCCCAAGCATTTGGTGGGCAATATTGGGGGCCAGTTTCTAAAGGATTCCAAGATGGTTGTCTTTCGGCCGTCACCCGGCGAGGCGCTTGATTCGCTGGCTAAAATGATGACATCCGGATATGCAGGTTGCGTGCATTTCTCCTCCATTCCCAATGCCCCCGCCTGCGAGCTCAAGGTGCTGATACTCCTCTACACACCGGATCGCAATGCGTTCTTGGGTTTCATACCCAACAACCAGGCCATGTTTGTGGAGCGCCTGCGGAAGGTCATTCAACAGAAGCAGCATGGCAACATGCAGCAGCAACAGCAGCAGCAGATGCTCCAGCAGCAGGGAAAATCCCCCATGGAGCTGCAACAGCAACAGCAGCAGCAGCAACAACAACAACAACAGCAGATGCAGCAGCAGGACAACTCCCAACAACAGCAACAGCACTACAATCAATATCAGCTAAATATGCAAATGCAGGGCGGCGGAGGACCAGGTCCTGGAGGTGGCGGTGGACCCGGTCCTGGCGGCGTCGGCATGCCCATGCAACAAAATCAAATGCAAATGAATATGATGCAACAGCAGCAACAGCGAATGCCCCTGGGTGTGGGTGTAGCCGGCGGCGTGCCTAATCCGAGTCTGCAGCAACAACTGCAACAGCAGGTGGCCCCCAATGTGGCGGCCATGCAACAGCAGGCGGCCCAACAGCAGCGCATGGTTCGGCCCATGATGAGCAATAATAATCCCGGACTGCGGCAGCTTCTCCAACACCAGACGACGCCTGGCAATCAATTCCGTCCGCAAATGGGCGGCGGCCAGAATCCGAATCAAATGGGCGGCGCCGGCGGTCCCATGGTGGGCAATCGGAATTTCGACGATGGCAGCTACGAATTCATGTAGAACCTCTCTACCTTATTTATATTGTGTTGTGTCCCACATGTCAAAAAAGATTATCTTTTCATCAATGTTTATTTTAAGCGTATTGTCACATTTAACAAATCGTTCTTGAGATTTTAATTTCGTTTTTTATTTATTTTTGATACATACTACGTTACAGACAGAACAGAACCCCTAAAATAGTATCAGTATCCATAATCTTTTAATCTAAATGGACGATGTGGCGTACTCGGATGGGAATTTAAAGACGTGCTTGCCGGTAGCCTGTACGGACGGCAGAAGGCCGGCATTAGGAATGATGTTCCATGAGAGATACAACGAGACATTGCGATTGTCCCTCAGTCCATTTCCATCGTCCCAGAAATAATATTTGGTGTTCATTTTCTTAAAATCCAACACTGGGTTCTCGCCGCGCAGGATGATCTTGTCCCAGAGCACCACCTGGTTTAGGGTATTCGAGGGCGTCTTGTATTCGGCCGTCATGTAGAGAAACAGCTGCTTCACGTTCCAGTTGAACACGCTGGTGAGGTTCGTTTCCAGGTCGAAGGTGACAAAGCCGAGATCGTGCTTCTCCCGGGAGGCGCCGTAGTCGGGAACGTTTTTCACCAGCACCCGGACGGTATTGATGTTGGCATCCGTTCTGTAGTCGAGGAAAACGGTGGAGAGAAAGCAGCTGAAGGTGAGGCAGGCCAGGACGCTCAGGGAGTACGCCACGGTGGCATTTCCTCTGGTTAAAACCGTATGCATTCTTTAATTCGATTTGTCCTGAAATTCGGCAAATGACACGTAGTAGTGATGTAAAAAAACATCGATGCATCGGGCATCGATGTTTTTCTGCCGATGTTTACTGATGTTTTCCGATGTTTTTGCTGCTACCGATGTTGAGTGATTCATCGATGTTTTGCAAAACATCGGTAGTTTAATTTCATATCATTGCTTAAAATGAATCAAATTTACTATAGATGGTATACATTTGTTTAAATATGAAACTGCGAACGCCGTTAACATCATTCGAAGGCAACCCGTTGTGTGTTTGGGAAGGGTACTGTTCAGTCACAGACATATACCTTATTAATATTACAGAATAAACAGTACAATCTCATACACAAATACTCATAAATACAATTGTCCATGTCACTTCATGTCAATGAATATGACGACACGAAAATTACAATAGCAACTAAGAATAGATAATTGCACTTGTAAACTCGAACCCACCAAAAAGGGTGAAGCAATAAACTATTTACTCTATTGCTGCCAAGTACCTAAGTAAATGCACTGAAATGTAACCCCCGCACAGAGTAAGTGTACCCTATCTAAAAATACACTCACATGGAGCCTGTGCGTTCCTTCCCATACAATAAGAGTACCACTGCTAGCTATATAAGGAGATCCATTTGTTCCATTTGTAAAACTCAGTATCAGAAACAGTAACAGAAACAGTGCCTGTCACAAATAGTTCGATGGACATCGACATCGATGTTTTCATTCAAATTTACATCACTAATTTGGTGTAGAGGGACACTATCGATGGTAAGACACTATCGCGCTACTAAATATCGATGGTTCAATGTTTCGATAGTGGGCGATAGTGGGAAGCACAGAATAACCGTGCAAGCGTCTTAGCCCACTAAAGCCCCCTGTATTTAAATAGTTCAACTACTTGAGGTAAATGGCGGAAAATATTACTGATTGTAAATTCTTCTTGAGGATTCATGCCATCTCTACTATAAACTTAAAAAAAACCACGATATTTTTCAGCTGAACTGCGCTAAAATGATTAAATTTTCATTATTTTCAGTGGAAAATTGAAATACCCCCTTGGCTTGTAATAGGTTAATCGTTCTCCGTCAGGATTGGAAACCATATTCCTTATATTCTTTGTTCCGTTGAATATTACCAGCTAAATAGAACATTTAGCCATGCCATCATAATTTTATACGATTGATGAATCAATTTTCTATTTAACTGGTGTATTCTTAATACTTGCTTTTATTGCGTTTTGCGTGAAAAGAGGTTTTAGCGAAATAAGTCAAACGAAAAACAAGCAGCGAAATAGGTCAATCAAAACAAACGAAAAGGGAAATTCGTTCATATTGCTCTATTTTGATATTCCATTGAATAATGCTGACTAACTAAATCTCTCAGCAATGCCCACATAGTTTTATCCCATTGATGAATCAATTTTCTACAAGATTGGATAGTTTTTAATCTTTGCTTTTATTGTATTTATTGTAAAAAAAGGTTTAAACGAAAAAGTTCAACAAAAAAAGAGTCGCTATATTGCGTGTAAGCCGTAGTATAGGTCTTTGTATACCCTATTTTGTTAATTGTATATGAAAGTATATATATTGATATGAAGATAAAACGTAACTAATAAAGACCTTTTCTCAAATTGACATTTTTTAGACATATTCATGTATATGATGAGTGTTTTGTATATATATCTCGATCCTGATACCTATTCTTGGTCCCTACAAGAAGACAATAAGCTTCAAAATATCGTTGAAATATTAAAAATAGTATAATAAATAATATTGAATAATATTAAAATAGTTTAGAAATAAATTGTTTTTGCCTGGGATGACAAACATATTCACAATTCTATAACATCCATTTTCCCCAGGGTATGTGTGCATGGAATTAGCAACATTTGTGTATGGAATTAGCAACATTTGTGTGTGGAATGGGACTCATTGTTGCAATAGCGAAACTGCGGCGAATCGGGTATTGCCTATATTTCAAGCTATATAGATTTGCCCACTTAGCTTAATCCCATAGATAAATGCATTTTCTACAAGATTGCTTCTTTAAATTGCTTGTAAGTATTTTATTTTGACCAAAAAACGGTTTTCAAGTAAATGTTGCCGCAACTTTTGTGTATGGAATGCGCAACATTTGTGTATGGAATGAGACTCATTGTTGCTAAAGCGAATTGGGGCGAAATGCGGCGAACTGCGGCGAATTCAAATTCGATTCAAAAAACGACCAATTCTTTGTTCCGTTGAATAATACTATCTATATAGAACATTTAGCCATGCCCACTCAATTTCGTACGATTCATGAATCAATTCTATGCATGATTGGTCTATTCGAAATACTTGCTTTTATTGGGTTTCTATATAGCATTGAAAATTAAATTAATAGATTGAAGAAAATGGACAAAAATACCATGGGAGCGCGGCGAAAACCAGTATTTCTACAGTATGACCCTCAGAACAGCACCGAAATATACCGCCTCATTTTAAAAATATACCTTAAAAACTGACGAATTCCTCGTTTTTGATATTCCGTCGAATATTACTAGCTAGATAGAATATTTAGCCATGCCCACATAATTTTAGCCCATTGATGAATAAATTTTCTATTTGATTTGCTTAATTTAAATAATTGCTTTTATTGGATTTCTATTTAACGTTGAAAATGAAAAATAAATTGATGAAATTGACTAAATATCATGCTGTCTATCATAGCGATGTTTCACACAAATATATTTGTGAAACAAATAATAAATAAAAAAATAAAAAACAACAACAAACATTAACTGGACTACATCTTTTGCCTTGAGTCGTAACCAAGGATCAGAAATAATTTTCCGAGCCTTGCAGAACGTTCATTCTATTCATTTTTGAAGCTCTAAAAACCTGATGCTGCATACAGGCCTTCCTGTTTCGCGCTAAACTCTTTGAAATATTTTTCCACTTGTTTTCACGCTTGTGAGTGATTTCTTTATTATGATTTATTATTATAATTTATTCTATTCCATATCATAAATGTATATTTCTAATATACATACTACTTTGTCTATCAGTATTAGTTATTAATATGCTATTGTTATTAATTGGACTAGTTCAATGGACTAGTCCATGTACCCGTGCGGTGAAAAAGAAGAAACGAGCTAGTTCAAGCCAGACTCCACCTGCATGAATATAATTTTCTGAGCATATAAACTATATTTTTATGGAAATAAATTCCGTATTTTTCTACAGTAAAAGAAGATTGATTTGCCAAGAATCCATCCAATGTCGTTGGTGAAGGATTTTTGTCTGCACTCGATTTAACTGATCCATTAGGTTCGTAAAGTTCCCTGTTCCCCAACTGACTGTTTAGCGCTGAGGTTTTTCTACGATATAGAATTAATATATGTAGTTAATTAATTAATATATAATTAGTTAATCATAGGGTAACATTACAGCGTTCTTTTTAGCGTTTTTTCTTTCACAGAGACAAGAAAAGACGACTTTACGGGACAGACAGAAAACGTTTCTGAACATGTCGTCGGGCGCTGTGTATCCACTGCAAATTATATAAAAATGGGTATAATGGCTATATCTCATAGCAATCTCATAGATACGGCCATTCTCTATGATTCTGCGTTTTTAGTTTTCTCGTATCTTCAATATTGTGGATGCCACAAACTTTCGTCCTTTCGTCCTAGGGCTGGAAGAAGGTGGGACGAAATTTTGAAGCTAACTCGTCAAAGTCCGATATCACAGGAGTGTGGATCAAAAATTTGGTTGCTCTAGCTTTTACAGTCTCTGAGATCGAGGAACTCATATTTTGCATTAGGCAAAGCCGACCATTAAGCCTGTGTGTTACAGAGAGACAGAGCGAGAGAGAATGAAACTGTTTTCTTGATTCTGGCTATAATAATTATACGATCTGGTTCAGATTTTGCACTCTAGAAGATATAGTCATCCTCTAAGATTCTGCGTTTTCTGTTTTCTGTCTCGTATCTTTGAAATTGTGGATGCCACAGATGTTCGCCTTTGTGTGGGCGGAAGTGGGCGGGGCAATGTTTTGAGTTGAGTTGAAGGTTTATTTAAAAATTTTTCGTATATTGTCGCCTTCTCAAAACGTGCTTTCTTGCATCACCTATTCCAATGGATTGCCTCCTTGTCGCGCATTCAATTTCTATTTGGCGCACACCACTCGGCTCTTTTTGATCTCTTCAAATCGGTTAAGGGTCTATTTTCGCTCTCTTTGAATCGGTTATGAATCGGTAGCTGCAATGAGTCTCATTCCATCACAAAATTTGCGGCAAGATTCAATTTTTATGGGCATGAATACCTAGAAAACGAGCAAACACGTCCCTCAACATGGGCTATATTTTGCATACCCTGGGAAAAAGGATATTATAGGATTGAGGAAATATTTTTGATTTCTTCATACAGAAAGCTAACCATTAATGTACTAGTATATAGTACAGAAAACCGATCAAATAGATATGTAAAACATGTCAATCTGTGAAAATTATGTTATTATTTTAATTTCTTTTAAAAGCAGATTCGAAAACAGTACAACATACATCGACTCACAAGCAAAACTCTTCAAATACCAGCAACATATAAGAAATTACGTGGCATTCCGTACTCACTTACCTTAAGTTGAATTTCTTACTTATTTACGTTTTACATTTTGAATTTTTTTGTTCAAACCAAGCCTTATTTTAGGCACAAACAAATTAAAGGAAGCATTTGAAGGTAGCGTATCAAAATCAGCTTGCAATATCAAAATCATGGAATGCGATTTCCGATCATGGACATGGACGCTTAACCCATTGTAGACCAAGCAAGTTTTTAAATATTCCACCGAAAATTTAGAATCTTTAAGAATTTTAGCGCAGTTCAGGTAAAAGATATCGTGCGGTGTTCTTTGAGTAAAGAGGACATGATGAATCCATAAAAAAGGATAATAGTTTCGTTATCCAGCGGCTCGATTTTACATCGATATATTTATTTTGAAAATGAGACGGTACATTTCGGTATATTACTTAGGTTTGTACAACCTCTCTCGGCTCCTAACACCAAGTGGCAACCTAATATCCGGGAATAATATGGCGATCCGAAACAACTCTGATGATAGACAGAGAATTTAACACTGCTGGAAAATTGATTCATTTGCTATTAATTTGAGACGGTAAATCGCGCGAATATTGCTAAAGTGATGGCGACCGAGTGCTTTACACAATGTGATAGCTTATAAGCGCTGGGACCGCATTTAACTAGTGAAAATGAGTGGAATAGTAGCACAAGAAAAATTTTCCCTTAGTCTCTATTTTTTGCCCTCGTCTGCGCGTCGAAGCGAGATAACAACATCGGTCCGAGTGGCCGCGTCAAGGCATTTCGTGCGCGGAAGCGAGACGAGGATATCGACCAAGCGAAACGCATACGCCAAAGTCGAAAAGTGATTTTTTCCTCCGTTCGGGCGAAGTCGAAACTGCTCGAAAAGTTTTATAAATAAAATGCTGCAATTTCCTGCACACAACAAATTATTAATCGAGCAAAATGCAACAATCGATTGGCCGTTTTGTTGTGCCCCCAAAGCGATTATATAAATAGTGGAGCACGTTGCTCGCTCGTCTCCGAAGTCCTAATTGCGCATCGATTGCTCCGCAAATAGAGGAAAACGATGTGCAGAGAAAATAAAAGTGATTTCCTTTATCATTTCACCGTGCGGGTATCATTCATGTTTCGTTCTCCACTCTCGGGCGATTTTTAATGTAAAAAAATGTGAATCAGATCGGTGGGAATGGGAATTGGAAGAATTAAAATACGAATGAATATACGAATGAGTGTGCAATGGCAAAGAAGTGAAAGAATGCGCAGCGTTGCCATACCGCTACAGACGACCCCCGTGCCGTGTGTGTGCGCGTGTGAGTTTTTGCGGCTGTATGTGTGCGTGTTCCCCTTCCATTGTATATACACGTATGTGTATATATTTATATATATCCTCCAATTCCTAACAATTAAAAAAAATCAATAAACTGAAAAAATCGTTAAGAGTAGTCAACATTTTTGCATTTTGTTACAGTGTTTCATATGAGTCCTGTAACCCAGGATTATATTTTCGTTCGGTTGCCTCGGCTTTGGGAAACACTGCAACAAAATGTCAAATTTGTTCAAGTAATTTGGATCCTATAAAATTTTTACGAAACACAAAATTTAAAGAATACATTTTTCAACAACCCCCAAAAAAGGACGCACGAATCAAGCATAAGAGAGAGAGACCCAACTTTAACGAAAGAGTAAAATGAATAATGATGCGAAAAATCATGATTGCGATGACTTGAATGTGCGCTCCTCATCGGCGTATTTGAATAAAAAATCAACCACAAATACAGCTGCAGCTGCAGCAGCAGCAAAAGCAACAGCAACAGCAGTGACCAACACCAACAGCAACAACAACAACAGCAGCAGGAGCACATCAACAGTCGCCACAGCCACAGCTGCATCTCCTGCCACCAGCAAAACAACCCCAACAACAACAAGCAACAACAATAACCAAAAGCCTAATAGACAGTTTAACCATAACTTGCCACGCATCTCCACAGCAAGGAACTCCATAGCCGCTGCAATACTAGCCAGCAACAGCAAGGCCGGCAGTGGCAGTGCCAGGAAGATAGCAAAGCATGAGAATCTGTCGGGAGGAGTGAAAAACATACCAGCAGCAACAACACCAGCTACAACCAGCAGCGCCACCACCTCCAAGGCACCCTCTTCCAGTTTTTTGGCGGAGCTGAGTCAACTGAAGAAGAAGACGACATCAGCCACAACCGGTGGTGCCTCAGTCAGTGCCACAACAGCAGGCAGACTTAAAGTTAACAATAACAATTCAGCCACTGCCAATACTAACAACAACAGCAAGATAATGTCCGGTACAACAAGCAGCAGCAGCACGCCCACGCCCTCGCCCGCATCAGCGACGGCCACCTCAACAACCACAACAACAACGAATGCCGGCAGCTGTGCCACAAGCAGCAGCGGGAGTGGGAATGGGAATGCCGCCTTATCTGTAACTGCCGCCGGTAGTGCAGCCAAGTTTCGTGCTGCCGTTGCCTCAGCGCCCGGACCATCGCCGGCTGCCGCAGCAACAGCCAATGCCAATGCCAATGCCAACGCCAACGCAACCACGTCCAGCAGCAGCAGCAGCAGCTCGAAGAAGACGCGAGCCACAGTAGACGCCCTCAGGCGACAGGTGGCTATGCAGCAGCAGCAGCAGAACGCAGCCTCGCCCGCCAACAACAACAATGCCGCCGGACTGCCTGGAAGCAAGGATTCAGCGCATTTAAAATTCGCCGCAACCACTTTGCTGATGGGAGCCGCCGCCGCTGCCGTCGATAGCAACGCTGGCGCTGCTACCGCCGCCGGGGCATTGAGCATGGCCCTCAATCCTGCCGTTGATGTGGCCAATGCGGCTGCGGTGCTGAAGCAAACGCTAAAGGATGCCGCCGCCGCTGCCTCAGCCTCTGCGTCCGCTTCAAACCGATCTGCCTCGTCGTCCATGTCCTCGAACGCCTCTTCGCTCTCCTCTTCGGTGGGAATTGTGAATGCCATTTCATCGGCGTTGCAGAACATAATAACACCCGATACGGACACCGATACCGAGTTCTATCCCCAGCCCGTCACCACAGATCTGTCGGAGTCCGAAGAGGAGTCTGTCTCAGAGGTGAGTGCCTTTTGGACCTTAGATTATTGTGAATTCTTGTATACCCTGGATTTTTAGTGCTCCTCGTTGGTAGCTTCCATCACAGATGCTTAGTAGGTCATAAAATACCTCAGACTTAGAAAACTTGCCCCCAATTACTATGGGTTTCTGTACCCTAGAGAAACCTAACGATTGTGTACACCTCTTAAAAAGAACTGATTTACTGCATTTCCAAATCCTAAAAACGCAAAAGTATCGCAAAATGTTTGAGGAACGTGGAAATTAATCTGTATTACGATTTCTCTGTAAGTCGTACATAGAAAAATGATACCCAGGTCATCATCAAGTAGGGGTGAATGTCTACATGTTGTCATTCGAAGGTCTTAGGTCACACTAGATTAAAAAATCGCACCCGAAAGAAGAAGAAATGTGAAAATAAAACTGCGGACAAGCAATCCAACGACCGCATGTTCGTAGAGGTATACATTTTCCTACCTGACGAATCCACAACACACATAATCAGCGTTAGCGTTATCACAGCTGCTTGGACGAGAAAGCAGTTTCGCAGTGCCACAAATGTTTTCCAACTAATTTGAATGTTATAATATACATATTTGCATTCTCTTTGTGTGGGTGGGCGCCACTGCGCGGTCTGTTTTATCAGGCTTGCAGCAGCACCGCAGCGATGTGGAGAAATACCTTCCATTGAATTGATTGCCGACACGCACACACACAAGAACACACATTCGCGTAATTATTGCCATATGCAATGATCATATAAAACACGCTGAGAATTTTTCATCTGTGCGCGTGTGTGAGTGTGTACAAGCAAGCCCTTTCCTCTCTCGCCTTGGTGTTGGTGAATGATTTATCAGCTGTTTGCTTTCGGGGCGAGTGTATGTGTGAATGACTGCACACGTACTTCTTTGTCTAGCAGCCTGTTTTTCGTTTCTCGCGAAAAACGCTTTCATGTTTGCCATTCGATAAATCAAAGGTCATTAGCCAGATCAGATCTGTACCGCCGACCTCTCATTTCGTCCAATAATCCACCATCCAACATAATTGACCCAAGAGTTCGAGACCTTCCCATTCCCTGCCTCCTCCACGAATCAATTGATCCAAAAAAATATACATACAATGCATACGTCGGTACACGCATACATATGCATATAATTGTTTTTCGGTTGCCTTCGCGAATTCTCTGAGGAGCAGCAGCGTGACAAAGATATCCACAGAAGGTCCGGCAACACCGGACGGCTCAGCGTAGCCGCTGCTGTTTCTTTCTAGCTGCTATTTTTTGTTGTTGCAGCGGAGGTGAAATCGTGTGTGAAGAGAAAATGCGCAAGAGTGCGAGGAGACAAATACTCAAAAATAACAATAATAAATAAAAGTAATAATAATAATGATGGTAGAAAACGTATGTCGAAAAAGAGAGAGAGTAATGAACTTTAGCGAATTTTCGAAAAATTTATTTAATGGCATTTTAGGAGACAAGTTTTATTCGTTTTTTTTTCGTTTCTTTGATTATTTTGTGTGGCGTGCAAACATTTTGATGGTTCATTTTCTTTTTCACACACACTGGCACTGGTACATACACCAATGCACGGCACACAACACACACGCCCATGTAACGAGAACAAACGAACGGTCTGCGGGCTGGCTGCTGCTGTTGAACTCGTTCATGATGTTGGATTTTTGTTGTTTGCTTTGCTGTTTCGTCTTTCTCTTCGTCGCTGAGGCTGCTGAGCTACTTGGCTATGTTCTTTTTGTCTGCTCTTCATTTATGAAAGGTTAAGCATAGCCCAAAACTTGGCCGCGTGTTAAAACGAAATGAAAATGTAGGGAATTCTTTATTTTAGTTCAATAGTTTAAGGCGTGGGCCTAACACCCGCACACACACTTGTAGACCATACGTGGCTCTCCCTCCTTGTGTCTGTGTGTGTGTGCGAGAGTGCGTGCAATATTTAAATCGATGTAAAAGCTGCATTTGGAGCTGACTCAGGCCCCTCTGTTTAAAATTCCAAGGAAAAAAAGATTAGGAATTTGTTATTTGATAGTAAGCATGAATGTCGTGGTCCAGCTGGGGAAACACATTTTTTTGAGTATAGCGCTAAAAGTGGAGAACATCAAGAACTAGTCAAGAAAGAGACAACAATAAAGGAATGATTGTTGTTGTTTCCTGCTAGTACTTTTCGCATTGCTGGTTATCGATATCTCGACTGAAATATATCTGGGCATGCACATGCTGCCCTCTCCGGTCTGGCGGTCCGGTAACGCCGCTGCGATAGTTTTTCCCCTTACAGTTATTCGAAGAATTTGTTGTCACATTTGTTACTATCGGATAAACGAAATAATTATACAAAAGATCAGTAAATTTGTGTTCCTTTTGCCTTTGATGGCTGAAATTTTCCTTAATATTTCCAAAGTGATGAGGCGGAGTGCAAGAAGAACAATGGACTTTCTATTTAAATCTTTAAATCACGTAAAAATTCCGCTGCACGATTTAAGCTGTGCCGAACTTTTCGCCTCCATCCGGACTCGGCTCCGTCTTTTCACGCCGCTTGCTTCCTACCCTGCTTCTCCTCTTAGACCGTGTTAATTTTTATTATTTATGTACGTTTCTTTCGTTTCTCTTTATTTGTAGATCCTATTGGCATTCTTGTGTTTAAGGCCAGATCTCCTGGTAAGTTTCAGTTTCGCGATATACAATTGCCACAACCCGCACCCGATCCCGAGTCTTGATCCTTCTCTCCAGAAAGATACGCGCATAAAGATCGTAAAGCAATAATCGAAGCGCTCTACGACCAACTATTGTCTCTAAAATTTCAAATCAGTTCTCTACTAATCCAACGATTGGTGCTTCAAAATATTAATTTCATTCGGTACTTAACCCCCTATAACACCTCCTCTTATAGATAAATCCAACACCACTTTTTTTCTGGCCTTAGACAACAAGAATGTGCGCTCTACTGATCAAATGAAAAGCTTTATTAATATGTATAAAACTTCTATCGTATTTATATAACTCCAACCCCTTACCCCCCAGTTCTAGACTTCCCGCCTAATCCGTTACGTTTACTGTCCGTTTAACGAATTGAATTAACGTTTAACAAATATATTTTCGTCGTTTGTTTCTAGGATGATATACCCGAGTCTGATCCAGATAGTTGCCCCCACGAAGGAGAGGTGCGCGAGGATGAGGATGAGACGGAGGAAGAGTCGGAGGATTCGGAGGAGTCCGATGGAGACGATGAGGAGGATGAGGAAGAGATTGGTACTTAACTTCAAAAGATATTGCTTCTCTTTTACTTAAATTTTACCCTTTGGCCCCTCTTTGTAGATGTCCTGCAAGATAACGATGCAGATGATGAGGAAATCGATGACGAAGACGAGGAGGAGGATGCGCCTGAAGTGAGTCCCTTCCTCCTGGATGCGAACAACAAGCGCTCGAGTAATCTCACCGCCCTGCTCGAGGCTGCGGCCAATGAGAAAGCTCCCGTCCTGCGACACGCCACCCACGCCATCGATGAGACTAAGCAGGCGCTGACCAAGATGCGTTGTGCCAACAGTCCGCGCGACAAGAAGTTAGTAAATTGATGAATGTTAATCTTAACGCCATGGGCAATGTACTTAACCCGCCTTCGCTGTCTTTCCGTATCCGTTGTTGCAGCAGTGGTTTCTCCCGCTCCCTTGTCGCCGCCTGCACGGATAACGACGTGAACACGGTGAAGCGACTGCTTTGCAAGGGAAATGTGAATCTTAACGATGCTGCTGCCTCCACCGACGACGGCGAGTCCCTGCTATCAATGGCCTGCTCTGCGGGCTACTATGAATTGGCACAGGTATGTACAACCCGCCAGATTTATTGAACAAAAAAGGCCCAAAATTTAAGAATGCGAGAATTGGCCGAACGTGAAAATTTCGAATCAGCTGATTACTGTAGTTGTGTGTGTGTGGGAGGGCTACCAACTGCACCGAAAAATGTCTGTCATCGCGACTCCTTTCGTTGGTGTGGCAACGCTTCACTGGCACGCGTCTCGTGTCGATTCTATCGATACCTACTCGAAGAAGAAGCTAGCACGCAACCAAAATTGTTCTGCATATTGAAAAATACAATAAAAAAAAAACTGCATCGTTTTGCTAACCCAAAAAACCCACACTATCTGCCACAAATTAATAGAAACTCGAGATTAGTTTAGTAGATCAATCAATTCAAACGTCGCCACCATATTCCGTGGAAGTGAAACGAACATGTATATGATGCGTATGTGTGTATGTGTCTTCTTGTAGGTACTTTTGGCTATGTCAGCCGCGCAAGTGGAGGACAAAGGCCAAAAGGACTCAACACCTCTAATGGAAGCCGCTTCAGCCGGTCATTTGGACATTGTCAACCTGCTGCTCAGCCACAACGCCGATGTGAACGCCCATTGTGCCACCGGAAATACACCACTGATGTTTGCTTGCGCAGGCGGTCAGGTGGAAGTTGTGAGGGTACTCTTAAAGCATGGCGCAAATGTGGAGGAGCAGAACGAAAACGGACATACGCCGCTCATGGAAGCGGCATCAGCAGGCCACGTGGAAGTAGCAAAGGTGAGTCGTTCAATCGCCATAAATATAGTTTTTCGATTACATTTAAAGTGATTATAATCCGAGATTTGAGAGGAAGAGACATTAATCGAGTTACTGATTTGTCTGCTCTGTGATTTATTTTGATCTTATCTGATGCAACAAGTGGTCCGAAGATGTGGCAATAACTTGCACGTGTTTGCATGTGCTAATCGAAATATTATCCCTTGATCCTCCCTGTAGGTGCTACTGGACCATGGAGCCGGTATTAACACCCACTCAAACGAGTTCAAGGAGAGTGCCCTCACCCTGGCCTGCTACAAGGGCCACCTGGATATGGTGCGTTTCCTGCTGCAAGCCGGTGCCGATCAGGAGCATAAAACCGATGAAATGCATACAGCCCTGATGGAGGCATCGATGGACGGCCATGTTGAGGTGGCGCGACTGCTTCTCGACTCTGGGGCCCAGGTGAATATGCCAACCGATTCGTTTGAGTCGCCCTTAACACTGGCCGCCTGCGGCGGTCATGTGGAGTTGGCAACGCTGTTGATAGAGCGTGGGGCCAACATTGAGGAGGTTAACGATGAGGGCTATACGCCGCTTATGGAGGCGGCCCGGGAGGGGCATGAGGAAATGGTTGCTCTGCTGCTTAGCAAGGGCGCGAATATCAATGCCACCACCGAGGAGACACAGGAAACGGCTCTAACTTTGGCCTGTTGCGGAGGGTTCAGCGAGGTCGCGGCATTCCTCATCAAAGAAGGCGCCAACCTAGAGCTGGGCGCATCAACGCCCTTGATGGAGGCCTCACAGGAGGGGCACACGGATCTGGTGCGATTCCTGCTGAAGAACAAAGCCAATGTGCATGCCGAGACGCAGACGGGCGACACGGCGCTCACTCATGCCTGCGAGAATGGACACACCGATGCGGCCGGCGTGCTCCTGTCGTATGGTGCCGAGTTGGAGCACGAATCCGAGGGCGGACGGACGCCCCTGATGAAGGCCTGCCGGGCTGGTCATCTCTGCACCGTCAAGTTCCTCATACAGAAGGGCGCTAATGTCAACAAACAGACGACCAGCAATGATCACACACCGCTCTCGCTGGCCTGTGCCGGCGGCCATCAGTCGGTGGTGGAGCTGTTGCTCAAAAACAATGCCGATCCCTTCCATAAGCTGAAGGACAACAGCACCATGCTGATCGAGGCCTCCAAGGGTGGGCACACGCGTGTCGTGGAGCTGCTCTTCCGGTATCCCAACATCTCGCCCACTGAGCTAGCGGCGGCCTCAAGCGCTGGCCAGGCCCAGGCTGCGGCCGCTGCTGCAGCCGCTGCCGCCGCAGCTGCCGCCGCTGCGGGCACGAATCAGATGCGATTGCAGCAGCAGAAGATCCTCCAGCAGCAGCTGCAACACCAGCTACAACAGCTCAATGCCCCGCCCGGCCTCCACGAGCTGTCGGAGGCGGCTCGAGCCTCCAATCAGCAGCTATTCCACCAGCAGCAGTTCAATGCCACCGGCAATGGTTCGAACATTGTTGCCCTTGGCACCGGCGATTTTTTGGACGCTGGCGAACTGCAATTGACGGCAGCAGCCGCTGCCAGTGCCACTGGAAGCGAAGCAGGAGCCGAGGAATACGGTGGGGTCTCTGGTGGCGTCGGTGGTATCGATCTAACTACTCTGGGAGCCCAGCAACAGGAGGGACTCATTGCGAAATCGCGACTGTTTCATCTACAGCCAGGCTTTGAGCAGCAGCAGCAGCAGCAACAACAGCAGCAGCAACAGCAGCAGCAGCCAGCGGCAGGGCAGAATCAGCAGCTTGTGCCGTGCAAGCATTTCGATCTGGATATGGAGCACATCAATTCGCTGCAGCCGCCACAGAAGGCACCGCCAGCGCCGCCTGTGCTGTTCCACACGATTTGCCAACAACCTGTGCTGCATATGCAGCAGCAACACGGGGAACAGCAGCAACAACAGCAGCAACAACAGCAGCAACAGCAGCAGCACCAGCTACAACTGCATGCCCAGTCGAAGTTGAAGGGGGCGCTGCCCGGCAGGAATCGTCCGCTCAAGAGCGAAGTGCTGGGCATCATCGAGTGTCCGTTGGATCATCTGAACGAGCAGGTACGCTCCCAGCCACTGGGAGAAGACGGCAAATCGCAGCAGCCGCAGTTCTCATGCACGGGCGAGGATCCACGTTTGCAGCGACGACGGGGCTTCATGCCGGACCTCAAAAAGGGGGAGCTCCCTCCAGGAGAAGGCGGCAGTGACACCAACGAACAGTTGCCTGTGAAAGGTATGTCACACAATTTAGCAAGATTTTAGCGGATTCGTGACTTTTGGTTTTTCCGTTTGCAAAGGAGGAGCCGAAAGCAATCAGCCCGCACAGACGACAACGCAGACTTCAGCAATGGACAACAGTGGCGTGACATCCTGTTCGCATCCCATATATCCACCGGTAAGGATTACACAATTACGGATTACTGGACTATAGGATTAACCATTTTGTTGTGGCGTTTTATAGCGACCTGGTGGACCCATTACACAGATTTCGGATGTTCTCCAGAGCACAGCCATTAGCGATAGGCCGAAGGTCAAGGCCACCAACAAGAACAACCGAAAGCAGGCAGCCGCCGCAGCGGCAGCAGCAGCCGCAGCAGCAGCCGCCGCAGCAGTGGCAGCCCAGCATGCGCTACCCAATCTCCAGCAGAATCAAATGGTGTCCATCTACAACAATTTGGTGAGCTGTCGTCTAATGGCGTCTAATGAGGAATATCTCGTAGAGATCGAATATTTCTGACATCCAACTGTTTCTCGTTTCTCTCTTTCGATTAGCAAATGCAGCAGACGCATCTGCAATTGCAGCAACATCTGCAGTTGCATCACCAGCGTGTGGCCTTGGACAATGCAGCCGCAGCAGCAGCAGCCGTCGCAACTAATCCAAATCTCTACACAAATTCCCCGGCCTCACCGCTGGCCTCGCCCACAGGAGGTGGCAACGGCAACGGCAACGGCAGCGGCAACTATTCCGAACAGCAGCAGCCAACTCAGCAGCAGCAGCATCCAGGAGGAGCAACCATTGATGTGGCCATGCAGCGAAAGACAGCCATGGAAGACTTTCGTGGTCTGCTGGAGACAGCTGTGAATGGATCGCGGGGCAGGAATGAATTGGCCATGACTTCGCCACCGTTGAACTTCTTCAAGGACGGCTGGCACATGGTGGGAGTGCACAATTTCTTTGGCGATCAGCCAAAGTCACCCACCGAAACGCCGCCTGAGATGGAGGAGACGACCATGTCGCCGCCGCAATCATCATCGGAGCAGCAGCAGCAGCAGCACCACCACCACCACCATCAGCACCAGGACGAGGACCCGCAGCGTCCCGAAATGAAGAATCTAGCCACACTTTGTTCAGCAGCAGCAGCGGCCGCTGCTGTGGCAGCAGGCCACAAGGATGAAGATGACCTCAGTACAGATCAATACAGTGATGAGGACGATGCTATGGGCGATGAGAATACGATGCCGCCAGAGCCGATGGATTTGGCTGAAGCGTTGCGCGAGGATGGCATCACTTTGGTGGAGGCCGATGAGGAGGAGGATGACGAGGATGAGCCCGAGGACAGCAACAGCGGGGAGATTGAGAAGCTCACCTACGACGACGACGACGACGAAGAAGATGATGATGATGATGATGCGGATATGGATCCAGATGGGGATGCAGATGGCGATGTTGATTATATTGATGACGATGAGGGCCCTGCCGATGAGGAGGACGAGGACGAAGACGATGATGAGTTCTTTCTGGATGTGGCCGTCAATGAAAACACTGGAAATATCAATAATAATAATATTAATAACAACAACAACAATTCGAAGAGCAGCGGCGGTGGCGGCGGTGGCGCTGCTGCCTCCTCCGGTTCATTGCCACTAAAGCAACGGAAAATGGCCACACGATTGGAGAATCTGATTCTAACCAAACCAGAGATCTTCCAGCAGACGCTGTGCGATTTCCGTCAAGATATGACCAACTCGGAGCTGGTCCATGTCCTGCCACAGATTAGCAATCTCAAGGCGGCCGCCGCCAACAATGCGGCATTGAACAGTGTGCTGCACCAGCAATTGGCAGCAGCCACAGCAGCCGCACAGGCCAAGGCGGCAGCAGCAGCAGCCCACCAGCATCAGCAGCACCAGCAGCATCAGCACCACCAGCACCAGAAGCAACAGCACCAGCACCAGCTGCACCATCAGCATCAGCATGGAGCAGATGGCGACCAGCAGCAGCATTGCGGTAGTTAAAAAGGATTCTCAGTTGTAGTTCTCGATTTAATGAGAATTTGTGATGTTTTTTCCAGATGATGAAGGATGCGCTGGGGTGGCCAGTGATCTATACTCGGGTCTGGAGCAGTTTGCCAACGATGGGGAAATGGAGGACATATTCCAGGTACATTTTGGGTTGATTTTTGTGTGCAGCTCTCCTTCAACTGAATGTCCCTTGATTTAGTCTATTTTTCAATCGGAACAGGAGCTGGCCAGCAGCTTGAACTACCCCGAGTTGGCCGAATTCAGCCTGAATCAGATGTGCAAGGGTAGATTCGCGGGCCAATGGGCGACGTCGTCGTCGGGCAAGTGGACAACGGGCCAGGATGGTCAGCTTGTGGGTGTGGTACGCTCTGGGGATGGAATGCCCCAGGATGCGGCTGCTGCACAGCGTCAGGCGAATCTTGTTGTATTGGATTATCCAATGCAACAGAATATACTGGAGGCCGAGGAGCATATGCACATGCAGGTAAGCATTCCTCTTAGCTATATATCCATGCACATAGGATATCTATATATGTGTCTGGTATCGTTAGCAACACCAGCAGACTCCTTTGTCCCTGCTACCCTTTGCCACGGACGATCAGCAACAGCAGCAGCTACATCCGGCCGCCGCCGCGGAGTTCCACCAGCAGCAACAGCTCGCCTTGGAGGCTGATCCCGAACTGAAGCAACAGCTGCAGCAGTACTCGAATGCGCGCATCATCAAGGCGGTGGCTGCCCAGCAGCAGCACCAGCAGCAACCGGCCCCCAACTTTGTCTACAACGTGGAGAGCGGCGACAAGAATGCACCGCCCGTGCAGCTGCTCTTCCAGCTGCCACCAAACATGTCTCAGGAGGCTGGCGATCATCAGTTGCATGTCGAGCAGCAGGCGCATCTCTTCCAGCAGCAGCAACAGCAGCAGCATCGGGCAGCCGGACAGCGTCCCCCCACCCGGACTGAACTGGAGCAGGTGGCCCAGGAACTGCTGCTGCAGAGGCAGACAGCTCCGGCTGGCCAGCAGGCACTGCCACCCAAGCAGAAGCACTTTAATTTGCAAGAGCAGGTGCATCTGCACCAGCCCCCGAACATGCAGGCGCCCACCTGTGTCCAACATCAGGTAGGCGCTTTCTATTGATCCAATTACATTTCCATATTTATCATTGATGTTCCTTGGTTGAAAGGTTGGAACGCAGACGCATCCTGCCTCGGTTATGGTACCCCAATCCGCCGTTGGCCAGTATGCCCAGTTTGCCCTGCAACCGCCCCAGCAGCAACAACAGCTGCAGCAGCAGCAGCAGCAGCAACAACAACAACTGCAGCCCGGACAACCGGAGAATGAGCTCTCCATTTGGCCGATGGCCACGCCCACACCGACACCCAGCACTGGAGGCAAGTCGATGCCAGGAGGCATTGCAAAGAAGGCCATTGACAAGCAATCGCGCAAGGATCGACGCTGCTCAACCTTCCGTCAAACGCCAGCAGGCAGTCAAGGTGGGTTTTTCACGGATTCGGTTTGTTTTTCCGCTACTTAATATGAAATATAATCTCCGTACAGTGAATACCAATCAGCATCAACAGCCAACAGCAGCGGCCGCGGCCGCCCAACAGCAGGCGCAGCTGCAGAATCAACTGGCTGTGGCTGCTGCAGCCACAGCGAGCGTTGATAAAACGATTGAGATTGATTCGGAGACCGAGTCGAACCATGACACAGCCCTCACACTCGCCTGTGCCGGCGGTCACGAGGAGTTGGTCGAGCTGTTGATCAATCGCGGTGCGAATATCGAGCATCGGGACAAGAAGGGATTCACACCGCTCATCTTGGCCGCCACCGCTGGCCACGAGAAGGTCGTGGACATACTGCTGAAGCATAGCGCCGAGCTGGAGGCCCAGTCGGAGCGCACCAAGGACACGCCGCTGTCGCTCGCCTGCTCGGGCGGACGGTACGAGGTCGTCGAACTGCTGCTCAGTGTCGGGGCCAACAAGGAGCATCGCAATGTCTCCGATTACACGCCGCTCAGTCTGGCAGCTAGCGGGGGATATGTGAATATCATCAAGCTGCTGCTCAACCATGGGGCAGAGATCAACTCGCGCACCGGCAGCAAGCTGGGCATCTCCCCGCTCATGCTGGCCGCCATGAATGGCCACACGGCGGCGGTTAAGCTGCTGCTCGACCAGGGCTCCGATATAAATGCTCAAATCGAGACAAATCGCAATACGGCCCTAACGCTGGCCTGCTTCCAGGGCCGGCACGAGGTCGTCAGCCTGCTGCTCGATCGCCGGGCCAATGTGGAGCATCGGGCAAAGACCGGTTTGACGCCTCTGATGGAAGCCGCCTCCGGTGGATACATTGAGGTGGGACGCGTGCTGCTCGACAAGGGAGCGGACGTGAATGCAGCGCCGGTGCCCACGTCCAGGGACACGGCCCTCACCATTGCCGCCGACAAGGGCCATCAGAAGTTTGTGGAGCTCCTGCTGTCGCGTGGGGCCAGTGTGGAGGTGAAGAACAAGAAGGGTAACTCCCCCCTATGGCTGGCTGCCCACGGGGGTCACCTGAGTGTCGTGGAGCTCTTGTACGATCACAATGCGGACATTGATTCGCAGGATAACCGAAGGGTGTCCTGCCTGATGGCCGCCTTCCGCAAGGGCCACACCAAGATCGTCAAATGGATGGTGCAGTATGTGTCGCAGTTCCCCTCGGACCAGGAGATGATACGCTTCATTGGCACCATCAGTGACAAGGAGCTGATCGACAAGTGCTACGACTGCATGAAGATCCTGCGCAGTGCCAAGGAGGCCCAGGCCGTCAAGGCCAACAAGAATGCCTCGATTCTGCTCGAAGAACTCGATCTGGAACGCACCCGCGAGGAGAGCCGCAAGGCAGCCGCCGCCCGGCGGCGCGAGCGCAAGAAGAAAAAGAAGATGGAGAAGAAGGAGGAGAAACGCCGACAGCAACAGGGCGGTCGCGGTGGTGGCGGTGACCAGCAGGGCGATGACGATGATGCCAGTGACAAGGATGATGATTCCGACAAAGATGACGACGATGAAGACGTTAGAGCCGAACGGACAGGAGCCGGCGGTGGCTCAGGGGCACGTGAGGAGGGTGACTCTGGCATTGATCAGGGATCCTGTTCGAGCGGCGACACCAAGACCACGGCCAACAGAACAACCACGGCCGGTCAAACAGTAGCAGCATCTAAGGCCGAAGCCAGCAACAGCCAACTGGTGAAGAAAAGCAAGAAGCAGCCAAAGAGCAAGAGCACTACAGTATCGGCGTCGGCGTCGGCTGTTGAATCATCAACGCCTGCCACAGCTACAGCCACAGCTCCAGCTGCTTCAGCTACTTCTCTGACAGCCGCGCCTCCTGCCTCTGCCACACCTGCACCGGCAGCAGCAGCAGCACCCGCAACCGTATTCAAGAGCAGCCTCTTGAAGAAACATCCGATCACCGAGAGTGTTAGGCTGCCGCCTACTCCGGTCCAGGTTCAAACTCAGACTCAGGCCCAGGCTACGCCAGTCCAAGCAGCTCCAGTGAAGCGTCAGGTGGAGGTTTCCAAGAAAGAGGAGCTGCCCCTGAAGAAGAAGGAGACCAGCAGCAACAGCAGTTCCTCCGCTAACAACAAGCGCGAGAAGGAGAACCTCGCGCCCAAGGAGTCAACGGCCCAACAGACGGCAACAAAGCAACAATCCACAAGCAGCGCCGCTGCCCCCAAACTGCAGAGCAGCGAATCATCCACCAATATAGCGAGCAGCAACCGCAAAGAGAGTGCCACAAAGCCATTGACATTTAGTGTCGGTGCCAGCCTGAACCCCAGCGTGAAGCGCAGCGAAGTCGACGGCTGGAAGGAAGTGGTGCGCAAGAGCAGCACACAGCAGGTGGCAGGAAGTGGTGGTGGTGCCCCAGTGACGGTGACGGCCGCCAGTTCGGCCACCAGCCTGCATGGTGGTGCCCATCATCTGCATCTTGCCAACAGCTCGACAAGTGTAGGCTCCCTGACGACCATAACGACATCGATAGCCCCCGAGATGACCTGCAAGAAGGTGCAGGTGCCGGTCAATGCCATTTCCCGTGTGATTGGCCGCGGCGGAAGCAACATCAATGCCATACGCGCCACCACCGGGGCCCATATCGAGGTGGAGAAGCAGGGGAAGAACCAGTCGGAGCGATGCATTACGATCAAGGGATTGACGGATGCCACCAAGCAGGCGCACATGCTCATCCTGGCCCTGATCAAGGATCCCGATGTGGACATCCTGCAAATGTTGCCGCGCATTAACAGCAGCATCAAGGCGGCCGCCTCCGCAGGCGCGGCAGCAGCAGCCCCCATGACAGTCGGCACTTGGGATAATCGTACGGCTGCCGGTGTTTCGGCAGCCCCCTCGGCCAGTACCTTCTCCTCGGCGGCATCCACCACATCTACGTCGTCCAGCTCATCGGCCAGCTCCACCACAGCGACGGGCGCCGCCTACAGCAATGCACACAAGCTTCAGCAGCCGTCATCGAAGGCACAAAGTGGACGGGTCTCGTCATCCGCCAAAGCAAATGGCGGCGGCAGCAAGGCTTCCTCGCTCTCGACCTCTGGCTCTCGCGGACAGAACGGCCGGGGTGGATATGCAGGACAGCAGGCGACCTCCAGTCGGGGAGGAGGAGGAGGAGGTACCTCCTCCAATGGTGTGCTCTTAAAGAGCAGCAAGGAGAGCTCGGCCAAATCGCTGCCAGGCACACAGAAAAACAGCAGCAGCTCCTCTGGAGCTACCGCTGCTGCTGTGGGCAAGCCGTCGTCCACGCTGACGGCCCAAAACTTTGCCAAGGCAGCGGCCATTGCCGCTCATTCATCACCCAAGAAGGTGGACACTGGGGCGGCGGCTGCAGCGGGTTCGGTCATTGCATCCACTGGCGGACGTAGCAGTGGTGTGGTGGCACCCTTTGGTCGTGGAAAACCCGTAACCGGCGCCACAGGAGCAAACGTTTCGCAGCTGGGAAGCGCCGCAACCAGCAACATATTGGCTGGACCAATTGGCACCTTCAACGTGGCAGATGTGGCGGCGGTGAATGCCGCCGCGGCAGTGGCGGCCGCTGGAACGGTTGGAACCACAGCCAACAGCAGCAGCACCAACACCAGCAGCAATGTGAAACCCATTGCCCCGCCAAACAAGAGAATCGGATCCCCCACACAGCAGCAGCAACAGCAGCAGCAGCAATCCCAGGCAACAGCACCTCAACCTTCAGCAGGTCCTGGACTGCTGCAGCAACACCCACAGCAGCAGGGGCAGCAGCAGCAGCAGTCACCACAACAGCAACAACAGCAACAGGCACAGGCGGCAACATCCCAACAGAATCTGGTGATCAACACCAACATGCTGATGGCCGATCTGATGGCAGCCAACACCGCAAGCGATAGCTTCAGTGCACAGCTGGCTGCCAAGCTCTCGAGTGCCTATTCTTTGTTCAGCGACTACCAGACCTCCCAATGGGGGAAACTAGATCAAGGAACAGCCGGTGGGGCTGTGGGGGATGGCCTGCCGCAGGCTGATGCCTCCAAGGCGCCTGGCTACAACAGGAATATATTGAGCTCTCCCGTCGGCAGTTCCAAGGCCTCGTCGAATCATTCGACCTCGCCACCGGTGGGCAATGTGGTCCAGCAACAGCCACAGGCACAGGCACAGCCCGGACAAGGACAGAACAACAATCAGCAGCAGCAGCAGCAACAACAACAGCAGCAGAGTGTGCAGCAGGCACTGAACATAATCACCAGTGGAGCGCCATCAACAGCGCCAGCCAGGTCGCCGTTGGTGACAGCCGGAGAGGGAAATCCCGCGAGCGTTGGACCCTCGATTAATGGCGAGGCGGCAGCTGGTGCCGCACACTCACCGGGAGTAATCAAGCCGCCGCCGGGCACGGTTCCCATCCAGAGACACGTCCCCATGCAGATCTCTGCACCGGAAGCGCCGCCCGCTACGAGTGGAATCAATTTCGGGGCCATTGGCTCGAATGCTGGCGGAAGCAGTGCAGCGGCAGCCGCTGCAGCCATGATCGATCGCCAGCAGCAGAATCTGCAGAGACTTATCTACGACAAGGTGGGTGCGTCGCAGCAGCAGCAGCAGCAGCAACAACAGCAACAGCAACAGCAGCAGCCGCTCAACTATCCGATGGATCCCTCGGCGTCGCACTACATTGTGGACAGCAACAACATGCTGCGGCTTAATCCACGCGCCTCCGTCTTCACACAGGGTAATAAGCAGCAGCAGCAGCAGCAGCAGGCACCCAGCGTCGGCGGTGGCGGCATGAATCAGCCACCAATCAATCAAGGTGCTGGCCAGCAGTCGAACATGTTCGGCAACCAGATCCGGCAGCCACCGGGAGCGGCACGCCAGCCCGGCGGACCGTCGGCCACCGCTGCGCCACAGCGCTGGTATGGCGGGGCTCTGGACTATCCCTCGTATTCCGGACGCGATATGCTGCATCTGGAGAACGGAGGAGTCATGGCTGGACTGGGCTCGCCCTCTGCCATGTCACCCAACCACGATGACATACGCAAGATGCCGCGACCAATCGGCACCGAGCGGGCCGCCTCCTGGAAGTTCAACAACTTCAATGTAGCCGCCTCTGCACTGAGCATGGACGATGTATTGCCGCCGTGGGCGCACGAGCCCAAGGCTCAGCCGCCGGGTCTACAGCAGCCGCCTCCACCCCAATCGCAGCAGCAGCCGCCCAATTGGTTGAAGCAACAGCAGCAGCAGCAACAACAACAACAGCAACAACAGCAGCAGCAATACAGGCCCTACAACAATGGACCATATCCGCAGCAGCAGCAGCACGAGCCGATGAATGTAAGTTGTTGGATGAAATTGGGGTTCTGGGCATCCCCCTAATGACGGTTTTCTTTTATATAAAGATGCCCATGGATTACCACAACATGCAGGCACCACCGAATATGGGTCAACAGCAGCAGCAGCAGCACCATATCAACTTGATGCAATCCTATGGCTTCCAGCATTTTGCTGGGGCCCCTGGAGCTGCTGATATTGCGGCTCACATGCCCGACAAGATGGAAGTGTGGGATCACCACGATAAACATGTAAGTGACAATGCGGATAATCCTCTCTTAAAGGAAGGAGACTTATCGAACATTTCCAACAGATGCCCTGGACTAACTACACCACCAATTGGTCGAACTGATGTCTGGGGGATCTTCAGCAGGAGGATCTCTTCGATATCTGTCGTTCAACCAAATGAATCGAACAGCTATGAGTGAGAACTAATCCTAAAATTGAAAGGATGAAACAACAGTAACAACAGCAGCAACAATGTAGCAGCAGGAGCAGGAGCAGCAGCATCTACCTGATATTTCAAACAAATGCAAAGCAAGATAATATTAAATTGAATTTCCAACGTTTCCCACACGCGGATCCACTGCTTCAAATCTTCATTCAGTCAACGGATCAATCATACAACGTCCTAATTCAATCGAAAAACTCAAACGAAGACTCGGGATCTGAAACTTGGCTTTGTTTATTATTTTTTTTTGATTTCAAATTATTCTTTTTACTTCTTCCTTCCGGCCACTATTAAAATTCGCAGGTTATCTAAAATTTGGTAATACGATCATCAGGCAGATAAAAGGAGATAGAAGATAGAAAATAGAAAAACAAAACGTTGTGCATAAATGAAAAAGAAGGAAAATACTATTCAAAAAAAGGCACCCAAAAAGGGCGCAATATACTTTATTTATTTTTTTAATGTACGAGCTATTTTGATCATTTTTGAAACAAAGCATGAAGTTAGCCTACAACTTAGCGGAACCCCAGCCCATGGCTATATCATTTTGTATGATGAGAACACACACACAAAACACACAAAAAAACTGGAAAGAAAGATATTTGGAAAGCTTCAAACACACATACCCACATCCAAAACATACAAAAACCACAATTTAATTTTAAGCTTAACTTAGAAAAGTCGGTCTTATGAATGAAAGATTTAAGTGAATTTTTTTAGCGCCAGCTAAAGCACACACACACACACAACATATATTACACTTATACATAAATACATCTATCTATACATATTTAATAACATTAATAAAAGCAACAAATGAATGCCGAAATTTGTACATTTTAGGCGCGCACTTTTCTATCTCCCCAAACATTCTCTCCACCCATAAAACACACTCAAAGAACCTCCTTCATTTAAAAGAAGCAAACGAGACGAAGCGAAAACGGAAACGGAAACTGAATATCGGAACACGAAAACAACACTGAAACGGAAACGAAAGATGGAAATTACTTAACTTTCTACTTACCACATATACATACCATTAACTACACGCTAACTAACAGTTACAGATATACAGATACTATATTTGAATGATACTTGAAATGATGCATAAATGCTGCATGGAGTGGAGTGTTCTCTCCTCGTAGTATTCCAGATAAAAACCAGAAAAACGGTTTAGTGGTTAGGTTTTATCAGTTTTGTGTTTATCAATGATTTCTTGGTCGGTTTTGAGCTCGAGACACCGCCACCACCACCACCACTACCACTACCATCCCAAAAGAACACACACCTAAAAATGTAGCTAGTAGAAATTGAAATTGCTTAAATAACTTAAGTAAGAGAACACAAATGAAAAGAAAAGAAAACATTTAATATTCCATTTACGAAAAGAAAACTAAAATCGAGATAAAACGATGTAACGGCGCTTGCTTGCCATCTTTGATGCTTTTCCAACACTGCTCATAGACGTACATACTATATATACATACATATATATACACTAGCGAATAGCATACGAAATACACAAAACAAAACAAACATTTTTATTTCAAAGAAAGCAAAACAGAAACTGAAAGAAATGATGTAAAAACACTTGATGAAGAACAATTCACTTTCCTCGCTCCCCTGGATGATCCTGGATGGCATCATCCACTGGGAAATGTGTGGGCGGGCAGGCAATTTCCTTGTACAATTCTTCTAGAGAAAGGAGTCGCAATGCAAATGCTTTGAAGAGGATCGTTATATGAACAATCCCTCCACGCATGGATATATACACACAAACACACACACACACAAATACACACTGATCCGATATATAACTTTAAAAACGATGATAAAAATTGAATGAAGAATAAAAAAGGATAATATAAGTGAGCATGAAACTACACTTTTTGTCGTATTTTTTGTTTGTTTGTTTCAAACAATGTTTTAGCTGCAAGCAAAATAATGTAATGAGAATGGAAATCGTTCGTTTAAGTTATTTGATACAACCGAATACGAGAAATAAATAGCCGCAAATGCTATACAACATATATATATATATTTACAACATATACCACATATATATGCCCCAAAAAAAAGCAGGATTCAACACACAAAATATAAGAGAAACAAAAAATAGCTGAAGGAGCACCATATGCATGCAGCCGTTTAAATGTCATCCGATGATGATATTGATGCAACCTCAACTTGAGAGAAACCGCAAAAAAAACAATGCGAGAGAATACAAGTAAAGAATAAATGTAGAATTTTTTTCAAGCGAAAGAAATTGAATTCAAATAGATTTATTAATTTAAAAAATAATATAAATATACTTCAAATATGAGAGAAGTATGCAAAACAAAGCAAAAGCAAAACCGAAAAAAAACACTGAAGGAAACAAAAAACAAAAAGAAACAAAACCCTACATATATTAAATACACCCATACTATATGAGTATACTACGGATTATTATTATTACTCTTATAATTATTATTATTGTATTGAAGGAAAAATATAAAAGAGAACATTAAACAGCATAAATAAAAACAAAAACGATTGGTTTTTTTTAATATTCTGCATCACTTCTTAGGATGATGGTCGAAATTTATTAGAGGAGTTATTTCTAGCTTTATCTTTTTAAATATCTCAGTAATCATCAACGTAATGGTACTTTCCTAAAAATCAAACCTTTAAATCTTTTGCTGAGCATGAGCTAATTCGTTAATTATTTGGACACCATTTCGACAAATCCTTTCATAGTTTTATATTTTTCGATAATTTATTTGTGAACTTTTACGAAATGTTTAACATTTTATACGGGTAAATCATTGTTTAAACAATGGGTAGAAGGAAATTCAGACAAAAGGTTCAATGGTGAACTCTACAACCGAACAAGGTGTCGTTAAATCGAAAGCATGCAGCACTGTGGGATGGAGAACTCCAATCTTGCCGATGACCACTTTGTCGTACATCACATTGGCGCAACGACCAGGGAAATAGCTGGCATCTGCAAAAAGGTAAACAAACAAGAAATGTAAATCATTTTCCTCTAGTTGATGATCTCTTGCTCACCTTCCGTCGATTCCAGGTAGTAGCCCTTGTCGACACTGGCCGTCTTCCAGGGCACAGAGAGCAGTTGCATGACACGATCCAAGAGACCATGGACCACCTCAAACCCGGCGGTTTTGTTGCAGTTCACAGCACACAATCGACGCTCGTTGCGGGCACCAACCTCCGTCTTCTCATCGGCTACAACAGCGTCGCTAATCTCGAAGAGCTTCAGGGGCAGCGGCATCTTGCGATTGGCCACCAATGTCTTGAGGAGACCTGGCAGCAGGGTGGTTCGCACAACCTGAAACTCCAGTGTCTTGGGATTGCCAATGTGTACGGCTGGGAGGGCTTCAATGGACTTGTTTAGCTTGCGTCCGATGTCGTCCCGAGAGCATAGAGTGAAGGTCAACGCCTCGGTAAATCCAGCCTGGGCCACCTGTTCGCGCAGCTGTTCGGTGAGCTTGTTGAGTGGAAACTGTTTGGCTATCTGCATGAAGGCTGGAAGGGATTTCTTGATGTTGTTGTAGCCAAAGGCAATGGCAATGTCCTCATAGACGTCGCAGGCATGGATAACATCGTGTCGAGTGGGTGGAATCTTGACAACAAGCGACTCCCCATCGACCCGTGCCTCTAAGTACATTCTGGTCAGCATATCCGCCAGCTTGGAAGCGGGCTCATCGATCCCAATGTAGGCATTGGCACGCTTCACCGAAATCCGCTCCTCTCGCACGGCAAGCTCTGGGTAGGAGACAATGCTGCCGTCGGGCTGCACCACATCGCATGGCTCTACCGTGAATTTCTTGGCACAATGCTCAGAAAAGAGGCAGACAATGGTGTCCAGCACCACCTTGGCTTTGGTCAGATCCGTGGCTGTGCATTCGATGAATACATTCTTGGTGTTCAACGAGATCTTGGAATGATCGCCATTAATAATGGGCGGCAGAGAGAGCACCACGCGATTGGCATCATAGATCACCGGATAAACTGGCGCATCGCGAATGATGGGCAGATACTGCTTGAGTTGGGCATGCGTCGCATAAAAGTCCATCAGCTGGGCTCCATTCAGCTCCTGCGTTTGGTTGAGTGGCACAAATTTGATTTGCTCCGGCGCCAGGGCTTCATAGCTGAAGGGTCCCTTGATCGTGTCGAGATCGTGAGTGCCAATAGCCACTAGGGTTCGTTTGCGGCATATGTTTTGGTGCAGCTTGTCCTGCAGATCAATGAAGCTGGTATAGGCCTCTTGCGTGAAGGTTACGTTGCGCAGCACAGCGGCCACAGCATGTGGACGAATCTGTGCCGTTGAGGGGTCAATCTTGAGCACCTGGCGCTGGGCAGGAGCCACAAACTCAAACTTCGGTGGCTTGACTCTGCAAATATATAGTGATTTTATATATTCCACGGTTGTACTACAGCTGTAGTATACTGCTACTTACTTGCCCTGGAATACCAAAAGACCCGTGACTAGGCCCTCCAGACACAGCAAATCGTAACGATTGGCTGGAATATCTATCCTGTAGATGACTTCCTCATTGGCATCCGCCGCTGCCGCCACATCGCCCTGTTCTTTAGTCAGCATTTGCTTCTCCGTGGTCTAATCGGATGATACAATTTGTTACAATGTCGGCACTATTGCTATTCCACTTACCACTTCATCCAGCTCCAGGCCGAAGGAAAAGCACAGCTCTTGAAATTCATCATCGGCTGCGGAAGGGGTTAAACATTAGATCTCGTCAAGTGAAAACGTGATTACACGTGGACTGTTCAAACTCACTGTACTTCTTGCCGAGCGCCTCGAAGAGCAGATCACGTTTTACCCCAATGGTTGGCATGCTGTCAAGCTAACTTAATGGTCCAAAAGGTTCTTTAATTCCGATAATTAGAATAAAAATTGTAAAAAATCACGGGCGCCGGGTTAGGACCAGTGTGACCGCGGATTTATCGATAAAACCGATATACCGTTCGACATACCGCCTCATTTTCAAAATATACCGTAAATATACTGACGAATTCAAGTTCTATTTTACATATTTCTCGTTTTTGATATTCCGTCGAATATTACTAGCTATATAGAACATTTAGCCATGCCCACATAATTTTATCCCATTGATGAATAAATTTTCTACAGGATTGGATAGTTTTCAATCCTTGCTTTTATTGTATTTTGACTAAAACAAGGTTTAAACAAAATAGTTCAACAAAAAATCAGTCGCAATGTTGCTAGTATTTGAAGACATGATGCGTGTATAGGCCTTTATGCACCCTATTTCGTTAATTTTATATGTAGATCAAACGCAATTTATTAAGACCTTTTCTCAAATTGATATTCTTTAGACATATTCAAGTACATTATTAGTATCTTGTGTATATATATCTCGATCCTGATACCTACGGAGTCTTGGATGACAAACGTATTCACAATTCTATAACATCCATTTCCCCCAGGGTATGTGTGCATGGAATTAGCAACATGTTTGTGTATGGAATGAGACTCATTGTTGCAATAGCGAAACTGCGGCGAATCGGGTATTGCCTATATTTCAAGCTATATAGATTGGCCCACATAGCTTTATCCCATAGATAAATGTATTTTCTACAAGATTGCTTCTTTTAATTACCTTAATGTATTTTATTTTGACCAAAAAACGGTTTTCAAGTAAATGTTGCCGCAACATTGTGTATGGAATGGGACTCATTGTTGTGAACCGGTTATTACAGATTCTACCCGATTCAAATAAATACCAAAATACGGTCTCATTTGAAAAATATACCGAGTGGTGCGCGCCAAATCGAACCTTTTTGAATGTGAAGAACGTTTGTTCTTTCTGGTTATAATAATATTCCGATCTGACCCATCTGATCGGCAATCTGGTAGTATCTTCAAAACTGTGGATGCTATAAACTTTTGTTTTGAAATAAGCTTGTAAAAGTGTGATATTACAGCAGTCTGGATGCAAAAATTTGGTTTCCAAAGGTCTAATAGTCTTTGAGACGGACAGACAGCCATGGCTATATCGGCTCGGCCATTGAATATATATACTTTTGAGTGTTACAAACATATACTTTCATGACAAATCAATTACACCCCTACTGTAATGTTTTCTATCTATTTATGTGATGGTTTATTATTTTCCCTTCTAATCGTTATTTAAATGGATTAATCTTAATATTAATAATTGACTCAGCCTTGACACTTGCTCTTGCATCTCTCCCAGCACCATCTGGCAGGACTTTCACCCGTATTTCTATTTGCTACACCCACGTTGTCCACAAAAAAAATGCCACACACGCTGCGTGTTGTCTTGCTGCTTGTCTTGTACTCGTATGGATTCCAAATCATCCGAAAAAAGCGTGTGCCAGCTGTCGCCTGGCACTGCATTTCCAAAAATATTGATGCAAACCATAAAAAAAAATCGGAAGTAAAAAGCGTTCGCTCCGTTTTGGCTTGGTGGTGCTGAAGCTTCTTTCCCCCTGGCCCTGGAGCAGGTGAGGTGGAGAACGAGGTGTTTAGACCAAGGTCCGCAAGTCGAGCAATTAAGCAGCTAACGTGACGAGACAACAACAGGCCATAAGACGACCTCCATGGCAGGCAGACGCGCGTCAGACGAGGCCGAGTCCCGAAAAAGGAAAGAAACCTGGAAGAAAAAAAGTTTAGTACGCGTGTGGCCAAAAAGTTAATGAAGCGTTTAAAAATTAACTTGTGGTCAAGAGGTAAAAAATGCTGAAAACAGTTAAGGAGAGAAGTGGGCTCGCTGCTTCAGCGAACAGCAGCAGCGGAGTGGAAGCGCTACTCCTCCGTGGATGGCATTGATCATCGAGATGGCATTGATCTATTTTCCTCATAAATATGTATTAAATTAGAGAGCTCCTTTCACATTTCAATTCTATTGTGGCCCCTAAACCCAAAGGAATAATCAATTCAAAAACGCCTTCAAATCCGCTCGCTCGCTCTAGAATTTCTCATCAGCATGTCCTTGCCTTGGTTCTTTGTGTGTTTTTTTTGTGTGTTCTGTTTGCCCAACCCTCGAAGAGATTGATTATTGTTTATATTTGTGTGCCTCGGCATCCAATCGGTATATGATTTCTATATGTGAATGCAGTGCAAACAAGCGAAGGATTGTGGTCAAGAGCGAGCCAAAGCCAACGCCAACGCATCCCCTTCTGAATTGGGGCAATTAAAGTTGTACGCTCGACGACTCACGACTGAATAGCCATAGCCCTCTATAGACACGTGATAGAACAGGACCAGGGGACGGAGCCACAGAAATTATCCTGCTATCCTTTCGTCCGCAGGCCAATTAACCCCTTCTGTTCTGTTCTGTTCTGTTCTGTTCTGTTCTGCTATGAGGGCGTTAAGTCAGACACGAGTTTCTGGTCGATTTATCAAATAATGCGAGGAAATTCCTGGAAATCGAAATAGAGCGATCATCATCGCTCAGACAGAGATTCTGAAACCTTTCTCCATCTTGGGATTTGTCCTGGCGTCCGTCGGCTTATTGGTTTGTAATTATGCTAATTATGAGTTTGATTTGTTCTTTATTCTTTCAGTTGAAGATCATTTATCGAACTTGAGCCTTTGTTCCCACCGAAGTCCTCCTGTGAAGGATAAGACATTGCACTACTGACTCGTAATTGCCAAGTACTTGAGTTTTTTTTCACACATTTGCTCTAGTTCCAATTATCTGGCACACCTTTTCCTGTTGCAAATTGCAAATATCAAAGGATCCTACAAGCAAAGATCATTGATCATTCCTTTAATTTGCTGGGAACTGCTTTTGGGCCAGCTCAGAGGGTTACCTGCTCTAGCCAGCACTCCTGTGTGGTCACTCCAGCCTCAGATTCATTCGAAACAATTGACACTTGCGGTTGAAAAATATCAATTTTCATATAATGCAATTGTCACCTTAGCATCGAGAGACGAGAGACCTCCCTCCATGATCAAGAAAACTGTCAGCGCAGCCAGCACACTTGCTTAATGGAATTTGATTTTCAAATTAGAAAACATTTCCCACATCCCTCCCCTTTCGAGGGCGATCGACGCACAGCAGTAGCCGCTGTAACACGGCTACTTATCAGATCAGCAATTTTTCAATTTCAATTTCATGAACTGATGTTGAGAAATTACATTACCCGAACGGCCCATCGATATCAGTTACGATTTACATTTCCCTTTTTTTTACGGCGCGCCGTCCAACGAAGGCAAAACATATCAATTACCAACGATCGAGCCTCGTTGACAGTCTCATGTTGCTGCTGTTGCTGTTGCTGATGCTGCTGCTCCTGGAGTATCCTTCCTAGAAAGTAATTTCTCACACTGACCGTTTGGGATTTGTTTGTATTTCATTTCGATTTCTTTTGTCTTTCTCGTCTGACCCCAGCCCAGACTGGAGGCAGGGGACGACGACCAAAGCAAGTGTTATGTGTGCTACTTGACTTCGGGCCAAGTGCTAGTACCCCGTCAGAAAGACAGATACAAAGACAGATACAACAGACAGACGACGGCTGAGAGGTGCCAAAACTGCCAATGGCACCTATGGGAAATGGGAATTATAATAAACTGACCTCAACACCAAAAAAAAAAAAAACAACAGAAAACCAAACCCCAGAAGAACGGAGGAAGAAACAACAGTCCAGACATTCAGCGAAATCCTTGAAACCGTTTGAAAGTTTCGCTTTTGTTTTTTGTTTTTGCCTTTTGTGGCTGTGTTCCCTTTGGGTTAAGCGTCGCGGTTGTTACCCTAATTTTGGCTCATCTTCATTCTGGGGCCTGTCCAGGGAACTCTCTGCTCATCGGCAGCTTATCTCATCTCTCTAGCCGGCGCACGCGTGTCATCCCGGGCAGCAATCAAAGTGATATGAAAATTGCATTTGGGTTCAACAGGTTCGCAGTTTTCGATTGCTGATCGTTGTTGGATCGTTGTGCCTGTGCCTCTGTGACTCGGTGCCTCTCTTGCTGTTCTTTTTTTCTGTGTTCTGTTAATTTTTGTTTGCCTAAAGGTTAAACGTGCGAATTTCACCCAGAGGCATCGGCTTCAGACTCCTGGACTGGACTGGACTGCACTGGACTGTGGAGGGAACAGTTTTCGTTTTCGGTGGTAATCGGTCTGACTTCTGACTGAAGATGCTCCCGATCCCGCTCCCGCTCCCGCTCCTGATGATCCAACTCCATTGCCAGACACCGCTTCGATCTGATCTCGCTGGCGTACGGTACGCGAATTTTGTTGCTTCGCCTAATTAAATGTAATTTCTTACTTCCTTTTCAGCCGAAATAATGCATATAAATAGTATCTTTAGTTTACATTTTATATGCGCTGCAGCCCGGGCTCATTATTATACATTTTCGTTTTCTTTCAGTGAATCTCTGGCCTCTGGCCTCTGTTTCTGTTATGGTCCTGGGCCTCTCCCTTCTCCCCCTCCTCTGCTAAGGTCAGTCGCATTCTCAGAGGGTGAGTTCAAAGGAATTTGCTGAGCAGCACACACACTCTCTCGCTGAACAAATCTTAAGTGCAACAATATAGCAATTGTTGTACTCTGCTCCTATAAAAGGCCGAAAACTTGTTAATTGTTTCGCGCTCGAGTGGCCGCTGCCGCGACCACGTGAATGGGCGTTGGGAGATGGGGCACACTTCAGGGTTCCGGGGAAAACACTTTCCAGACCCAGTAAAACCCAGACATGGCCCATTGTCGTCTCATTCATGAAGTGCATCTAGAGCGAGGGATCGTGATCGCTGGATCTCGCTTTGTAGCGAGAGAGGGGTTCCAGCAATTGTTGCTTTGCCTGCCGCCGCAAATTAGATGCTCAATTACGCTACGACGAGAATTCCTTGGTAATTTCAATGCCATTCAAGAGATTCCATGCCCATGCCCATGCCCATACCCATACCCATACCCATTCCAGGGGCTGAAGGAGTGAGTCACTCGAAAGTGAATCTTGACCACGTGGTGCCGTAAACCCTTGCTTCGCGTTTCACAATCATTTTTCATTCTAGCCACATCCTTCCGCAAAATGTTCTCACACTTCTGGTAGACGCTCCTCCACGCTACGCTACGCTCCGATCTGCTGGTAGGATCTGCTGCCCAAGGATCGGATCGGCAATCGAAATCGGAAGTTGGGCAACAGCAGGGAAGGAGCAGGGGGCGGCATCCCAGCTCTCTTCTAGTCCGCTCTCTCTCTCAATGTTGTTTCAAAATTTTCAAAATCTTATTAAAAATTGTTGTTATTTCTTGCGTGGCGTGGCCCTTTTTCCGTCTTTTGTGTGCGAGTGTGTGGCGGGGTTTCATTTTCGTTTTCGTTTCTGTTTCTTTTTATTTTTTATTGCTTTAATCATTTTTATTTTGTGCGGCTTCCGTGCCACCTGTTATGGTTAAGGCTAAGACCGAGCGAGAGACTCCAGCGAGGTCCTTTAGAGCCTTTTTGATTTTTCTCAAGTGATTGCGTAGTTTTCATCTGTTTTCTTTTGTTTCCAATCTCGCAGTGTTTCAAATTTGAATTAACGTGGGACCCAATCCCGAAACCCCTTGTCCAATTTCCATCACAATTTGTCCGTCGATTATGAGTCTCACTTCCGACTCGGAAACGAGGGTGGAACCAACCAATAAGGAAGCGAAGAATGAGTCCTATTCCTCGGCATGAAATTAATCCTTGATTGCAAGATTAATGCCATCGAATTAGTCAAATCTGAATCATCATTTCAGAAGGAGAGCAGGGCGAAGGACTGGCGCCAGGCAGTTGCCAAAGATCACCTCAGATTGGGATCGGTTCGAGTGTTGGCAAAACAAGACCCTAGCAACCGAATCCGATTCCAAATTGCGGCATCAAAGTCGGTTGCCGTGCGACAAAAACTGCCCGACTACGGTCTTAGAGATCCAATCTAAACAGATCTGCACTGAGCCCCGACTCCAGACGATAACCATCAGTATATGCAATCTATAACAAAGCGTAGGGCACAACAGGCGGCCCAAGACGAGCAGAACTGGCCTATGGGCATGGGCGTGCCCAAACAATGACACAGTGGGCGCTGCAAGACTCCTGGTGCAAAGGACAACCCATGCTCATTGGCATCAACGTGTGTATAATCTAGTTTTAATTTTCATGGGAATTAACCCATGCCATCAGCAATTTGCCGGCTACTCCGTGCACTCCACTCCGTCGAACAATGTGCAATTTATGCGATATTTGTTTAACAATTTTTCGAACAGGTCCGTGTCCTGTGCGATGGATTGATGGATGGCTATGAACCCCCATCCAATGAAATTGTATCCAGTATCCAGTATCCAGTATTTGCTTCCATTCGAAGCCTTCGTATTTGCTTTGATTTCCACTTGACTTTTTATCGCTGCCGTTGGAGCATATGTACATATGATATTTTTCAATTTTTTCAATGGCTCTGCGTCCATGGAATGCTCCTGCCCCCTGGGGGAATGTGTGGTCAATATTTGCATAGCCAAGTCAAACAGTTTGGGGCTCATCCATACCGGCGAGTCGAGTGGGGGAACAATGGTCATGAACGTTGACCAGGCTGTCCTGTCGCCTGTCGCTCCTCGACTTGGTCTCTGGCATTTACATATTTAATTTGCCTTTAATGAATTTTCAATTTGACAATTGCCAAAATGCCGCACACGAATCCCGTTTTGCATTGCGGCCGACGGCCACCCACATCGACAGAAAGGAGGAGGAGCTGGAGTGCTTCTGAAGATCTGAAGATGGCACGCCACGCAGCATCGCATGTCCAAGGGCCCAAGTGCAGCTCCTTTCGCTTTTGCTTTCGTTCTTATGGGTCGGAGGTGTGTTAAATGCTAATAAAATAAGTAACATACAAATTTTTCAATTTCAGTCGAAAAAAAGAATTGGGCCGCAGAAGCAGTTGGAGCTGGAGCTGGACCTCGAGGTGGAGCTGGAGATGGGGCAGAATCTGAAGCTGGAGCAACACTTTCACGGCCCAGAGCGACTTGCTAATGGGAGTCGTTGACGTGCGCCTACTTTTCTTTTTGGTTGCTTCTTCAGCGCCTACACGTTCCGCATGTCAAATGAAAGGTCTCTGGAAAGGGTACAAGACGATGCAGTAGGACTCCATAGACCATTATGTTTGGCAAGGGAAAATATACAATATGATCAAAGGTAAACTTAAATTAGATATAAGATATAGTGATATTCCTTAAATAAGTTTGCTTAATTTGTTTCCTTTGAGCTCTCACAAATTTAAACTTGAATGCCGGACATCCTTCGATACTAATAGATTCATCTAGAGATTAATCTTTACATTTGTCTGCTTAATTCGTGGTTAGGGCATTAATGCTTCCATATTACAGCAGTCCGATGGCTTCAATTGCTTTTGTCATGCGCTTTCTGGAAGCTGCTCCACATCAGCCTCAGCCGCAGCACTGTTTCCCTGCACAAGTTGCATTTATGTACATTGACATGAAAGGAACGGCCCGTTATCATGATAATGATGCCAATGATGAGGCCTGGGAATGCCGAGGCATTTAGTCTGGAGGTATATGGGTCCTGCTCGGCTCATATCAAGCAGCTACGAGGAGGCATCAAGCGTCCACTCGATAACTGACAGGCACGCAAGGCGCCCAACCGCACAACACAAAAAAATGAAGAGAACTGTGTTAACTCTTTCTGCTCTGCCCCAAACTGGAGACCAGCACGTGTACTGGAGGGGCAATGTAAATGTAAATTTCAAATCGATCGATGCAAGAGTTTAGTCGGTTGGCGGATGCCTGGACATCAGCTAATGCCGATAAGCATAAAGTTTACAACGAGCCAGCCCAGAGAGAGAGAGATGCGCATCTAGGGGATGCGATCGATCTTTCGCTGTACATTGCATTGCAGGTGTAACCGAGGGCGTCACTTGCACAACTGTCGTAGCCGCAACCGGCTCGTAAATTGCACAGGACATCGGTGGACATTCATGGTTGGTTAGGGGCCATCGGAGTCATCGATAGCAGGCAGTCAGGCAGAGCAGGCAGGTTTACCTGTTCGTCCAATAAATTCACCGGGCCTCGGCTTGGTGCGGTTTGTTGTGTGACATTTTTATCTAATTGACAGCGTTTTATTGCCTGCTGCCTGCCGATGTGCAGATAGGATAGCGCAGAATTTCCAAAGGAACATACACAGCTCCTTGGGGCGTGCTACTAGTCGGATGGGTGGGCGCGGGACTTCAAAGATTGCGCGAGAGTTCAATACAGAAAATGGATATTATGGATTGCATTATGATTTCCAGCGAATCATTAGGGATCCAGGGGCGTTGGCGGTTCCTAAGGTGGTATGGGATCGAAGGACCACCGTGTGAGTCCTGTTTCGCTGTGTCATTCCCGGGGACTACAACTAAATTCCCTTTTCATCGTCGAACGTTACGAGTATTAATTGCGAGGCGCTAAAATGTTAACCTAACTCCTAGTCTGTGTCGGGCACGCTTATTAGCGATGGACGGTGTAGGGTCCACGTCTATCCAAGCGTGTCCTTGACGCTGGCCTAACAAGCTAGCGCCGGCGGTGCCCATTTTCATCCCTTGACCCTTCAAGCAGGTCCTCGGAACAGGCATATCAATTGGAAAATTTGCCAAGTTGTAATAAACAAGATTTTTCATTGCGATATTTGCTCCGTCCTCGTTCGATCTTTAGTCGGCATGCCGAATCGCCTGACGGCGGTAAATTTGTAAAGGTTTATCCCGAGGTCAGGTAGATGGGCCTGCCCTCTAGGCGATTTAGATAAGATAGTACTTGTAAGGCTCTCTGCTCTCGCTCTGCCATTTGGTGCTGACAAATCATTGACGATGGTCAAGCGGCAATCCGATGGATTTTTGGCAAATTTTGGCATCACTTTGCGGTCGGCCCTAATCCTGTTTTGGGGATTGTTTGTCTTTAAGTTCTGTTTGCATTTCCGCCCATTCCTGTTCCGGTTGGCACAGCGGCGCACAAAACCCTATAATCATCTTGTTAGCGGCTTTAGATATACCATTGATAGCGACGTTTTCTATCGGGGCGCCATTTTAAGCTCTCTCTGCCTTGAAACGAATCGAAACGAAACGAAAGCAGACGTACGGCAAAATGAAACGAAGAGAGACTCATATTCAACTCAACTCACCACCGACCGTCATTGGCCGGCATGCTCTGGCGGCACGTGCTGCCCCCAGTCCCAGTTCGGGCCGGGTTCTCAGGTCGTCAGGCAACTCGATTCCCTTTACCTGGCCCTTACCTGCGGCGCAGTGGTGGGTTCTCTCAGAGTATAAATACCACTGCCAGGATGTGAGACCAGTCAGAAACTCGCCAGCCAGCATCCGCAGCGAACGGTTCATCATTCTGTACTGTAATTCATCCACATCCACATATCATCCAACATGTCGTCCAGTGAAATCTATCGCTATTACTACAAGACGTCCGAGGACTTGCAGGGCTTCAAAACAGCCGCCACTGAGCCCTACTTCAATCCGATGGCCGCCTACAGTCCGGGCATGACCCACTATCAGTTCAATGGCAACGCTTTGGCCAGCTCCAGCAGCTACTTGGCGGGAAACGGCTTCATCAGCTTTGAGCAGGCCAGCTCCGATGGCTGGATCACTTCGTCGCCGGCCAGCCATCGTTCAGAGAGTCCCGAATACGTTGATCTCAATACCATCTACAACAATGGCTGCAACATGGGTCACCAGCACGCTCAGCAGTACGGACTCAGTCTGGAGCAGGCACAAGCAGCAGCAGCACCGCCACCATCCATCGCAGAAGTACCGATAGCTCCATCGGTACCGTCAGTGGAGGTCATGGGCTCCTCCAATGTGGGCACTTGCAAGACAGTGCCAGCAGCTCCTGCCGCAGTCAAGCCCAAGCGCAGCTATACGAAGAAGAATCAACAGACTGCCGCCACAGCCACCTCCTCATCCACCAGCAGTGCCTCCAGCTCCACGGCAACGGCAACGGCTCCGGCAAATCTCTACGCTGATGAGTTCCAGAGCTTTGACTTTGACAACTCCGCTCTGTTCGATGACAGCGTGGAGGATGACGACGATCTAATGTTGTTTGGCAGCGGGGCCGAGGACTTTGACGGCAACGACGGCTCCTTCGATCTGGCCGATGGCGACAGTGAAGATGCTTCGGGATCTACTTCCGGCAAGAAGCGTCGCAACAAGCAAATCTCGCCGGTGGTCAAGCGGAAGCGTCGCCTGGCCGCCAACGCACGCGAGCGTCGTCGCATGCAGAATCTTAACCAGGCCTTCGATCGTCTCCGGCAGTATCTGCCCTGCCTGGGAAACGATCGTCAGTTGTCCAAGCACGAGACCCTGCAAATGGCCCAAACCTACATCTCCGCATTGGGTGATCTGCTCCGCTAAGAAGGCGAGCGGACAGGACACCAAAGTTATAAATTAGTTATTGTTGGAGCCTTGCCAAATGTTGTACCTTTAATGCCTGTAAATAGCTAGGAGCCCAGTAGTAAATTATCGCTTGTTTATTGTTTAGTTAATTAGTTTAAATGAAGGACAATGATTCAGATTAAAACAAAATAAAACAACAAGTAACACATATAATTTTCTTTGTATTTATTTTTGGGAAAGAAAAGGACCAAGACTCTTATGCTAATTGATCTGTAAATCAATATCCGCAGAGCTCTGCAATATTTCTGGATTTGTAATAATTGCAATTAAAATTGTGAGCCCCAAAGAAGTAAAACTAAAAGAAATAATCCAACATAATATCGAGATCTCGATCAGGTTCGATCTTTCCGCTTTTCAAGAATTGTTTTGCTCCTCTCCAGACTCCTCCACGCTTATCTGCCAGGGCCAGGGGCATCAATTCTCACACAGTCGCGCCTATTGAATTAAACTTTATTATATGAGGGAAGGTGATCGATTTGGCGCTTCGCGATCAATTTGTAGACAGGTCGACAAAATTAGGGCCGGCTACTCAAGCCCCAAGCCTGCCCAAAACAAATACGCGAACGATCTGCAGGAGGAGCCGTGCGGTCCGGTCCGGTCCGGTCAGTCAGCGATCCTCAGAACAGTATTGTGCCAATAATTACACGGCACGGCGCGCCAGAGTGTAGCTGCCAAATTAAGTTAAGTGTTGGGATGATCTGCTTTCAGCAGTCGCAGGTCGCATGCAATGTCCGATTCGATTCGAGTCCCGAAAATCAAGCGCCGCCACTCACAAATCGTTTAAGGCGAAGTTCGATCGGTGATCGTTGCTGGCGGATAACCCAAGCCAACAGAGGGAGCCGGCCGGCTAAGCTGTCTTAAGCTGACGCTGACGCTGAAGCTAAAGCCGAAGCCGGAGCCAAAGCCAGGGCGATTCATTCAGCAGAAAGCAGAGCAGCACCCGGTACGACAGTCAGTCAGTCAGTCAGTCAGTCAGTCAATCATTCGGAAGATCCAAAACCAATTTGTTGATAGCGCGACTGCTGACGATCGACTACCTTCCGCTCCCGTTCGTAAAGGGACCTCAAGTTCACATACTATGGGAATCGGAGCATTTGTAGGCGGCAGACGAGGGTCAGGCAGGGCAGGGCAATGGGGATGGGATGGGGATGGGGATGGGCAAGGGCCGGATTTCGTGGGTTGTTTCTGTTTGTTTTATAAAATCATTTTCGGGCGTCGCCGCAAAAGCTCTTGGGCCATTGGATATTGGATTTACCGGGGATTTAGGGACTTCGGACCTCATAATCAAAACGAAATTCACATAATTAGTTAGCGGCAGCGACAGCGGCACCGCCAGGCACCGACAGGCAGGGCTTCGTTAAATTGTTAATGACTTAATTTAGTGGTCGCGAGGTGCGGGCGTCTCCCCAGGACTCGCGGCAATTATAGCTATTTGTATGCGGATACCCCCGATATCCTGCCGTGATCCCCCGCGATACCTCGACTCCTGCTAGCCGTGTCGCCTTGCTCTTGTTAGCGACAATTTACGGCTTCGAACGCTTCCGCACAAAGCGTTGCCGTCAATTTGTCAATTACACAAATTGTTTGGGTCCCATCGTCCCCCGAAACCAACAACAAGAAAAGATGCGACTCGAATTCGACTCTTCCTGCCGATCGGAGCTTTGTGCAACCGAGCTACGTGGAGGATATCTCCCTGCCACTGCTTTTGCCACTGACACTGCCACCTGCATGCAGCTGCACAGATTCGGATCCAGCTTCCAAAATGCAACTGCCTGCCAATACAATTAGTTAGAATTCATGAATGGGATCTCGACCCCAGTCAGCTTTTGGCAATGCCGCCGCCGCCGCCGCCGCCAACAGCCGCAGCAGGAGCAGGAAGGAGTAGGAGAAGAGCAGGAGCACCATCGGCAGCAGAAGAAACAGCAGGAGTGGGGCAGCAGAAGTCACAAAGTTGCCTTGCATGTCTTTGTCAATTTATAGACAGCTTGCCTGAGCATTATTAACACGTATTATTATGCATTCGATGTCCGTTTCGTTCCGTTTTGGTTGTGGTTCGGTTTCCCCCTGTCTCGAGGCAGACACCGACTGTCTGCAACCGGCTGGGGCACGAATGAATGGTCGCAAAATTTGTCATGTCGATAATTGGCGAGCTTTATTTTGAGGTTCTTGAGGTCTCGCACATTTTTGTAGCTCTCTGGACATAAAGCATAAGTAGTTGGGGAGTATAGTGCTCGTAAATGTACCTCCATCTCTACATGTATCTGTATCTGCGTTAAATAAGTTAATGAGCTTTAACACCATCAATTTGTCACTTCTTGTTAGTGTCGCCATGGGGCAGAATCGGATCGGAGAGGTTTCTGAGTCAGAAAAGCGACAGCATGGGTCTCGCCTTGTGGTAGTTAGGAAATGGACTCGTTATGTGCAATCCTGGAACTGAAGATGCTCGGTTTTATTCGAAGTTTTCTTTGGTCAATGAACGAATATTTTAAACTGGATTGGACTCACCTGATAGGATATACTGAGGGCTTTATCTCGTTTCTTCTATAAAATAACTATTCCACAGGTAGTCCTATCAATCTACTGTATTCCCTCAACCACCAAACAATTTTTAATTGCGGTTTTGCCAACGTTTTCAAATTATTTGTACATTTTTCCTTTTTTATGCCATTTCCTTTGGATACAAAACATTTTCTCATGCCTTTTTGGGCCCATTTTCCATCAATTTTTGAAAGGACTAACCACAAGAGTGGTATTTTGTATCTTTCTGCCTGGCTGGTGCAGTTGGTGCCTTCAAGTGCAGTTTCCGTTTCCGCCGTTGTGTGTTTTGGCATTGTTGTGTGAACATTTTGCGCTGATCCTTTAATTATTGCGCAATGATTGCCTCCAGGGCTGCAGACTCCAAGAGCCCAAAATGATATCCGAGGTTTTGTGATTGATGCGAGTCCCGGCCTGGGATCATGGATGGAATAGCATATCCTTTCTCTCAGCAGAAGTCGCGTGTGCATCGATGGCTGTGTGGGCCTCGGGGTCGGTTTTAGTCCAACTCAAAGTCCATTCCAAATGAATGCAATTATTAAGTCATAAAACGAGCAGCGTAAAATGCCAAAAGTCTGTAATTAGCGACACGAAATCACGCCAGCCACGCCCCTACACAGTCCCAGGACCAGTCCCAGGCATTGTGTGCGGTCGGCACAAGAGAAATTACCTGCCTGGAAGATCTACGGGAGAGTGGGAGTGAAAGTAGCGGAAGGACTCTATTAAAGGTCACCGTTTGTTTAGGGAAGTTTTGGCCCAAAGGGGAAGCAAACAGTGCGGAGCGGCAATTAGTCAAACGATTTGCTATGCATCCCATCTCCCATCAATCAGTGCGACAGGGCAGGATCCGATTACCGATCATCATCATCATCATCGTCCTCATCGGGAGCACTAACAGATTTCACCGTTACCCGTTTGACAAATAATTCGCACGGCCAACGGTACTGTCTCTGCCAGATCTCTGGGTAACTCAATTAGCCACACAGAGACGCATCGTCGGCACAGTTGAGTGACTTTCGGTTTTCGGCCTCCTTTGCCTTTGCTCCATCCACAGGCACAGGCAGAACCACAGCCACAGGCACAGGCAGAACCACAGCAAGAGACTCTGCCAAGTAGGTGGGCCACCTCCAAAAGCCGAGAGAACCCAAGCCCAGACCCACACCAAAAGTTCTCAGTGTCTCACGATGCAGCCAGCAAATGAGCGAGGATGATGGACAGGCAGCAGTGCGGCGGCCAGTGAAAGTGCATCAAAAATCAAAGTCTTTGTGGACTTTTTGACAATTTTTTGGCGAGGCATCAAATTAACACACAACAAAAACGTTAAGATGCTACCAAAAAGATAGCAGAGCGAAAAAAATCCATCGAGAAGATAATTCCCCAACGAATTCCAGATGCACTGCCAATGAAAGTTGATCAGTTCTGTGGCTCGGTTCTCTTTCTGAAAGGAATCCCATGATCTTTTGGGAACTTATAACTCATATAATCCAAATGAACATAATAATAATACTGGATTTTGTGGTGTCGGAGGAGCTCTATGCAGCATCTTTATATTTAGAGTATTCATCGATTAAGAGCCCCCAAAATCCTTTTTGGCTGTGTGTTTTAACTGAAATTGCCACACGCAAGCCATCGCCATCGCTTTGTCACGTTAAGAGGTCTCGGGCCCTGGGAGATGCCAGAGGCGAAGAACAGTCTGAATATTTGGTCTGGACTGCGATTTATGAACAAAAGATTCTTCTCCCCGAGTCCTGTCTCTGCCCCTGGGCATGGTCCTACCCGTTGTCTGTAATTTTGTATTGACATTAGGTCATTTGATACAGTTTTCCAGCTCATTTGCTTGTAATTGGGCACCGGAGCCTCGCACAGACTCCACATGAGATCCCCCTCTCTCACTCTCTCTCTCTCCCCACCTTCTCTGCCAAATTTTCGCTCAGGTTGACGACTTTTCAAATTATCAGTAATATTTTGGAACTTATATATTTATTAATCAGGATTTCGTGTGAAAAATGCGACCAGGGTGCCCTCGTATTTTGTGCTTAAGCCCGGCTCAGCAGACAGCAACATGGACAACTGGACGGGACACAAAAGACACAGGACTGGAGTGGAATGGCTTGGACTGGACTGGACTGGACTGGACTGGACAGACGACCATCCAATTTAATGTCAACGACGTCGGTGGCGTTGGCATCACTTCATCTTTTGCCCACTGCCAAGGGAAGGTCCTGAAACGTCTTTCGGGCTCGTTTTTTTTTTCTGTTGTGTTTTGAGCTGTTGCTTTGGTTTAGTGGCTACCACCTGCATTGACTGGACTTCGACTTGGGACGCTTTTTGGACTGTCGCGACCTGGAGTGAGTGTGAACTTAATCCCTTGGCCCCAATTATTCAAGTAATTAAGTATTAATGTGCGAAATTTTATCACCTTCGGCGAGGGTTGACTTGGCTCCAAGTTAAGTTGAGGTTGAGCAAGCCGTGATTTTCCAGCCGATTTGTGTTTAAACGATCGTGAAAGTGGGGCTTCTTGAACTCAACATTCGCACGGGTGGTGACCGCTGAGAGCTAAGCTCGGTCTGGTGGGAGGTTGGTAAGGATTACAGCCAAAGTTTGGACTGCAAGGATTGTGATCTGATAATAATTCGGAGTCGTAAAGCAGAGATTCCACAAATACTTCAAATACGATTTCCAAGATTTCAACAGACTTTGAGTGATTGCTAATAAAATATTTGTGATCAAGGAGTGCCGCTACGTGCCGACAAAAGGGATCACAGGGATCGGATCTTGTACGACATGCAATTAGTAGATATAATCCGTGTGATTCCATCCGACTAAAATGTCAATAACAATAAATTCCTGGCGGCTACGGGGTAGCAACACACTGCTGGCAATCAAGATAGCAACGTGATCAGCTCATAACTGTCAAAAGGCAATCAATTGATTTGCCCAAGAGCCCAGACCAGCCCAGCTCAGTCCAGTCCGATCTGAAGGCGGTTCAGGGAAGCTATAGCTAGAGGTGCATGTGGTGTACGGGGTAGGGAGACCGCACAGGACTCGCTTCGCACAATATTTTAGAGGCGTGTTCCGCCTGTCAACATTTTATGTTGGTGGTCAGAAAGTCAAATTGTGGTCGAAGCAACTGATACAGCAGCAGCGATGATGCTGATGCTGATGCTGAATGCTACTCTTATGCTGAGAACCTCCCGGGTGTTCCCAGGCACAGGACAGACAGGTCCTTGAGCAGACAATAGAACAATGGCAAGTCTTTTGTGTGTTGGCCAACGAAACAAAGGCAACTACTTACAACACATTATGACACGAAAATGAAAGCGAAAACGAAGGCCTACACCGATCCGAATCGGCCTAGTCCTGGATCCTTGGAACCCATTCCTACCCATTTTATTACCCTTCGCCGTCCCCTGATTCATGGCTATTGCTCTATTTCTGCGGCTCCCGGCGAGTCCCGGCGAGTCGGCACATCTTCTTGTGGCTCCTTTTGATGCTGTCCAGAGCATTGAATTTGCGTGAACCATAAATAATTTTATTGCTTAATTTTTCGTGCTCCGACGCTTTACGGCGAGATCTCTAATTGAATTGCGCGCTCTGGAAAATTTCACATTTGTCTCTCCATTCCACTAAAAGTTCCATTATTTATTTGGGATCTTATTTTCTAAAGGATATTGGAATTTAATGTAAATTAACTTTTTTGTTTTCGTTGCTTTTGGTTACGGCAATTGGAAAACCGATTTGAAAATTGTATACGCCTTGATGGTGCATAATTTGTTAATCGAAACGATTTATTATAATGTATAGGGTTTTATTTTGTATATATTTGAATTGGAAATGAAATCAAAGTTTAATTTTGTATAAAAGTTGTGAAAACTACACATTGCAACAAGAGTTAACTTTTGGAGTGTCCTTTGCCCGATACAGATCAGATCTCCATACTTCGAATTTGCAATAAACTCCCCAATATATTTCAAAACCGCGCTTGTAGTTTTTACTCGAAGGTAGTTTTTTAAGTTATATGAAAGCTATGATCGAAAATGAACAAAGTCACAAAAAATCAAATTCCATTCATGGCAATGTATTCTAGAATTTAATTTTTGTCTCGTACTAAAATAAAAAGAATCATATAACACAAAGTTATTAAAGATATTTTTGGAATTATCTTTTAACCCAAAATCGATCGTACTTTTCATGTAGTAAATATTTAATGTTTTCCTGTTCATCGACATGGAGTATCATAGGATTCTTCTAGCAGTTTCATAGGCAGGGCAATTATTATGTCTGTGTATATTCGGGCCTGCCAGCTGACACACCGATCTGATCGGGCCTGGTTCTGGTGCTGGTGCTGGCACACGTGTTCATTTGCCAGGCATGCGCGCGATTTCGGCGCTCAATTGGGATTTGTAAGCCGAGCTCCGTCTGTGTATCCTTGTCGGCCTCACACCTCATTTCCCCAGGTTGCGGCAGGCAACCCTTTCCAGCGATCCTTTTGGGGATCCGACTGACTGTGTATGGCCGTGTCCTTTAAGCGGCTTATCCTGCTGTTGCCGTTTTTGGTGTCTGCTCTTTCGCTCCTGCACTCGTGCTTAACGGAAGTCAAACAGTAACTGCAGCCACGGGCATGGACCTGAGCCGAGTGGTTCTGCTTCCTTGAAAAAAACCCCAACCGTAAAAGAAACAGCTATACAAAAAAATATACCAAGTAATATGGACAAACTGAACGAGGAAGAGGAAAAGGAAGCGTATAGCGGAGAGCGGACCCGAAGAGCGAGCGTAGGCAATCCAATTTTTGAAGTCAAAAGTGGCACCAGATGACGGCGTGCGCCGCACGTTTGTTCTGAGTCTTAGCCTCAGCCAGAGCGTCCCAGAAGCAGCAGCAGCAGCATGAGCAGGAGCAGGAGCAGGAGAACATAGTAGCATATGTTGCACTTTGGCTTGAGTGTGCGGTGGGCTATCTATCTCGCTTTGGCCGCCAGGGTCTTGTCCTTTTTCGGTGGCTTTCACTCGCACGCCACGCGGCGTGCTCTTCCTTCTCCTTCTCGTCCTGAAGACAGCAAATAATAATAATAATGATAATTCCCTATTGTGTGTGCAAGGCGCGCCAGTTGGCTCGCAGGCGGAGAGCCGTGCCTCAAGCAGTAGACCATCCCAACTGCTAGATATCCGGCGGCCTAAGAACGGCCGACATAAGGCACCGCCGCCGCGTCTAGTCTAGTTACAGTTACCCGAAAGTTCCTCGTCGGTAGCAGTTTTTGGGAACTGAACGAACCCACGACGCAATTAAAGCCGCATCAATCAAAATTAAAGAAAATCGGGCAGCGATTTTTAAACGCGATCTAGACACGTTATAAGAAGTCTTAAGACAGCGTCGATTTTTAAAGAATCATTCCACTTCCACTAGCATGTGCCAATATTTCTCTCAAGGTAAAAGTTATTATATTCGTATTAATACATTGTTCCAAAAGAGGAAATAATAGTCGTTTCAAGTAAGCAATGCTGTTTTTGACTGTAGAAATATTATAAAATACATTGATACAACTAAAAAAAATTCTACATTTTGAGTAACATAAAAGCATTTCGACAGTGTAGCTATCGATTTCGCAGTTCTATCAAGAACCGCTCATCTTTGGCCGTAGCTTCACAACAATTTCCAGCGGATTGAGGTTCGATTTAGTTTCCAGAAAATTATTGAACAGCAAAGAACAAACAATGCCCATCGATACGGGGGAGATAATAAAGGCTCTGGCTATTTTGGCTGATCGTCGCAACATTCAAGTGACATTCAAAGAGACCGCAAAGGGAGCGGCCCTCTGTGCAGCTGGTGCATTGATTGGCGGACTCTTGATGGGGTCCCGTGGCCTAGCTGTTGGTGGGGCTATTGGTAGTCTCGCAGCCTACGGATTGACCGAAGGTGAGTAACTCTTCTTTAAGTGCACTTTTGCTATCTCCTAATGGTGTGTCTTATCTTTTTCAAGGAAAGTTCAAGTCTTTACGCGAAATTATCATGGACGATTTGACGGAAAGCCAGCGCATAGAACTGGAGCAGCATGTGATCAATGCTGTTGCCAATGTAGGCTACGAGGATGTCCTGAGTATTGGCGCCCTAATCATGAGTAATAGACGTGTACAAGATATTGCAATGAACGTGCTCAAATCGTTCGCCAGCGAGCAACTGGGATTGAGCATCGTTAACTGATTATCTCTGCACCCGTAGCCATGCGGTGCAAACAAATAAAAGCCTTTATCTTTTTGTAAACCTGACCAGCAGTTGAATCCAGTTTATGTATCATCTGAAGCGGAAGTTTGTTTAAAACAATTATTCTATTTGCAGTGTTCTTTGGTCGTGGACACCGTAGCTCCTTGCATCTTAATACGATTTTTGCTGACAGTGAATCAAATACTTTTATCTTATCTAAATATAATTTGCGCTCAATAGTTCTGAGATCAAAAACTACAATTATCGCTCATTTATGCTTACACTTGTATTTTTCTGCTATCTTATTCGAGTCTGTGTCTTCGGGCTCCAAAAGGCAAGAGTCGCGCGCCTAGCGTCACCAAGACTCAGTCAGAGATCTAGTAACATCAACAGATGTTGGAGTATCACAGAATTTGTGCAACAACAGCAATAACAGCAACAGCAGCGATCATCATCATCACCAGCAACAACTGTTACAAGCAGTAAAAATAAGATAAAATTCAGACTCTTAGGGAAATTGCGCCAAAGAGCCGAAATAAAAAGAGTCGTAGACATTTTTCGTTGCCCCGTCTACACTGTAAACAATTCGGTGGACGCTGGGCCAACGTGCAAGAACGTGCTTGGCTCTAACTAGATGTGAAATTCGGCTCAGTGTGCGAGGGGCAGGTCAAAATAATTTGGCTCACTGCGGAAAAGGAGGGACATGGCTAGGGGAACTGGCAGACAAGCGATACGACAACCTCTCTTCTCTTCATCCCTACATACATTCGTATATATAGTATAGTATCTCTTTCTATGGCCAGCTGTTGCTCGAGTTGTTTGGTCTTCCGTTGGGTATCATCATCGTGTGGCTGCCACGTGTCGTTGGCAAGTCCATTGGGCAATTGGTCGATCGAACAATGGCATGGCCAATTAGTATGCATGCGAGTTTGAAAAGTGAACTTAACCTGCGACTAGCCGCAAAATTACCCAAAATACTCGTATGAAAAATGCATACAAAGCATTCGGCATATGCAGATACAATACGTATCACATGCAGCATACAGCAGCAGCTGTAAAATCAATCAAAAAGTTGTCAAATAAATGTCATGCATAAGCAATACATATGTGAGCAGGATATGGCGAGTCCTCGCCCTCCTGTGGGTGCATAAATTTGCCCTTCTATATTTCCTTCTCCTTATACCCAAACTCATATACATTGCTCAAAGCGCTTCACAGTTGGCCCGCTCGTCGCTGAGCAACTGACGGATCTGTTGGACGACTGAGTCGCTGCACTGTTGCGCCTGCGCCACTTGCTCCTCCGATAGCTGTCGCGTGCGGACCAGGAGTAGGGATGCGTTGTGCAGAGTCTGTGCCATTCCCTTGTTGATCTCGACCATGCCGTTGATGAAGCAGTTGTTGCCGCCGGCAAATCCCAGCGGATTGAGTGGAGCCAGCTCCGTCGATTGCCCCAGCAGCTGGCAGAGGGACGGTAACTGGGCGATCTGCTGGACGAATCCTTGCACATTGGTGAGCGACTGCTGGCCTTCCTGCCGGAAGCTGTCTACCAGGCTGCCCAATCCGAAAGTGCAGGCCCCCAACTGATCCGTAATGTTGGCCGTGAGCTCGTCCAGATTCCAGGCCGGATTGCAGGTGGGGTTTCCCACCAGCAGCTGGTTGGTCTCGTATATGGCATCGCTCAGCTGGGCCATGGCATCGGTGGTCAATACCTCCAGATTGCCCGTTATATCCTGCACTGTGCGCTCCATTTTGGACTGCAGCTGGCCGGTCGTCTCATCGCTCACATTGATGGCAATCTCGGCCAGATTGTTCACCACCATGGTAATGGGTCCATAGTTCGTGGTCTCGGTCTCTGTGTGGGTCTCATTTTGGACCACTGTCTCTGCTTGGATCGACTAAAAGAGTGATTTAGTGTTGAGAAAACGATTATATATCATCAGTGCGGCTATTACTCACAGACAAACTTAGGAGAAGACAAATTATTCCAATGGTATTCATAATGATGTTTTCGGTCTATTGTTCCTGGGTCTTTGATTTTCTTGGTATATATAGTCGTTCACATTGGAATCTCTAGCGATAAGGCAAGCCATTACTGAATAGACATTCATATGTCATTTGTCTAATGAAAGACACCATCCACATAAGGTGCCAAACATAATTATACGACACTTTGGATTTGTTGTGGTGCCTAATTTTATAAATATTTGGAAAATTATTCACAGAATTCATAAATGTTGTATAGACTCGAAAGGGTAAAATCAAGTCGATAAGGCCATGTTCAACTGTCTCTTATTTTTAAAGCAATTTCAGCAACATTTTCCACATTTCCACACATTTCGTTTTGTATTTATTAATCATTTTCTTCAAGGAATGGAATGAATCTTTTCTCGAAAAGCCTCGCATAGTCTGACTCATCATGATGTTTTCCCATACATTGACATTGGAATCTGCCGCGATAAGGATTGACAACTGAACATTAGCTTAATGAAAGATAACGTCATCTGGTTTTTTTGACTAGTGAATACTTGTTTACACTTGCACTCCATTTTCGAAGGGAAATCGAAGGTGGTTTTTCTTCGCAAATACATTGTTCCGCATGTGATTGCTTTTAACAGGGGGTTTCCACGCGAATCAAGCTCGAACATCAATGGAATACCTGGAGCCAAACTAAAAAACATACGCTCTTACATAGTGGAGAGACCTTCTACTGAAGTGCTAGGAACCTAATGAAACAACGTATCTTTTAGCTCAAATCGTATATCAGTTGCATGATGAGGTTTGTAAGGAGTACACTGCTGCTTCTGAGCTTTCTTTGGGTAATACTTACAATGTTAAGCATAAAACGATTATCAACAAATAACTATTACAGGTGGAGAGTAAGAGCAGAAGGATTTGGGACAAGCAGGGGCCGCTCTACGAGTCTACGAAGCTACTGATAGCCGAGGAAAGCTTTAGGGCCGATCAACTATGGAATGACACGCATCACGCGATCTACGCACACGCCGAGCAAGTGCAGCAGGCAAAGGACACCCTAGACACTAAACAGCAGCAAGTGAGTGCGCGGCTAGAGGACTTCTTTGACCACCAATACACTGTGGAGTGGGGCTCCTGCTTCAAGCAACACGAGCGCGAAGTAGCCCACTTCAATAGGGAACTGATTGACAAGTATAGCATCTGCCGGCAATCTCTGGATAGCGTAATGGAACACTTCGAGCAGGAGGTTGTGCGGGAGGCCAACTTTCTGAATGTGGCCGCACAGAAGATTTCGGATCTATCGAAGATTTGTCAGATCTGGCAGCTGAAGCAATCCTCCTTTAACCATGCCGGCGTGCTGCTCTGCACCGTGGCCGGCATTGGAGGCATCAATCAACGCATGGCCTCCAGTCTGGAGCTTTGCTGGGACATTCTGCTGCAGTTGTCGCTAGAGGAACTGGACACACCCAGTTGCACTGCCTATCACCAGCTGAAGATGCAGTTCGATGTGGTCTATGCCGGTATCGAATCCTGTGTTATGGAGTGAGGAAGAATAAACTATGCTGCACTAAATCTTAAGAACCCTCAGAACTTTCGCACTCTCTCATGGTAAACCATTCACGAAAAGCTCTTTACAAATTGTTTACTTTGCCCCATGGAGGGGTTATATATAGCGTTATGAATGAGATAAGGAGCGATTAGTAGTCTCCAATCAGCACTTATGAAAATCCAATGGGGTATCTCTGATGGTATTTTACGAGCTATAGTTGTGCCGATAGCAGATCTGACCGACCAACTGCTCCACAGTTAGATTTCACCGCTTGGCCGGGAAAAATGTTGCCTAAAGTATCTCTGCTCTTGCTGAGCTGTGTGCTCCTGAGTGCCTACGCGAGTGGCCACCAGGAGCTGGACAACCTGCTAATGCAGCAGCAGAAGGACTTGCAGCTGTCCAGCCCTGAGGTCGAGACTCTGCGCCCCCTCTATCGCGAGCTCCAATCCCAGCACGACTATCTGTACAGCCTGAAGCTACAGCAAGGAGATGGAAGTGCTCAGAGCGAGGCGGGGACCGAGCCGCAAATGGATGCCAGCTACCTCCAGGTGTTCGAGGAGTTCCGCAGTCAGTTCGCGATCTATGTGGATGAAAAGCCAAAGATTGTCTACGACACCTCGCTGCCCACGGTGGAAGAACTGATTGGAAAACCCGGTCCGGACTTGACCAAAGAACAGCAAGCGGAGTTTAAAGATCTGCGGGACATCTTACAAGACGTGATCGACGAGGCTCAGGAGGGGATAGATGATCTGGTGATGCGCGCCATTGATCTGGAGACCAATCTGCTGACTATTAACAAGCCAAAGATTGTCACGGCTGCGATTGGAGGCCTGGGATTTATGTCCAAGTACTGGGGTTTTGCAGAGATGGCCGCATACTGCAGCTACTCGCATGTGCCCCAGTTCCAGCAGGCTCTGCAGGCCGTCAGCGATGGCGTCGACTGCTACACCTACACCACGGGGCTGGTGCTGCGCATCCAGCACGAGACGGTGGCCTCCGTAAAGGAAATCCGGCAGAGTATCCGTGGCTTGGTGAACATTTACAAGAAGATTGCCGCCAAGCAGACAACCATGGGAAGGATACTCTCGGGCACCATTAATGCCCTGAGTGCGATCCGTCGTGTCCATGACATCATCGCCGTTGGCATCGAGGGCTATGGCAAGCTGAACAACGAGCTACCAGGAGCCGCCCTCAAGTCGGCCCAGTGTGGCGTGGAGTTTGTCAACAGCATTCCACAAATGATAGAGACGGCACAGAACCTGACCGCTTGTATCGTTTACGTGGATACGGACAAGCCGAGCTACGAGTTTACCCTACCGGAAGAGGATCGTTATTGGAACACGGGCGCAGAGCCTCCAGAAATACCCCATGAGAATAATGTGGATGAGGATGATGAAGACGAGGATTTGGACAATGTGGATGACTATGTGGATCACAGGTAGTGGAGGTGCGTGCGGATATCGGCGATGCCCCTCGCTGTCGCGATCGATAAGCCAATTATGGTTAACCGGAATAAACTTGAGATTGATAAAGCGCGACACCGATCGATATGATTAAAATATACTTCGAGCAAATGTCAGAAAGTGTGTGTTTATTTCTTGGTTCCAATGGACTGGCAAGGAAGCCACGGATTTCATTGGATTTCAACGTTTTTCATTGAGGATCAATTACTCAATGCTTTGATGCCACATACCACGTTATTACAGTTGACTCTATGACTAGATTTGTGGTATCAACAGCACATTAACTGATACGTTCTTGATACGCAAAATAGTATTTAATCTATGACTAGATTCTGGACTTCTGACTTGTGACTAGACATCGCTCTCCTTGAGCTGCCGTACATATTGCTCACTCAGAGACTTGTTCAATCCATCGAGATTGACATGCATATCGAACGGAGGTCCAGCCGCCTGGGGAGTACTCTGTGACTTGTGCACATTCCTGGCGGTTGGACTGGGTGGTGGTTTCTCAATTCCGTAGGCCTGGGGTATAGCAATCACGTCGGCCATCAACGTTTGGCGACAGAGGGCCGAGAGGGCACTGCCAGTGGTGGGGGAGGCAGATGACTCCTTGGATTTCTTGCCTCCGCGCCGCAACTTAGAGGTGAGTGTGGCGAAGCCAAGTTTGCTGGAGATCTTTGCACTCCGACTGACGGAACGCGGCAGGCTATCGTAGGCACTGGAGGTACCGGCACTCTCCTGATCGGTGGATACTTCCTGTTGGTACTGTTGCTGTTGTGGCTCCAAACTTCTGGCAGCTTCTTCAGCTCCTCCTCGGATGCTGCCAGCACTGATGCTCTTGTGAAGCGGAACCGCATCGCTTCCAGCCGTGGGTGTGGGTGGCTCCTGCCGTGGCGTTACCGGAGCGCTCTGCAGGAACTGCGCCTTTGCCAACTGTAGGCGGATAGCTCGCTCCGAGAGGGGAGTGACCGGCCGATCGGGCGGAAGTATCTGTGGTGGGGGGAACTCAAAGTGCTTGGACTTGGTGGGGGTCAACGAAGGGGTGGTCTTGCCCTCCAGCTTGCGCTGAATGCGCGGCAGTGTGTTATCCTCGCGGTTGGGCAGAGTCAGTGGAGGGTGAACCTTGGAGAAGGTCGAACCGGAGCTGGTCTTGGCGATCTTGTGCTCAATGTTGTTGCTGACGGTTGCGCTGTGTGACTTGTGCAGCGAGTTCTTCTTGTAAAGGTGCGCCCTTCGCGGCGGCACGGGAGGATTGGGCAGCTCCATTGGCATCCGCTTGGCCGCCGGCTGGGACAGCCTCTGGATGCTGTCACTAGCCAGCGGGGGACGGACCAGGAGTGACCCCTGACGCAGGCCTTCGCTGCTCTGGCACTTGCGCAGCTCTACTTTGGGCCGATGTGGCGCCAGTCTCTCCAGGCTGATGGATTTGTACAGACTGAGTGGGCGTGGCTGATTCTTGGATCTCACTAACTTCTCGGGCTTCTCCTCGACGCTATGCGTGGGGCTGTCTAGCTCCTTTTCGATGAGTGCTATGCCCTCGGATGCACTGGGCTCCATAATCGTGGTGAAGATCTTTCGCTTGGTCTTCACAAAGACATTGGCATTGTATGTTCGGGCATGAGGCTCTGGCAGCGGAGGTGGTACAAATCCGCCCAGCTTCATGGGTGGAGTTGCAGCAGCAGCAGGTGCTGCAGTAGGAGCCGGAGCGGATGCGGGGGCAATGCACTGACTCTGTTCGATAAGTTCACCGGGCTTCACCTTGAGCGAGCCGTAGATTACATCATCTGTGGCATTGGCGGTATCTAACTCATTCGGGGCCGTTGTCGTGAAGGAACCCAGCCGGAAATCATCGTCCAAGGAGCGCTGTTTCACCCGAAAGTTCTTGCGGCGCAACCGACGTGGGGTCTCCAGCACGCTATGCGTATCCGCATCGCTGCTGTCGCTCTCCGTCTTGCTGTTCTGCCGGGATCCCATCTTGCGCAGGCGTACCACCTTCTTCTTGGCCGCATTTGCAGTGACACTGACGTTGGCGTTGGCGTTGGCGTTGACATTGGCATTGGCCATTCCCATGTTGGAGCGACAAAGGGTGCCCGTTGTAGTGCTTGTCTCAGTCTCGTGCTCCATAGGCGAGGCCGCACTGTGATCCGTGAGCGCCAATTGATCTCGGCTGGAATTGTCGCAGGTGGCATACGCGGAGCTGCTCTCCAGCTGCTGTCCATCTTCGCTCGTAATGTTGATATCCGGCACAATGTCGCGCGGATAACGATTTGTGCCGCCCTCTGGAATGCAGGGAGATTCGAATGAATGGATGATTCTAAAGGAATACAAATTCTGCCTACGTATGCTTAGTTTCAGGCACTGCAGGGATTCGAGCAGCCCTTGCAACTCCTCCTGGTATTCCTGTGTCCGCTCCTCCATTGTCTCCTGACAGCAAGCCTCATCCAGTGGTGACTTTTGGCTCTGGAATGTAGAAACACACTGAATGTGTGCTCTGGATAGGAAGTTCTGATTCACTTACCAGCTCAGCCAGGCGCCCCAGCTCGCTCTGAACATCGGATATGGCGTTCAGTACAGTCGCCTTCATCAGGTTATTGGAGTAGTACGGATAAATGCTGCGAATGCTGAGTAAAACGGCCTGACACTCCCGCATCGAGCTCTGCTCCAGCAGGTCGGGCGACGCATTCTTTAGATGGCCAAACAGTTCATCGGCACGTTTTACTGCACCGAGCAGTGGGGCGAGATTCGTGTGCGATTCGAAGCTCTGCACGCGGCGAGAGTTGCTGTTGGGGTATAGCAAATGAAAAGAAAATAATTTTAAAGATGGGAGTACATGGAGGGTGATATATGCCACCTACACGTAGTCATTGCACTGTACTTCCTCGTATTTGTAGATCGGGGTCTGCTGTTCCACCAGCGTGTGGGCGGTGACCAGCGGCGAGGCGGTGTCATGTATGTGCTCTTCCACTTCCACCATCACTGCCTCGGGTTCGTCGTACCTCTTACACTCGTGATCCGTGAGGGCATCGGTGCTGTCCTCGATCTCCTGCAGATGATCGTTGACGTCATTCAGCGACAGCGAGGAGGCCTGCTGCGAGATGGCCGGCCCTTGGATACAATTTGGCGACACACTGTCCAGCGAAAGGGATCGGCTAAGAGTGGGCGAGTGCTCAGCAGTAGCTAATGGAGGGTTAAATATAAGATTTAAATTCATCCGAAGAGTATATGCACCAACCTTTGTTGCACTCCTTGTTGATGCGCCGTACATCTATGGGACAGTAGCCGGGATGGAGCAGGGCAAAAGTAGATGCCTCCGGTCCAATGCCTCTGGCCTTCTCCCATTCGTATAGCTTCCGCGTGAACTTTCTCGAGATGCCTTCAAATTTCATCACCTCGCCGTCCGAGGTTTTCACCTCGATCTTCTTGGAGGTGTGATCGGGTGCCACGATGGCCTTAAGGCGCGACAATCTGCGTGGTAAACGTTTAAGATCAATTTGAATGCAAGGAAACGATCTCAAAGATTTCAACGAACTTCTCCTTGTCGTGCGGCTTGTGCTTGTACCAGCGATCGTCATCTGATCCACGGCGAGTAGACTGACTGTGCTTAGAGCTGCGCTTGAGGGAATCGTTATCGGAATTTATGCCACCCCCAGGAGTGCACTTCAAGCGGTTCCATTGCTCTGAAGAAAACGTGTAAATGGTATTAAATTGGTGGATCTGGAGAGGGCTACATCCAAGTTGAGACTCACCCAACTTTTTCTGAAACTTTTCAGGCAAATCCTTTTGATCCGGCAGAGCACTCAGACCCTGTCCCTCCAGCTTCATCTGCCCCATGCTCCACAGATTCCAGTCGATTTTGGGTTTCACCTCGCCACTCTGGCTCCTGGCCGTGGGGCTGGCTGCCGGTGGTTCGTTGGTGGCATAGGGGCCGGCACAGCTCTGCTGCTTTGCTCGCCATTTGTGCAGCTTCTTCTTGAACTGCGGTGTGAGGTTCTGCTCCAGCTGCTCGGTGGACATGAGATCACTATGCAATAGCTGTGTGGGTGAATGCTCGTCGCTGCTGCGCTTGCCACTGCCTCCGCCAGTGGCTCCACTGCACAGTTTGACACCTGAAATGGGGGAAGAGTATGAGTCTCCTGTTTGCATTGGGATGGAGAGCTCGGGATCCTACTGCGATTACTGGCGCTGGAGCGCTCAAACTCGCATTGCTTTCGCTTAAAATCCAAATCTAGTTTGAGTACGAGAAGTTGATAATGTTGAAATATCTCGCCGTCTTCAGTACCTGGGAAATTCTTACGATTTGGCGTTGTCGGCTCTGAGAAGTCACCGCTGGACAGATCCTCGCTCTCTGCAAGAAACGAGGAGAATTAGTTCTAGGTATTAGAAGTCCTTGATTGGACACTCACCGAATTCACCAAAGAAATCCGAGTGTCTGGAGGGACTACTGGGCACCGACGAGTTGCCTGGCGAGTGAACACGCCGCATCCGAGGCATGGTCTGACTGCTCACCATATCCTTGGGACTTTTGAGTGGCGAATGGAGCTGGGGCAGATCGCTGCAGACCTGATTGAGGTTCAGCGGACTCGGGGGCAATTTCTGGCGTCGGCTTGTGGTGGACTTGATCTCTGCCACATGATCCTCGGGCAACACCTCAAAGTCAGAGAATGCTTTTGAGCGACGCAACGACTTGCTGGATGAGGATTTGGTGGGCAGTGCGGCGGCAGCCTTAATACTATCCAGGCGCTCATCGGTGGCCGATTTTCGGAGCTCCACCTCAAAGTTTGAGGCCCGCGAGTCACAGCGTGTGTCGCTCTTGGAGGAGTCGCGGCCTGAAATGGGATTTTTTTTAAAAGCTGTCTTTCAAAGATCATCTTCAAGGGAATTACGAATGTTTTGACGTAGACCAGCCTCGAGGTCATCCATGGAACTGGCCGAGCTGATGGTTCCGGGAGTCCCTCCCGTATCGCTCATAAAGTGTCCTGACGAGGAGCTTATAACGCTGTCAGCAGAGCTGCTGCCACCTGCCTGGCTAATCGGAACCTTGAGGTACCTGCAATATTGTGTGAACAGAACCTAGAATCGAGTCTTTGAAGATCCACACATGACCATACCTCTCCACTTCGTGGTTCAGCGGCACAAGGACATTCGACTCTGGGGCTCCTCCCGAACCAGAGGGTGGAACATTGGCTCTTTCCCATTTGAATGCCGCCTTCACTTTTGTCCATTTTGATACCTTGGACTTGTTGTCGCTGTAGGTGCTCTGGCGTCGTAGGAGGTACGGACGCGAGGAGTTCGTCTTCATTGGACGCTCGCCTTTCATGAACATATTGATTTCCTCATCCATCATGGATTTGCTGCGCTCGCGTATGCTGTGGATTAAATTAAAATTAATAAATTAAAATTTATCTTCTGGAATCCAATGTGCAACACCTACCGCTTGAATTTTCCCTGCTTGAATGGTGGCACTATCTCAGTGCCCATCAGTGACTCCAGGTAGGTGAGGGAGTGTTCCAGCTCGTACTCCGTGTCTGTGGTGCTGGTCTTTTGGGGATGCCTTGGGACTGCTTTGGGTACTGCTGCTTCACTTGTCGTTGCTTGCTCCGCCTCCTTCTCCCCCGCCTCGTTGTCGATGATGGTGGCCAGTTTCTGCTCCAGGAATCCCTCCAGCAGCGCATACGTGCGTGTCAGTTCGTCCATGGCCTCAATGGCTGAGTTTAAGCGAGTCTTTAGCGGCTCAATGGTGCCTCGATCGGCACGATACGGCTGACAGAAGAAGCACGTGTGCTTTCCATGCTCGCACACTGGCAGATCCTTGGCCTCACGCCGCTCAAAGTTGGGTGAGGCGGAGAGGTTACGGGCACGAGAGGCAACGGCGGGAAACTGGAAGATGTTCTCCTCGGCGCGACCGCACATGGCTGGCGGTGCCGTGGGCAAGGACTCGTAGTGTAGGACATTGGTTTTCTGGCGGGATCGACGTGGCTTGGGCGGTGGTTGCAGGGGATACATTGGTTGCTGCTGCGATGTTGCTGGTGGTCCCTGGTCCAGATCCATTCTGAGGTGCGTATTTGGGAAATGATCAATCGGATCGGATCTGAGATCTGTTTGTTTACTCTGCCAGATACGCCACTAAAAACGCACACAAGACGAGAAAAACCGAGAATTATCAAAATCGGGAGATTGTTTATAAAAGAGGAAGACAAATGTAGAACGTCTGCCGCCCAGCACAAACACACACACACACATTAGACACACATACACACACACAGAGAGATCGTTTGGGTGGTTTATGTGGATGTGAAAATGTCTTAAAGTGTTACGAATAAAATCCACGAAAATGTAAACAATAATTTCGAAACGAAAAATCCAATTCAGCACGTTTCTTCACATGTGCAAAAGTTTTGAATATTTTTCTAAAAATATTCACGCGTGTGGTCACTTAAACGGAACGGAAAACCAATCTCGAATGCACTCCGGCCGTGCTTCGGCTATATGTACGTACATAAGTGCTTTGCTTTGCTGCCCCAAAGCGGGATGGGATCCAAAATCGATCGACAGGCTGCCGCTTGCCGCCGCAGATGAACAAATAAAATCACGTTAAATAGAAACGCTGCCGCAAACTATTTTTAAAACGCTGACACTCTTTTGTTTGCCTCCCCCATGGCGATCGCGTTCGCGTCCGAGCACCGTCCATCCCATCCCCTGGCACTCCCCACACCACACTGTGAAGTACGCACACTTCCTTTCTTTCAATTTTAGGTTACACAAAATTCATATTTCCAATTTATGCGAAAGTGCACGCACCCGACTGGTCGGGGGATGGGGTGGCGTAGATCATGTGTATCTGTGTCCGCCTCTGTCTGTTTGTATATACTTCTTCTTTCACGAAGGCCCCCATCCAATTACTTTCACTAGGCGTTTCGCCACTCTTTCAGAATTTAAATCGAAAATGTTGCCACACATTGAATACACATTTTTCGTTTTCCTTCTTGGCCGAGACAAGGGAGATCGCCCCACTTGCACGAAGTTGTACAATGATGCTATATCTAGTATTTGTTTGAAAGAAAAACAATAACAAATTATTACTTGCACTTTTCTTATGCACACAATCGCCCGCCTCCACCGCAGAAATTTCTTTTGTCGGCTTTAGGTGTTTTTTTCACGTATTTCCCCTGCGAGCAAATTTTGAATCCGTGCCGTGCCGCTCGTCGGTCAAAGCTATTCTGAGGAATGCTTTTTGTACGCTTCGGAAAAGTCGGAAAATGTGAGATTTATTTTTAGAGAGAAACCACAGTCGTTCTCTTTGCAAAAGTTCAATACAATACACTTCTCTCTTAGCATGCTGCAGTTGTTTTCCAACATTCTTTCACGTATTGCTTTTGATATTTGATTCAATATTTGAAGTTAACACTCGTTGCTTTCGTTTTATAACGACCATTTTCCACAATCGTGCAGTAACACTCTTTTTGAATTTTCGGCGCAAGTATCGCTTCAAACCATCAAACTATCGCCAGCTGACATGTATATCGATACACGTAAACTAATATCGGAGGCGGCGAGGTTATGCAAAAGCAAAAATTCTCTGGTAAACTGTTTTAAATTGGATAATTCTGAGAGAAATGCAGTCGATTTTGTCGTCAATGCGAGCCCTGGCCTTGCGCCAGCCCACGGGCGATGCCATACGGCGCCTGCACCTGACGGCCATCAGCGAAGCGGCTCGGAAAGGCACCAGGGAGAAGGCCCGCAAGAAGAAGGTTAAAGTGGAAGTCAAGAAGGTGGGATTTATTCCACACAATCAACGCGACAAGAAGTGAGTTGGGACAATAGCCATTCCACTCGGAGATTAATTCATCCATCCTCTTCTCAGAGTCAACGTGAAACGTGCGGACAAACATGTGGACGACTCCTGGAAGCAAGTGTCCAAAGACGATGTTTACGTGGGACGCTATTACCGCTGGCCGGTGTACAGCGTGGCCGAGGCCATACAGTGCCACCGGGAGACACATCATCCGAGCATGTACAATGTGCCCAACGCCCCCCTGAATGTGGAGATTGAGCTGAACATGCAAGGCGAGAAGGCGACTCGGTTTGTGGACAACTTCCAGCGCATGGCTATGATTCCGCACAAGTTTGAGCATGGCGAGGAGCGCAAGATCATTGTTTTCACCAAGGGAAACGTGAGGAATATATTTTAACTTTGATTGGATTACTTATTGAATAATCCGTTTTTAGGACGAAATCTTAGAGGCAAGACAGGCCGGTGCTTCGCTTGTCGGTGGCGTGGAACTGATCAAAGATATAACAGGCGGCGAGCTGCTGCTATCCGACTACCAGTTCATTATTGCGCATCCCAACATTCTGCCCGAGCTAGTTGCACTGCGAGGTCTGATGAAGCGCAAATTTCCAAACCCAAAGAGCGAAACGTTAGGCGCAAATCTGGCAGAGATGATTATTAAGTTTTCCAGTGGCATTAGCTACAGTGCAACAAAGGATGAATACCAGCAGAACTTTGGACTAATCTCCGCCAGTGTGGGACCCCTGGACATGGATGCACAAAAGCTTGAGGAAAACCTCAAACATCTGCTGCAGGATATCAACACTATGCGCCCAAAGCGCGAGGGAAAGTTCATAACTCGAGTTTTGCTCAAGAGCCCGCCCAGCAGTGAGCAGCTCAAGATCGATCCTTTTGTGTATGTCCCCGAGATGTGGGACAAGAGCTCAGCGAAGGTGAAACGGGAAGAGGTTAAAAAGCAGGAGGATCCGGCGGAACCCCAAGAGGCAGTAGCGGCCAATTAATTATAAACATACATGACTATGTATTTGTATTGTTGATGATTTCGTTTGTGCATACTTTAAACTTACATCTGCTATAGAAAGTCTTCTCCAGTCTAAATAACTTTGGTGTGGGGCCATTGGGCTATTGCTAGGCCTTCTGGGTGGGTGCAGTTCGCTGCTGGTGGTGCCGGACCATCTCCAGCTGCTTCACTCGGGTGTAGGCTGCGCTGGCTACAAGCACCACTATATTCGAGGTCCACCAGAGTGCCGACCGAACGTCGTGATAATACTGGGTGGCAATTAACGTCTGAGCACAGGCCTTGGCTGTTCCCGAGATATTGTGCGTTAGCGGTGAGGTAACCTAAAATCAGGCCAGATAAGCATTTACAAGAAAGATTTGGTCTCCTCTTAGCTCCTCACCTGTATTTCCAAAGCAGTCACAAACCCGATAGCGAAGCCACAAACACCACTTAGTACCATGGCAGCCCAAAACCACGCAGCCCACAAATGCTGATAGGTTATGATGGTCTCCAGCTCGCCGTTGATGATGATCAGGGGCAGAAAGAGCAGGGTGGAGTACAGATTGTTATAGTAACTGAGGAGCCACACCTCCTGATTAACGTGAGTCAGCGACTTTTTGGTTTGGATGGAGAACATGGCCAGGGCCAGGGAGCTGAGAACTCCAAAAATGGTGCCCCGCCAGGAGAACACCGTTGTGAGGCTTTCCTGATCCACGCCCAGCCAAAAGCCAATCACTATGACGGCACAGCACATCAAGCACTTGAAGCTAGTGCGTTGGCGCAGGATAACATACGTTAACACCACACTGAACACGGTTGTCAGGGAACGTCCGATATAGTAGAAGGCTACCGTGACATAGGAGAGCGATAAGTTGTTGGCTCCGATCATCAGCGTGTACAGCACGGACAGCGGCAGAATTTTGCGGAAGGTGTCAATGTCCAGGGGATTGCCTTCGGGGAAGGTGAAAACGCTTGGGTATTTGCGGCTGAGGCGGCTCATCACAAAGCATATCCACGTGGACACCACACACTGAAACCATGACATGAACAGCGGGGCTCCTAGGTTTACTGTGTCGCTACTCAGTAAATGTTTATTCACAAACACGGTCAAGATGGAGGTGCACCTGTGGGACGGGCTCTTAACAATAGTCTACGTATTTTCCTCTTGCTGCTTACCAATACAGGGCGACCACGAAGACTATCTTGAGGTATTTGTTAACCAGCCGGTTGTGCTCTTCCAGGTTTTGATACATTTTGTGCGCGTTTTCCCCTACTTTGTGCAATACTTAAATAGTTTTCCACGTATCTTCCTATCGAACCCGGTCTATCAGCTGTTTTCACAGCAATAAATGCGAGGGTAGGTTCTAGAGATGCTCATGTTACATATGTATATGTATTTGGACAGGTAATAATTTTCCCCACTAAATATGTAATGTATAGAACAAGCTCGCCATGAATTGCAATGCTTCTATCAATTTTATTTAAACCAATTGTTGTAAGTTCACAATCATATTGTTAATGTGGTTTGCCCAACGAATGCATGCTGTTTGGGTAAAAATATATGTGTCTCTGAAATCTCATGTAAATAAATGTCTGTATTTTGTGTGTTTAGCTAGCCGCAGATCAGGCCTATTTCTCCCATTGGCGGAATTCGGTTCCTTTGGGCGGTTGCACAGACACCTTATCCTTGCCCACTTCGTTCCAGTTAGTGCTAAGCACGGTGCCGCCGGACTCTGAAAAAGATTTGTTCATGGCCTTCTGCACCTCGGGTGAGGAAGTACTGTAAATCCGCTTGAAAAGATTATTTAGAGCCGCTTCGTCCTTGGCCTCCTTTTCATCTTTCTTCTCCTCCTCGTTGACCAGCTGGTCCCAATTTTTGGTATGGAGTTTAGGCAATGCAACTGCAGCGGGAGCAGCCTTCTCCTCTAGGGTCTCCCAGCGCACGCCCGTTTCCTTGGCCAGAGTTATTTCGACCTTGGACTGATACACCTTGTGGGAGCAACGGTCCACGACAACGGGATGCAGTAGCTGGATCTCCAGCTCGTATCCATCGGCGGTCATGTGTAGTTTCTTTGACTCAATCTTGACAGCGTAGTTCTTCTCTGTGGCGTTCTTCAGCAGAACAGTGATTACCACTTTGCTCTCGGACTGGTACCAGTCGTAACGTACAGACATGTTGTCGAAGTTACTGTGAGCTCAATTTATCCAGAAATTCTGTCTTGTTTAAGGCCGAAGCCTACTTTTTATTTATTTTTTTTTTTGATGGCGATACAGGGCGATTACGAAGATTATCTTGAGGTATTTGTTAACCAGCCGGATGTGCTCTTCCAGGTTTTGATACATTTTGTGCGCGTTTTACCCTACTTTGTGCAATACTTAAATAGTTTTCCACGTATCTTCCTATCGAACCCGGTCCATCAGCTGTTTTCGCAGCAATAAATGCGAGGGTAGGTTCTAGAGATGCTCATGTTATTATTATTATTATTATTATATAAAGCTAATAAATAGTTAAAACTTAGTATTAACAAGGTATGGGGCTATAGCTGCTGAGGCCTTAAGCTCACTATAGTATTATTATACGTTTGAGAATGTATTTACTTATATACATATGTACAGGGTTGGTTCTATACGTTATTATATGTTGTGAAGGAATTATTATCTAATATACTAATTGTGTATATGTATATATATAGGGATGATAGTTTATGAGGTTATATGTAGTGAATGATTTTAGATTGGTCTAGATAGTTGAGGATTATATTTGCGTTTTTGTTGTTAGGGTTGGAGATGTATTGCATGGGGTCGGTGTTATGGAATATTGAGGATCTTTGAAGAGAGAGGGTGGGGCATGTGTATAGTATGTGTCTTATGTCTATGGTTGGGTTGTGGCACAGTGGGCATGCGTTGGAGGATGTTTTATCCATGTAGTGGGCATTGGTGAATCTTGTGTGCCCTAGTCTCAACTATTTAGGATGACTTGGTGTCTTCTGTTAAGGTTGTTTAGGTTTTTGGGGGGAGGATGAGTGGAAGATAGATTGATAACTTGTTGGTACCAGGGGGAAGTCTTAGTGAGGAGGTCTGTTTGTTTCGATAAGAGGATTTTCTTAAGGAATAGTGAGATGTCGTTAGAATTATGATTGGGGGTATATACATATGAGGGGTTGTTTGGAGGTAGTTTTGGCTGCGGTGTCAGCAATTTCGTTCCCTTTTATGCCAATGTGGCTAGGTATCCATATAATTGTTATTTTTGGGAAAAGTTTGGTGACGAGGTTACGGATTGTGGTGGGGTAGTACAAGGGGATGCTCATGTTACATATGTATATGTATTTGGACAGGTAACAATTTTCCCCACTAATTATGTAATGTATAGAAAAAGCTCGCCATGAATTGCAATGCTTCTATCAATTTTATTTAAAACAATTGTTGTTAGTTCATAATCATATTGTTAATGTGGTTTGCCCATCGCATGCATGCTGTTTGGGTAAAAATATATGTGTCTCTGAAATCTCATGTAAATAAATGTCTGTATTTTGTGTGTTTAGCTAGCCGCAGATCAGGCCTATTTCTCCCATTGGCGGAATTCGGTTCCTTGGGGCGGCTGCACAGACACCTTATCCTTGCCCACTTCGTTCCAGTTAGTGCTAAGCACGGTGCCGCCGGACTCTGAAAAAGATTTGTTCATGGCCTTCTGCACCTCGGGTGAGGAAGTGCTGTAAATCCGCTTGAAAAGATTATTTAGAGCCGCTTCGTCCTTGGCCTCCTTTTCATCTTTCTTCTCCTCCTCGTTGACCAGCTGGTCCCAATTTTTGGTATGGAGTTTAGGCAATGCAACTGCAGCGGGAGCAGCCTTCTCCTCTAGGGTCTCCCAGCGCACGCCCGTTTCCTTGGCCAGAGTTATTTCGACCTTGGACTGATACACCTTGTGGGAGCAACGGTCCACGACAACGGGATGCAGTAGCTGGATCTCCAGCTCGTATCCATCGGCGGTCATGTGTAGTTTCTTTGACTCAATCTTGACAGCGTAGTTCTTCTCTGTGGCGTTCTTCAGCAGAACAGTGATTACCACTTTGCTCTCGGACTGGTACCAGTCGTAACGTACAGACATGTTGTCGAAGTTACTGTGAGTTCAATTTATCCAGAAATTCTGTCTTGTTTACGGCCGAAGCCTACTTATTATTTATTTTTTTTTGTTTTGAGGGTTTAAGTTACCATGCTACCCGTGTAGTAGCGTGGGATTATTTGGCCGCCCGCCTTTTGAAGGTGCAAATTGCCAAGTCAAAGAATAGACTTTACATCAATTTCGTCGATGAAGTCAATTAGTGTTTGTTACGCGCTGCTGTTTTCTTTTTCAAAGAATTTGTAAATATCTTAATAATAACTTAGAGATGGAAAGTTTTGCCTTGTGTTTTATTTGGTACAATTGAAAATTACATGCGAGGCGTTTTCGATACTATCGCATGTATAACTACATGCATGTTACCATGTGTTACCACCAAGCAGTCTGTTGATTCTCTTAGCGTCACTTTAAGAATTTAGTAACCACGGTTTGGATAATGTTGAGGGGAAAAGCGAGCAGTAACCTCGGTGCTTGATACTAGCAAACTCGGCGTATTCTCTCTCCCATTCTGCTTTTAAAATTCTGTGTATTTCACACAAAGCGTCTTTAAGGTTCCATTTAACCACTGTGTATTTTCCTCGTCTGTGGGCTTCTTTGGCTGCTGCGTCAACTGAGGGATGTTAGCGTGTCCGAGAATGTAGTGAACCTCTACAGTTCTTAGATGTTGATTTTGTTGAATCTTTTCTCCGATTTTGTAGGCGATAGAGATGCGATATGTGCCGATATTAATTTTTATATTATTCCAGATGCCACATACGGTTAATAATTATTTCTCTGGACGTGGACGTGGTGGCGTCGCTCGTGGAGCCTTTGGTGTTGGCGCCAATGGACGTGGAGCATTTGGTGCTGGAGGCGCCAATGGACGTGGAGCCCGTGGACGCGGGCCCATTGCGTCCATCGTCCGTGCCATGGGGCGCCAAGCTCCACAAGTCGCTGCCCCAGGAGCTGCCCAGGAGTTGCCGCAGAAGCTGCCCCAGAAGCAGAAGCAGATGCCCCACCGATTGTACTTGTGCAATCTGCCCTATTCATAACATATAAATAAAAATCATAATAAACATACATAATGAGTAACTTTAATATTCGGCATTTTTTTTTTTTATACCCGATACTCAAAATGAGTATTGGGGTATATTAGATTTGTGGTAAAAGTGGATGTGTGTAACGTCCAGAAGGAATCGTTTCCGACCCTATAAAGTATATATATTCTTGATCAGCATCAATAGCCGAGTCGATTGAGCCCTGTCTGTCTGTCCGTCCGTCCGTCTGTCCGTCTGTCCGTCTGTCCGTCCCCTTCAGCGCCTAATGCTCAAAGACTATAAGAGCTAGAGCAACGATGTTTTGGATCCAGACTTCTGTGATATGTCACTGCTCCAAAAATATTTCAAAACTTTGCCCCGCCCACTTCCGCCCCCACAAAGGGCGAAAATCTGTGGCATCCACAATTTCGACGATACGAGAAAACTAAAAACGCAGAATCGTAGAAGATGACTATATCTTCTAGAGTGCAAAATCTGAACCAGATCGTATAATTATTACAGCCAGAATCACGAAAACAATTTCACTCTTTCTCGCTCTGTCTCACTCTAACACAGAGGTTTCATGGTCGGTTTTGCCAATTGCAAAATATGAGTTCAAGGATCTCAGAACCTATAAAAGCCAGAGCAACCAAATTTGGTATCCACACTCCTGTGATATCGGACCTTGACCGTTTCCTGTCCAAATTTCGCCACACCCCCTTCCGCCCCCGCAAAGGACGAAAATCTGAGGCAACCACAAATCTCAGAGACTATTAAGGCTAGAGTAACCAAATTTGGTGCACACACTCCTTTAAGATGTCACTATAAAACGTATATCTCAGAATTTCGCCCCACCCCCATCCGCCCCCACAAAGGACGAAAATCTGTTGCATCCACAATATTGCAGATTTGCAAAAACTAAAAACGCAGAATCATAGATAATGACCATATCTATTAGATTGCTGAATCTGGATCAGATCAGACCATTTTTTTAGCCAAAAGGAATAAATCAATTTGCAGTGGCTACGCAGCGCCCGACGTCACGCTCAGACTGATTTTCTGTCTCTCTCGCACGCACTCTTTGTCGTGTCGTTAAATATTAGCGGCGTCTGCCGGAGGAGAGCCATACTGACTTAGTATCGGGTATAACCTTAGAGTTGCGGTGTCCGCAGCAACTCACAACGTTCCCCCTCGTTTTCAACTTCAAACGCGAATAAAATGCATAAAACTACAAAAAAATAAAAAAGATTTTATCAGGGAATAAAGCTTGAATTTTTATCTTTTGAGAGAGGTATACATATATAATAATGATTTTATTTTAAATGAATAGAGAAAATATAATTAAACAAAAAAAAGATCAAAACTTGCGTTACTTTAATGTTCGCTATTTTCTTATATAACTAAAAAAACCCTTCTTAATCTCGAAAAAGAAACGTAATTTTATATTTTATTATGATACCCATTATTTGTTAATGTGTCGCTTAGGCGTTTGTCATATTTTTTATGATTTTTTGGGTATATTCATGGCCGATTTTGGCCAACTCTTTCTGAAGCCGGTTCCTTAACGCGGATTTGGCCGATATTGGCGTTTTGCGTATACGGCGGTACAGCTAGCTCCACAAATTTTCAATAGGGCTTAGATCAAGCGACTCGGGTTTCGATTCCACTAATTTTGGGCAGTTATATAGCAGCCAAGACCTTACATTATAGGCCTTATGCTTCGGGTCGTTGTCCTGATGCAACTTGAACCAGTTGCCAATGGCCATTTTCCTTGCCGACTGCTTACAATTTTTTTTCAAAATTTTCAGATACTGATCTTGATTCATTATTTCTCCAATGAACACCAGATTATCTACTCCTTTTCTCCAAATCATCATATGCAAAGCTGTAGGAGGGTGGATTAGGATATTGTTAGTTTAAGTCGACCTCATCTTGGCCATTGTCACAGTTGGTGACACCAGAACCATGTCGAAGCACTCGCCGAACTGATCTGCCGGGCAGTCCTTTCGTCACAGCGCCAGAAGGCGGATATACATGTTCATGTTACTACTCCCGCCACTTAAAATTATTTGGCCGGATACACGCCGTAGTTCTCCTTGTCCTCGAGTAGCATCAGATGCTTGGGGAACGAGTACACGTCGAGAGTACTGCGTGTCACCCCGCTGGCTATGCAGATATGGAAACAATTTGGGCGACTGTGCGCAGCACTTTTGCATCCGGTGTCCACACGGCCCGGATGTCGGTGAACTGCGATAGACGATGCAGCTCCACGGAACGACGCTCTTCTGCCAAGCCGGCAATGCGATATCACCTGCGCGATGTTCATGGAAGCAAGGATTTTTCTATAGAGAGGGAACAGGAGATTCCACGTGTCCAAAGGTGTCCAATATGGTTGCTTACTTGTTCTTCCCATTGATGTCTGTAATTCGAAACGCATGGTATATCGGACTGTTGGTCCAGGTCCAGCGCCGTGACTTCTTCCAGCTCCACATGCTCATTGCCATTGACTCGGGCCCGAATGATGGCCTGATGGCTGCCGACATCTGTCGAGAAGAGCAGACGCCTCTCCTTTATGGCATGCACGGCAATGTTACGGGGCTTTGCGAGTTCGCCTAGGAAGCTAAAAGAGGCAACATTTTAGAACACAGCTGAATATTCTTACCGGACAACGGCTGCGGCACATTCGGGCAGTCTGTCGTAGCTGGGGGATGCAGGGCGCGACCTTGGCGAGGCTGCGGCTCTGGCCAGTCTTGATCAATGTCCCCGGTGCTCCAACGACGGTGCTCCAGTACACGTCGTCCAACCAGTACCTGACACTTGTTGCCATCCAGAATGACGTCATTTTGTTCTTCTTCTTCCTTTTTATCACATTTTGACGTTATTTTTGTCATTTTTGACACATGACAAAATTATCGCATGCGAGTGAATTTTCTAACATGGAAAGAGCGCTGAATGGCGATACATTGGTCTGTGCTGAATGGAGGGGAGGAGCGCTGAATCTGCAAATGTAAAATGACATGCGCGTCGCCAGGTGGAGCAAGTCGGACATGACATGTAGGAAGGATGTAGATATCGAGAATTTTTCCGCCAGATATTTTCTTCTCGGATAAATAATACGTATCCGGGACCAGGTTAGGTTAGCTTAGGTTCCGTCCGTACATATTGAGGTGTTCAACTTGGTCCCTTCCCTTTTTCCAGTATTCGGGTCCCAGAGATGAGACAGTTTTGATGTCGAGACAAGTTTGGGGGATCATGTAATCAGTGGATCTGGTAATGTCCCTGCCAATTGAGCTGTGCCCGTATCCTTGTGGCGACATATTTCCTGATGCGATTGGGCGCTGTGCTGCCTTTCCTGCAATCAGGCGATCGTGAAAGTCCAGGGTGTCGATTCCCAGGACAGTGCTTTTGTTGGGGTTGACCGCAGCGCCCCTGTAATACAGAGCAGAGCCTGTCGCTGAGTCTTTTCCATAAGCTTATGGTATGTCTTCTTTTCGGTAGCTTGTAACCGTGATGTTCATCCAGTGCATTAGAGCAGCTGACAGGCCCCATGTCCTGCTGATCATCTTCTTGGATGTATAAAGCGCAATGGTGGCCTTCTTCACCCTTTCCACTATATTGGGTCTCCATGCCAGCTTGCTGTCCAGTCCAGGTGTTTCACCTGTGCTTTTGGAGTCAGCCTAGTTTTGTAAATTTTCGGTGGGCCCATATCGGTAGCTTGTACCTCTTGGTAAAAAGGATGAGGTCCGTCTTGTCCGTGTTGATGCTGAGTGCTACCTCTTCCGCCCACTCGCGTATCTCTCTGAGTGTACGTTCCATTAAGGAGCTGAGGGTCGATGGACATACACCCGTAATAAGTATTCTTATGTCATCTGCATAAGCTGTTATTTTTGGGGCATTCCTTTCAAATCTCTTGATGAGGTCGTCGACCACCAGATTCTACAGTAGTGGCGACAGGATTCCACCCTGAGGTATGCCTCTGTGTGTCCCTTTTACCATGGAAGCGGTGCCACACTCCAATTGCACCCGTCTACAACTTAGGAGGTTCTTGATCCAAAGGTTTATTGCTGGGTGTATGTTATTCGCTTCTAGGCGACTTGTTATTGCGATTGTGTCCACGTTATTAAAAGCTCCGGAAATGTCAACAAATGCTCCCTGTGCATACTTTTTTTTGTGAAGTGCGCTCTCGATCCTGGGCTAGATCGTTGTAAAAGTAGCTGGATCGCTATACACCTAATTCTGGTTTTACACGGTAGATTGGTTTCGTTTAAGTTTATTTTGGCCAATAAATGGGTGGGAAAACTAATTAATCACAATTAAGAACGTTATCGAGTGCATGTGCATGTAGACCAAACCCTATCTGCCTGCAATTCAGAAGCCGGAATTTCAATGCAAAATGTATCTAAAATTTTAAATAGTGCACAAATATTAATGCTATTCGTTTTTGAGTGGGTGGGGAATGGCACTTGGAGCGAGGGAGGTACTCGTATGTGGAAGAATCCAATGACACCTATCACCATGAGGCAGGGCTGGTGCTGATACTTATAGTTCAAGGGTGAGAAAAAGAAATAGAAACAGAAGGCAAACTAATAACAATCGCCCATCCACCCGCATCGCACCAGTCATCCGACACAAACACTGCACAAGCACTTCCTTCAGCTTCTTCTCATGTCTCCTCTCCCTCAAGTTTTTTGGTTAATGGAGCCAATTTATACGCCAGCCTGTGTAAACATCTGCAGCAGAGTGACATTGACCTTTGGCCCACTACGACTTGTCCTGCTGCTAGTCGCAGCAAATCGGCGACAGATGCAATCTCGTTCTAAGGCCCACTCCAAACCCAAAGTGTTGCCACTGACTAATAGCTTAAAATGTAAGAAGCCGTAACCATAAACTGCTCCAAAGGCGGGGGCATCATCATCTACTCGTAGACAGATCCCGCTGTCGTTATTTGCGTGATAAAAGCGCAGTTCAAGTCGTAGTAAGAGTAAAAGTTCCTCCTCTCCTCCCATGGTGATTGATGCCTGGCAACAAGTACAACATTAGGCTGGCAGACAGCCGGTTACATCAGCGGGCGCACGGAGCTTCTTTAATGCAATAAAAACCGAACTGGTCGCTTGTCCGTAGGATGATAAAAACTTCAGTTGCAGTAGATGCCGAAGCCGCTCAATTTCATCGCACACGTACGCGAGTGGAGCTTCGAAATTGATAATCCACTTGCCTGCAGGTTACGTGACTCTGTCAAGTCCAAAGTTTATAATTTCTAGAGCATCCTGCTGCAGCAGCAGCTGGCCCACCATCAATCAAAAGAGAGCAGTGCATTAGATGATTGAATAATAAACAAACTCTTTACTATCCTTAGGTCTACTCAGGAAAGCCGTATATTTTAACATTGCCAATATCGCGGCGCCGTTCGATGTCCTTCTCGTCGCAGGCATAGGCTAAGAGGTACTGTTTTGGATGCCAGGCCACTGTGAAAGTAGAGGCATCGACATGAATGTCGGTGATACGTTCCCCCGTCTCCGTGAAGGCAACGTCAATGAGAAGATCCTCGCTGGCAGAGGCTATCAGTCGTTCATCGTGACTAAAGGATATGGTACGAACAGGCCACTCCAGGCGGCTAATCATGCGCAGGCAGGCCAGTTCGGTGGCGTCCCAAAGCGAGACCTGGGCATCGGCTGAACCAGTGGCAAAATATTTACCTGAGAAGGAGAACAGGAAAGCATTACAAAATACTCAGATATATGCAAGGTTTTTTTCCCACCTGTGGGTCCGAACTCGATGCAAATGCAGTTGGCAGGATGCCCTTTGAGTGTCAGTTGGTGCTCCAGGCTGGGATAGCTTAGCACATTAATGCAGCCCATGCCGTTGGTGAGGAAGAACAAATCGTTTGTATTGTTCCATGATATCTCATTTACTTCACAGCTGAACTGCTCCTCGACGCGTATTTTGTTCGTGCGCGTGTCAATGAATGTGATTAGGTCTTCCTTGTTGCCCACCGCAATCGTCTTGCCATCCGGAGACCAGGCTATGTTTATGTTCTCGCCCTTGGTGTTGGTCACTGAAGCACATTTCCCAGCGCGTATGTCCCAGATGCGAACGGTCTTATCGCCACTCGCAGTGGCAAACTGATTTGGATCGGTTTTGTGCCAGCACAACTGGTCCACGGACGCGGTGTGCCCCCGGTATATGATGCCCTTGATGAGGCGATCGCGTTCCAAGGAGTACACCGCCACGGTCTTGTCAAATGAACCCGATGCCAAGTGGCGACCATCAGCATTCCAGCAGACGGAGTGAACCTGCCTCAGACATTTGTTTCGTGAAAATGCCTCAATTTTTCGACCAGCTTCTTACCTTGGACGTGTGGGCCCGCTGCTCGCGTATTTTGCTGTGACTTCGAAAGAACGACCTCAGGTCCTCAAATGTCTGCTCTGTACGGTTCATAGCTCTCAGTTAATTCAATTGTTTTTTCAGTTTTTTATTTAGAAAAAAAAATGTTTTATTTGTAAACAAATGCTGTCAAACCAGGCAGTGTGACCGCGGACTTATCGTTAAAATATACCGTCCGACCCTCGGAAATATACCAAAATATACCGTCTCATTTTTATTTATAAATCCATCATATTCCTCGATTTTCATATTCGGTTGAATATTATTAGCTAACTAGGACTCTCAGCCCTGAACAGTTAAATTTATCTGATTGATGAATAAATTTTCTACAAGATAGTCTTATTTTAAATATTATCTTTTTTTTATTGTGTGTAAAATAAAGTTTAAAAAAAGGTCAATATCACGTGTGTATGGAATGAAGGGACATTTTTTTGCGAAAGGAAAATACCACCACACGATACTATCGACTGGATATGGGGGTGCGCGCGTAAGTTTGAAAGTTTGATTGTCAAGAATAAAAATGCAGTCCAGTACCAGGTTGAGATAGCGAAAATTTAAAAGAAGTGCGTATGGTGCATAGGTTCTTAAATATACATTTAGAAATTCAATTAATAAGGAATGAAGTATACCATTATATACCGAAAATATGTCTTCAACTTTTGAAAAACCTCTTGTGGATCGTCACTTTCTCAAACTATGATTTATTAACAGGATAAAAAAACTTATAGTCAATATATGGAAAATAAATAAATAAGTTTAAATTGAAGCTTCCAAAACACTTTACTTAGTGACGTGACCGGTGGAAGTGTGCTGTAGACGATTACGGTCGACGACGATGGCGTGGCGGGCCCCGGGCCGGTTCCACCACATTGCGATCGCTTTTGTCATGAATGTGAACCGCTTCACTGAGCTCGACATTGGCGTGCAGAGCAGCATCGTTGGCATTGAGCTGTGCCTCCTGCGCGGACAGTGTAGCCTTCTCCGCCGCATCGCGAGTCTCCTCATAATCCAAGCGAGCGCCGTAGGCTTGCGACTCAGCATGCTCCAGCTTAGTCTTTGCCTGGGCCACCATATCGATTTGTGAGGCCAATTCAGCAGCTGCCTCGGACGCAGACTTTTGGGCGAGTTCAGATGCGGATTGGGCATTGTTGAGTGCCGCCGTGAGGACGCTCACATGGTTGATGGCCTGCTGGGCAGCATATTGAGCAGCTTTCGCCGATCGTTTAGCCTGCTGCAGCTGCGTCAGCTCGTTCTCCATTGCCTTGTGTGCCTCCACGCTCTGATCCTCCAACCGGTGCAATAGTACCTCCTTACCCTTGAGCACAGCCACGGCTGTGCCGGCTGCTTGAGCTGCTGCCTGGGCCAGCGTACTCTTGGCGACGTATGAGGCCTGTTTTCCGGCTGCATTCTGACTGGCAACAGCCGAAATGGCTGTATCCGCCGATCCCTTCGCAATGCTTCGCAGCCCATTGTCCGCCAGATATCCGCCCCCCTGGCCGCCCCCGCCGCCTTGTATGCTGTGAACAATGTAGTCGGAGCTTTCGTAACGCGTGGCTTGTCCGTTCAGATGCGGACTCTTGGCCGGCTCAAACTCGTCGTGGTTAATGGCTTCGAATGAATACGGTGGCACTTCGTGTTCGATCAGCGTGGCTTGTTGGTGTTGTTGGTGTTGCTGGTGTTGTTGGTGACCCTGGTGCTCCTGTGGTGACGGCGGTGGTGGCGGAGGCACATTTAGATGGTAGTGTGCGTCCTTCCGCTTCACCTTGCGTCCCAGTCCCAGCGCTGGCGTGGCTGCTGGTTAATTGCGGGAAATATTTAAGGCCATATTGAATTTGCATAGGCAAACTAGGAAGGAAGGTATGGCGACGCTTACCCAACAGCATTGTCAGGAGCAGCAGCTGCATAGCCGATGGCATCGCTTACAATTATGCAATCAAACTATGACGGGCTGGAGAAGAAATCGCTTAACCGGAAGTCTCGAGATCACTGCACAGGTACTCGTATAAGCAAATCGAATTTATTAATGGGGCTTTCAATCGAGGCAATGTAACCGGTTATATGGTTAGCTAAGGCTTGCTAGCTAACAGATGAAGTGCACTTTCTTCGGTCTAGGATGGCCGGCAAACAGTTTGTGTGTCACATCCAGCCTGCTTATCGTATCGTTCCAGAGAAGAACCAGTTTGCTTTTAAGGCCAGGACCGCCTTACCATCACTGGTGGCACAAAACTGGACACGAATCACTCAATTTGACAGACAACTGCTGATAATAAATGCACACAACACACCTCTCGAGTGCACGTCCTGACTGGAGCGTGGGCAAACCGTATCTAATGCCAGTTGACGATAGACCTCCAGCACAAGGTCCCGTCCCGCACAGCAAAACCAAAGTCGATGGACGGGTTCGCTAGAAAAACGCTTTTACTTTCGACTTTGGAAAAGCAGTGAGCTTCGATGTCTTTTGTAAATCCGGTGGAGACCTCTCGACGATTGCCAGCAGGTCTGCGGAGGCGCCATGTATTTATAAACAAAGTGTTCGCTCGGTCTGTGTCGCGATGAAAGTCCAAACCCGTTGGACGTCGGTCGTCGTCCGTGGTCCGTGGTCCGGTGTCCGTTTTCTTTATGAGTTGGCCCCGCAGCGCCAATTGGTTCCACACCACACCAACAATGGGGCTGGGTCAATGCTACCATGCTGGAGGATTGGATAATTTACAGCCACTGCCACTGCTATTGCCGCATGGGTAATTATGGAAGAGCCTCTAATTGCCACGAGCCGCTTTAAACTATCTGCTCCGCTCCCAGGCAGCATGCTCGTAAATCGGAGTTGGCCAGATGCGACGCCCGTGTCCGTTGATAGCTTCGCTTCCTCGGTGATCTGCGTGTGAACATGGAGTCGGAGTAGGAATCGGAAGCAAACACAATTTATTAAAAAATAAACGCAAATAATTGTCAATCTTAGTGGCAGCGTCTATAGCGTTGCATCAACTTGTCGCGCAGCTCCACTCGGCGACGCTCCCGCGAGGCCCGTTGTCTTGCCTCCTGTGCAGCACAGGCCGCCTTCTCAGCCAGCTTCTTGGTTTTCTTGAAGTCATTCTTAGCGCATTCAAGTTGCTTGATTAGCAGCTCCACGCGCTTCTTAGCGGCCTCCACGAGCTGCTGCTTCTCGGAGAGCTCCTGCTGAGCGCCATTGGACACCACTTCCGAGTTGGCCACATTGGCTTGGGCATTCTTCACGGCTTCGGAGACTGTTTTGACTTGGATACCAGCCATATCCGCGGCCTGGGCTGCAGCTGCTGCAGTGCTCTGAGTGGTCTGAAGCGCGGCGCCCTCTTCCTGGACGACCAGCTCACCCTCATGTACCTCTGATTCCAGCTGTTCGACGATTTGCTGTTTCCCTGCAAGAGCAGCCTCTGCGGCGTTGGCTGCAGCCAGGGCCTTATCGGCCAATTGTTGTTTCACATGTCGTGCAGCATCCTCAGCGGCCAAAATCTGCGAATCAGAGGCATCTTTAGCCTCCTGTGCGGCTTTCTGTGCTATGTTGGAGGTTTTCTGCTTGCCAACACCAGACATATTGATTTGGCAGTTGGAGCCGCCGCCGCCGCCACCTCCATCACGACAACCTCCCTCGGGGTCATCGAGCACCTCGTTGGATAAATCATTGTAGGACTGTGGAGAAAGTGTCTCTCCTCAATGTATGGTTTTGGGAATGATCCCATCTTACCTCTTCCATTGTGTAGGCATCACTGAGAACCCAAGCAATGGCCACAAATACCAACAAAGCTCGAATCATATTCTCGATAAGCATTTTGTATAATAATATTCTCAATTAATTTGAGTACTGAAAACTTGGACTTGACACTTTTGACAGAACGATATTGTGTTATTCAGATAATAGGCTTGGAGATTTGTGTAAGATGAGATATTCCCAATGCGTTGCAAGCTCTTGGTTATGGTGTTCGTAGTGAGCGTCATTCTTCAGAGCTTCAGAGCTTCAGTGAGCTCAGAGGCAATCAAGAAATGCGACAATCGCCATAAGCCAGGAAACTGCAAGCCCTGCAAAATAAATCACAAGTCGAGCAGTATTGCCTCGAAGGCGGCTACGGAGGCCAAAAGCGCCAAGGATGCGCAACCGAGTGCCGGGGAGAAGGCCGGAAACAGGGCTAAGACGCAGCTGGCTGATAAGGCGATGGCTGCAGCGAAGGCTGCCGAAACGGTACTTGCTGGCAAAAAGCAGCTGGTGCAGGCTCTCCAGAACAGTCTTGGCCACATCAAGCAGGTCATCAAGGAAATTAAGAAGGCTACTGCCAGCAGTTCTTCTGTAGCTACAATGGTCAGGCGGATTAAAAACAGCAACAAGAAAAACTACGCTATGCTGAAATGTCTGTACGAGGAGGTCCAAGCAAATCTAGCGAAAATTTGCACCGTTGCAGAAAATGCGAAACGGGAGGCGATGGAGAAGCGAAAACTGCTTCAAACTGCCAAGCGCCGGGTGCAGTACCTGAAGAAGTGTATGAAAGAGGTCCTGGCTGATCTCGAAGCTACCAGGGCAAGCGCCAAGAAGGCAAACTGTGCCGCCAAACAGGCGCAACAGCGAATCGATACGATGGAAGAGGCAGGTGACAGGCTGAGGACTCTGAAAAGGAGAGATCTGCAATCCCTGAGGCGAAAAAGGGGGATGTTAGAACTAGGCAAGTTTCCCTTGTAAAAAATAATGTGTTTATATTTTGTTAAATATATACTTTGGGATTAATATGGGCAAGCAATGGGATTGGCTCTCTTTCACGTCTAATGCTTTGACCACAATAAAAGAGAGTCCTTAAGATTAGCCTATCGGGTAGAAAATTGATTCATCAATCATATAGCTGGGAATATTCGACGGAAAATAGATTTGGCAGTACCCGGTTCACAACAAACGAGTCCCATTCCATGATCACATACCCTGGAGGAAATGGATGTTATAGAACTGAGAAAATATTTGACATCCCAGGCTCTAATTAATGCAGAAACTAGTCAGTCTATGTTTTAAACGATATTTTGCAATTAGTATTCTTCTTACAGAGACCAAGAACTGGTACTGGGATCAGAATTTATATACAAGAATCTTATCAAATGCATGAATAGGCCAACAAAATGCAATCTAAGACAAGGTCTTTATTAATTACGTTTGAAAGCAGTTTGGAAAAACAGTGTCTTTATATAATATTAACGAAATAGGGTATACAAATTCCCATACCAGCAACACATCTATACTGTATGTGGTTTAATTCAAGTTGTTATCCTGTTTAAATAAAGGGGGGTTAAGTGTTTAAGCGATATATCGATATAGCATATCGATGGTTGCTTTGAGAAAAATCGACGCTGATTTTCCATCCCCAACCGCATTGTGTGAAAGTTAGAAAAAATATTTTAGCCGACCGACTTTTTAGAAATACTCAGCCGATAATTTATAAAACACAGTAAGAATGGCGCGCAAGAATGCCCAGGCCGAGGATCTCTCGAACGTTGAGTTCGAGACCAGCGAAGATGTGGAGGTAATACCCACTTTTAATGCCATGAATCTGAAGGAAGAGCTGCTACGCGGCATCTATGCGTACGGTAAGTTGTTGTGTTGTGTGTATACTCACTGTGCCATGTAAGCGATACAGTTATTAACCTTTAACTAATGTCTAGGTTTTGAGAAGCCTTCGGCTATTCAGCAGCGGAGCATCAAGCCCATTGTAAAGGGACGCGATGTTATTGCTCAGGCTCAGTCTGGTACAGGCAAAACGGCCACATTCTCCATATCCATTCTGCAGAGTCTGGACACCACTTTGCGGGAGACGCAGGTGCTGTGTCTGTCTCCCACCCGCGAGTTGGCGGTACAAATCCAGAAGGTCATACTGGCCCTGGGCGATATGATGAATGTGCTGTGTCACGTGTGCATTGGCGGTACAAATCTGGGCGAGGACATTCGCAAGCTGGACTACGGCCAGCACATTGTGAGCGGCACCCCTGGACGTGTGTTTGACATGATTAAGCGGCGTGTTCTGCGCACGAGAGCCATCAAGATGCTGGTGCTCGACGAAGCCGATGAGATGCTGAACAAGGGATTCAAGGAACAAATCTATGACGTTTACCGGTATTTGCCACCTGCAACGCAGGTTGTGCTCATCTCTGCCACCTTGCCTCATGAGATCCTTGAAATGACCTCAAAGTTCATGACAGATCCCATTCGCATACTGGTCAAGCGGTAAGCAGAATGCTTTCGCAAGCCCTCAGCATACCTTTAATCCGTTCCTCATTACAGCGATGAGTTGACCCTGGAAGGCATCAAACAGTTCTTTGTGGCTGTCGAGCGGGAGGAGTGGAAATTCGACACCCTCTGTGATCTGTACGATACATTAACCATCACCCAGGCTGTCATCTTCTGCAACACCAAGCGCAAGGTGGACTGGCTGACAGAGAAGATGCGCGAGGCTAATTTCACCGTCAGCTCCATGCACGGCGATATGCCGCAAAAGGAGCGAGATGAGATCATGAAGGAGTTCCGCGCCGGCCAGTCGCGTGTTCTCATCACCACAGATGTGTGGGCGCGCGGCATTGATGTGCAGCAAGTATCCTTGGTCATCAACTACGACTTGCCCAACAACCGTGAGCTGTACATCCATCGTATTGGCCGATCGGGTCGTTTTGGACGCAAGGGTGTCGCCATTAACTTTGTCAAATCTGATGATATTCGCATTTTGCGCGATATTGAGCAATACTATTCTACACAAATCGACGAGATGCCCATGAACGTGGCCGACTTGATCTAAAATACATTTGTATGTATCATTTATGTAACGCATCTTTCTTAGCATTAACAACAAATGGAGTGAATACATTTGAAGAGTATTTGGCTTTCAATACACAACCAAAATCTGTATAATAATAAATAACATGTAAGAATTTAATACAGAAACCAGTTTGTTGTCGAGATATGGGTGCGGGTTGGTATGGAGATTTACGCAATACTTTACCTTGGTGGAGTGCACTTAAAATTACCGGTTAATTTGCTCTCTTGATTTTTTGTTCAGTGAGGTATTTGACAATCATTTGGTTATACTTAACCTAATTCTCCCGATGAAACTAAGCTACAAATAAAGAAGTGCTATACCTATGTACAAAATGAAACCTATTTAGCTAACTATAGACTTTGGTCCAAGCGAACATTAATTTAAAAACCACTAATGCAGGTAGATATGACTATTTCAGCTCAACACTTCTGGTTTTTGAGTTAGCGTAGCATAGGAGCTGGCTGCCGATGATGTTAGTGCGGGTTGCGGCTGATTTTTAGTGTCGTTCGCTTTCAGTAGTGTGCCAAGGACGATTCCAAGAAACAGAATGAGTCCTACCTGATGATTCGATAAAAATTTCTTGGCGCAGTCGGTGGGATTGTCAATATTGAGGGAGTAGATCTGTAATACAGGAAAGTTATTGTGGAAATCAGGCACATGGAAGATTCAGTAACCCACCTGCTGCACAAGATGAGCGCCAACAACTCCAACAGCGGCATAGTACGGCAGCGTTTGATCGCAGGCCCAGCCGGCGGTAGAGAGACCCGTCAGCATGGCTGCGGTGAAACCTGATAGCCAAACTTTGGTGTTCTCACCAAAACGCAAAGCAGTGGATTTGACACCGATTTGCAAATCGTCTAGCTTATCCTGGTGGGCGTAGATTGTGTCGTAGACAATGGTCCAGCAAACACCAGAAAGGTAGAGCGGAAGACAAGCGGCCAGGTTGACGCTTCCCTGTGTTGCACACCATCCCAACAAAGCACCCCAGTTGAAGGCCATGCCAAGAACCAACTGGGGCCAATAGGTCACCCTCTTCATCAAGGGATAAGTGATCACCAGCCCCAGTGAGCTGGCGCCCAACAGAATTGACTGCCAGTTGAGCTGGACAAGAACCAGTAGTCCGAGACTCAGCTGTGCCGAGAGAAAGACAATAGCATCGAACTGACTAATCTGCCCGGATGCGAGTGGCCGCGTCCGCGTTCGCTCCACCTTGGCGTCAATATCCTTGTCCCAGAGATCGTTTATAGTGCAGCCGGCGCCACGCATTATCAATGCTCCCGTTCCAAACAAACCCAGCATGGTAAGGTCCGGCCAACAGCCCGCATCTGCACTCAACGCTATGCTCCACGCACAGGGCCAGAACAACAAGTATGTGCCAATGGGTCGATCAATCCTCATCAGCTGGGCATATGGCTTCGTAGCTGCGTAAAGCTCTTCGAGCAACGATCCTGGCTTCTTGGATGTGGGCAGCGATGACATCTTGCGAAAAGAAAGCTCCTGGATCTGCGGTAGCCTCTCGTTGCGGCAATCACTATCTGTGTGGAGGCCAATAAGAACACGCGCCGGCACAGCTGGCATTGGCAGCGTGCTCTTTGTTGTTGTCGCCGCCGCATAAGCGTAGGGCAGATGCTTTCTGCTCTTCAGCAAATGTCGTACCGCAAACATTGCAATTCAGCGTCCTTGGAACGGCGGGCTGTCCTACTTCAACGTTTCCAATAATTAATTACACAATAGGCATTCGGCGTTTTGTCAAAACTCACTTGAAAATCGAAAAAAAGGCAAGATTCTTATTGGAATTTCGGCATGATAAAGCAGTGTTGCCCACTTAAGCCCCCTCTATTTAAACAGTTTAGCGACTTGAGGTAAATGGCGGAAAATATTAACGATTGTAAATTATTTTTGTAGATTCATGTCATCTTTCCTCTGCACTTAAAAAAAAAACCACTATATCTTTCACCTGAACTGCGCTAACATTATTCAATTTTCATTATTTTCGGTGGAAAAGTGAAATACCCCCTTGGCTTATAATAGGTTAATCGCTCTCCGTTAAAGATTGGAAAATAGCACAATTTTGATGTTCCGTCGAATATTATTAGCTATATAGAACATTTAGCCATGCCCACATAGTTTTATACAATTAATGAATCAATTTTCTATTTAACTGGCCTATTCTAAATACTTGCTTTTATTGGATTTTGCTTAAAAAAAGGTTTTAGCGAAAAAGATCAAGCAAATGAAACGTAATAAAACGTAAGAGAAAAATCGTTCCAATTGTTTAATTTCTTTATTCCGTTGAATAATGCTACCTAACTAAAACCATTAGCTCTGCCCACATAATTCTAGGCCATTAAGGAATACATTTTCTATTATTGTATTGTGTATAAAACAAGGTTTAAGCAAAAAAAGTCAACAAAAAACCAGTGGCAACGTAAGTGAGTATGAAATGTCACGTCAACCGTGGTTTGGGTATAGGTATACCCTATTTCGTTGATATATATGAAGAAACTGTTTCTCCAAGCTGTTTTAAAACGTAATTAATGATCTCAGATTGTTATGTTTTGGACATATTAATGCATATGATTAGGGTCTTGTAAATATATGTCGATCCTGATACCCATATTTGGTTTCAGTAAGAAGACCACAACCATCAAAATATCGTTGAAATATCTTTTCAACAGAGACTGAGTTTTGGCCGTTTTTTGGTGCATTAGATGACAAAAATTCTCTCAGTTCTATAATATCCATTTCCCAGGGTATGCAAAATATTGCTCAAGCGGAATGTTGTGGAGCAATGCTGCTCGATTTCACGGCACATGAGTCTGGCCCATAAAACGTAAGAAAACTTAAGTGAGTGTGGAATGTAAGGGACATTGTTGATGGGAAAAAGGACAGTGGGAAAAAGATAGCAAATATCCCACCGAACGGCTACCGACTGTTGCGCGCCAAATTAGAATTGTTTGAAAGTGAAACAGTCACAAGGATATGAATGCTAATTTAATAGGTTGTATAATAAAATAATCTAAAATAAGGCAAGATTCTTATTGGAATTTCGATATGATTCAAGAGATGCCAGCTAGTTAAAACTTACAGGGCTGCCACATCGGCCAGAAAATATGAATTTGGTAGCACTGTCTTTGGCAGTTAAATTCAATATTGTTTCGCAGTGGGTTCTCTTATTTTGATTTATTTCCAGATATAAGTGATATAAAGTGATTTTTAAACTGTTTTTAATCATATATAATTTAAATCAAAGATATATTGGTCGTGGAACATACAAATGAAGTCTTTTCAACTATTATGAACACAAGTATTTCCCCTTCAAAGGAACGTCATGAAAACCTTTTCTCTTTAACCAATTACTGAACCATTTGCCCCTCTGCAATATCGTTTTTGCACTCGGCACTTGTCTTTCGAAATTGGCACACGGCCTGAAGAATGTCCGTAGAATTTGCGCACGGCCGTAGAATGTTTGCACACGGCCATCCATTAAAACGGCATACGAGACCAGTTTGAAATAAAACTCTTTGAAAGCCAAGTGGGACTAAGGCAGACAACCGGCAAAATCGCCGCCCGACGGTTGCTATCGCTCCAGCCAGTAGCCAATGTATGTACCCATGTAGGTGCGCGTATATATCAGCCGAATACCATAAAGTTCAACTCGAAGGAAAATAGAGCAAAACGTTTAAACACATTGAGATGCAGCAACAATTTCGTTAGCTCACAATTGATAATCTTAATTGCAATAAATAAGTCTGCACTTAAGAATATTCCACAACCTTTGGTTGGTTTGCTCTATAAATCACTCTGTGTAGAATGGGCTTTTGGTTTTTTTTTTTTTTGGTGTAAAGTACAGTCTGATGATGACCTTGATCTGAAAGATGCAAATCTGCCAAAGGTAAAAAGATGAATAGCTGTCTTTATTCTATCTTTATCTTTATCTTATCTTGTGGGAAAGATGTATTACAGATTATAATCATGTTTGGTGATAAATGTATTTATATCTATTCGTGTTTATATATGTATATCTGGCCATTACTCTTGCTCAGTGTAAAGACCCCCTCTCTGGGCTGGGCTGTTGATATCGGCGCCTGCAACCTGCTGCCCGCTACCAGTTGATAACGTGAATTTCCCATTTCTCAGAGATAAGCGCACTTGCCTATCGTCTCGACGGGGATTAGGGTCGATTTTTCTTTAAAAAACAACTCACGACCATATGGGGGCAACAGTCGACGCTTCGCTCTCAGTCCATGAACAGTGTTGCGGTTATCACTAACCTGTCTCCCGTGAACAGCTTTCGGCTTTTCCCTAATTTGTGCTTTATTTAATTATATTATCAAATAAACCTGACCGCCAAGATGGATATGGATCACAATCACGGATCTGATGATTCCACTAGCACAGCCAAGTCCTGCCCCATGATCATGGTGGTAAGTTACACAATCGTTTTGGATCTCTAGATGATTGCTTTTGATTGGGACAGAGGGATTATTTACGGAATTTCCAGCTACGCTGTATGAGATTTAGCGACGAGACCAGAGAACTGACAACAAGTTAAATTATCTATTTACTCGCTCATACTTGCTCGCATACATATGTAAACTGTGCTCTCCTCTCGCGATGAATTTGCTGTTGCTCTCCAGTTCTCATTTAGTTACTCTCGGCAACAAAGGGTAGCATATCAAAATACATGCTATACAGGGTGCTCTATTAGGTTAAGCACAATGATAACATCGATCAAGTTTAGTGGGTCAAAGATAGGCGATTTTTATCAGGTCAAAACTAATCTTAAACACAGTTTGCACAGAGGTGCTGCTTGCTGCACCCTGTAAAATGTACAATTAACACCTCACTGGCCTGAAGCTCACCATGTACTCTCTCTTTGTCTCCCTCCCTTCTCTCTCTTTTTGACAGTTTCATGCCGGACACTGCGAACGTATTTTATGGCGCGGCTGGGTGGCAGCGACGGTCACAGAGTTCGTTCTCTCGGCTTTATTTTGGTTTTTGGTTTCCTTTTTATACGAGGCGCTGAAGTTCCTCCGCCAGCATCTGGCGCGTAGAGTCGCCCGCAAGGAACGCTTGGCCGAGGAGCAGCGGCGAAAGAACGACAATCCGAGTGGATGCACAGGCTGTTCGGACACCCCCCTGGCCGAGGCCAGGGAGAAGAGCTACTGGCAGCGCTTGCTGGACTCGACGCACATTATCCAGTCGCTGCTGAATCTGCTGCAGATAGTGGTATCCTACCTGCTCATGCTGATATTCATGACCTTCAACTACTGGCTTTGCCTCGCCGTGGTTCTGGGCCTGGGCTTTGGCTACTTCTTCTTTGGCTGGAACAAGAAGACACCCGACGAGAGCGAGTGTTGTCCTTAGGCGGAAGGACTAAGGTGTAGCCGGGATAGATGATGGAAGGATTGAATTGTATTGGATCTTTAATGTATTGTTGAATATTGCAGCCTCATCCACATTAGGTTTAGAAACACCCGTCCCCAAGGCATTGCCGCAAAGTAATTACACAAATTGTCTAAAAATACAATTTTATTCGATAGTTACACTTGGTTTAATTATTATTATTAATTATAGTTGCTGTAATCGTAGCATAAATTAGTCAACTAGTTTACTTAGTGAGCATATTGTACAAATAGTCGTTATGAGAACAAGAACCTATATAACACATATACCTACAAACCTATATCGATTAACATACCATCCCGCAACAGAACTCAATACTTTCCATTTCAAAATAAAGAGTTACTTGTAGTTCTTCTGATAAATCTGACTAACTCCAACTCAGAACTCTAACAATCCGAAAAAAAACAAAAAACACAAAGAAAAATCTCCAAAATTACATAAAATTCGTATAGAAATAGTACCCGTACAGTGAGGACCTATCACTGTGGCCCGGCATCGATTCATCAAAAACATCTGTCGGAACGTAAAGACTTCCCCCAAAAGTATGCTTTGCAAATTCCTACGTTTTTCCGGCGAAAGTGTTGACTGGAACCGTTTCCGCTTAGACGAGAGTATCGTATCCTTAGTAGTTAAGCCCTTAACCCACCCCCAGCTCACACAATGACTAATGGCCTCCGGCGAAGCTTCCACTACTGCATTCGCATCCGCATCTTCATAAGCCCGTGGCCCCGGCGGCCATCATACCGCCGTGATGGTGATGATGGTGCATGCCACCATTTTGAAAGTACATGTAGTAATTGTAGGGCGTCTGTTGCCCTGGCCCACCCTCGCAGTCGAGCAGTGGCTGCCCCCCACTGGCTCCACCGGTCACAGGCGAGGGGGTCATTGGCAGCGGCGACACCGTGTTACCCATGCCCACTCCTACGCCCACCTGGCAGCTGGCCCGTAAAGCGACGGCTTGATGGTGGGCCAGGATATCGCTTACCGAATGCGACGATGGCCAGTGGGCGGCTGCCGCGGCGGCGGCCACGCTGCGCAGCTGGTGTGGATGTGTCTGGCCCCCTGATCCTTGAGGGGGCGAGGGGCTGCCACATGATACGGCCTTCATGCTGTATGCGGCCGCGGCACTGTACGGCTGATAGATGGAATTGTAGAGGTGGGCGTGGGCATGGGCATGGGCGTGGACATGGTGGGCGCTGGCCGCTGCTACGGCTGCTGTCTGATGGTGATGGTGTGGATGTGAGTGTGGGTGTGGGTGTGAGTGTGTGTTTCCAACACTCATGCCGTTGCCATTGCTGCCACCCACATTGCCAGCGCCGCCGCCATTTCCGTTGCTACTGTTTCCACTGCCCACGCTCCCCAATCCCGAGCCATTTGATCCGCCCGGGGCATGGTGGTGCCCGATGCTGCCCAGCTTGTTGCGCAGGATGCGTGAAATGGAACTGACGCTGGGCACATTCGTCTTGTCACAGATTCCCTCACTGAGCAGCCGGTCCCGGATCTCCCAGGCGAAGATGCCCGGATCGCGTTGCTTCAGCTCCCTGATGTAGTTGACCACCTTGGGCGTGGTCACTCGCGGCTTGGAGCCACCAATGGCGCCCGGCAGTATGGAGCCCGTCTCGTGGTAGCGCGCCAGTATCTTGGACACACAGCCATGACTCACCCGCAACTGGCGGGAAATGTCGCAGGGCCGGATACCCAGGCGGGCCAGCTCCACGATCCGCATGCGCGTCGCATTCGGCAATGGCCGGCCATTGACAAAGACGCCGCCAAGTTGGTTCACCTCGCCATACTGCGGACACTGCGACTCTGCAACGAGAGAGAGAGAGAGCAAGGAGAGGGGTTAGAGTCTTTAGCATGGGAAAAAATAAAGCTGCCTTCGGCAAATCGAAGTGTAGATGCCCTGTTGACATTCGTAGAATAAAAATGGTCCGCCAATATAATATATAAGATAAAGTAAGTAACAGGCGATCATAAAAGTTTGCATGTGTACGAAAAGGTTCGAATATACATATCAATAATATATGGTATATCAGTTAACCATGGGTAACATGCCCCATCTTGAGAGTATATGTAAACAAAGAGCATTCCCTAGAATGGGAAGCGAACAAAACCACATTTGCCTCTAATTAGTTTCGCTTGCAAAAAAGAGTGGTAAGGGGTAAAAGAAGTGGAAGAGAAATGGGTTGGGGTTTGTCCGTTTCTTCAACTGAAAATCGTTGCTACCATTTGCTTCTTAGAACTGCGGATGTGGGTGTTTCGAGAATCGTACCAGAGATTGTGGACTTGGAAAACAACATTTGAATGCAACGAACGTGCGGAAATGCTCATTCAACGATGACGCAAAGATTTCCCCCTTGGCGCTGGGGGCACTGTGGACAGATCCCTACCTAGGAGTAGGTGAAATTAAACCGTTTTAGTTAGTTATTGTTCGACTGCTCAATTGTTGGAAAAGTTGTTATACGAGTATAGTATTGTTAGAGAGAAAGTACGAATGGATATTGTTATTCTTTTGTTTACGAAATTAAATTATAAGTTTGAATATTTATAGTTATGCCCAGGAGTAGTTTTGTCATAGGAATTTTGTTAATAGCTGCGCCAGTCTATTTCGGTAATAAGATCTACATCGAGTGCTAAACGACTAAAACACTCGTTTCGATGCATCAGCCATGGCACCTGCCTCTGCCACTGGGTTCCCCTGCAGTTCCAATCCAATAAGAGGCAATTGGAGGAAATGTTGTACATCTGCGCTGACTTCTAATTTCGAATTGTGTTTCACAACAGAAACTTCAGGCACAACACACGTACTCGTGGTGCAGCGCCATAAAAATGGACCACAATAGGGCTCCCGAGTTACCCCGTTACCCGTTACACCGCAAGCTGCAAAGAAAGCAGGAAGGAACCGAACAAAGAAGGGACTTAGACTTAGCCGAGGGCAGGCATGGCAAGTGTATCGACCCCCATTCAAGAAATCGAATGCAATCGACTTACAAGTCCATTGGCATGAAGGTATATCGTATTACAATCCCAAATTGGCAGCCCCGCAGACACTTGTTGCCGGCCAGCGGGCATCATCGACTAACGATCGACAGACAGTTTCAAATTTCATGTACTTTATGGTTATGGATTTGCGCACTTGTCAATTGCAGTTCGATCATTGCCAGGCACTTGTACTTGGGGCCAACCCCACTAGACAAATGGGCCAGACGTAGTACGTGCAGCTGCATAAATACGAACAAATAGTACGAAATAGCCGGTATCTCCCACATAAAAGGTGATTGTTCATGTTGAGAGAGCATTTCGGGGAGATAAATATAGAAAGCTCGACTGTAGGATACCGTTTAGACTCCAGAAATAGGTGATTATCATCCGCAAAAGAGGATCTTTAGAGAAGTAGAAAATCGAACACCATACGAATATCTGCTTGCTCAGTAGCACATACATATTATTATATTATTTGTAAGTGCTACTGAGCAAGATGATCTTTATGATCTTTCGGTAGGAGTCTAAGATACTCATCCACATTCATGTATTCATGTGTCATTAATAGCTCTATATAAGCCGGTCTCTCCGCTGTATTGCCAGTCAGTCAAAGTTAGAATGCCAGCTAGAAGTGAACTTATTTTAATACTGGGCTTCTGCCTGCTCTTCCATTTGCTGGGTACTCATGCCCGACCCTCAGAGCAGAGTCCTGCGAAACCGGTATGAAGCTAAGGAACATCCCATTCTCGTTGGCTAAAGTTTTGTATTTTAGAAACGGGATGCCTACGACTGGTTTTCCAGCATACTAGGAGATTACTTTGATGACAGCGATGGTGACTCAGAGGAGATCCGTAGGTTCCGGGATGCTACTGATGTCATCGGCTTTATAAATATATTTCCTTTCAGTCATTTGTCGCAACTGTACAGTTGTAATTGATCAAAAAGGTCCGAGTCAAGCTGCTGAGACAACTGCTGCTCCAGTAGGGGCTCCTGCAGTAGCACCAACTGCTGCCCCTGCCGCTCCTCCTGCGGCTGCCCCTGGCGCTCCTCCTCCGGCTGCACCTGCTGCTCCACCTGCTGCTACAGTAGCTCCTGCCCCTGCAGATGCCACAACCGCAGCTCCGGCGGCAGCGGCTTCAGAGGCTACAACATCAGCTCCTTGAGGATAGTTATTCTCTGCCATTATCTACAACATAAGTGCTCTATTCGTAGGTTTGAAAACGGGATTCGGTATACGACTTTTGTTAATATTTGAATAAAACTTGTGCTCGGTGAAGAACACAGAGCCAAGAACTCCCACAGATCTGTGCGCAAATCTCGGATACGGGGATTACTCCCCACTTCATGCAGTTCTTTCAGAGCCGGAGACACAATTGTCTTGACATAAGTCACAACAAATCGGCTGGCACTCGCCACAGACCCACACGCATTGCGGCTGGCGAGTGGATGGGGGTCTCCCACTTCCATTTCCATTCGGGAACCAAGTCGGTGGTTTTCGTGTTTGGTCTTTGAACATTCGGCTCGACAGGAGCAGGGCATTTCCCCAGTGACAGCCACGGTGCCGGTGGCAAATATGTGATACTGCGGCAGCCCCCAGCTTGACATTATGTTTGACATTTGTAATCTCGTGATCGTTAATTATTTTCGAATTGAGTTACAAACATAGAGGGTCTTGGGTCTTTTCCTACACTTAGCTGCTGGCTGCAACAGAGTATCCAGCGCCAGCGCCAGAGCCAGAGCCATGAAGGGATGAGGCAACGTCAAAGATCACACATACGACAAATGTGCTACCTATAGGATGGAGTAGCAATGCAGGCATCTTCAGAGATTTCCCTCCACTTCACTGTTATACTCCTTACAAAAGAAGTCGAGGAGGGCATATAAGACTGTTAGAGAAGAGGGTTTTATGCAAAAATCCTTTTTTTGTGAGCTTCCAATGTTTCGTTAAAAGGTTTCATTTAATATATAAACAATAAATTAAAGATATCCTACATATTTCAATTCATGTTTACATATGGATTTATTGATTTATTAATACTGAGTCCACTCCGATTTAATCATGTGCAATCTTCAGCCTAATGCCGTCGATATGTCAATGGATATCCCTTAGTCGATACACCTTTCCCACACCACATTCTTCCTTCTGCTCTGCTGCTGTCTTCGTCGTCGAGGAAAAGTATTCGAAATATGTTCAATGAGGGCCGCAATTTGTTTGGTCTCTTCGTGAACATTATCTCCGAGTGCTTGACTTTTGTGCTAAACGTTCATAAATTTGTCTTAACAAATATCTTCTAGTTGTCGGGCTCCCAATGAATGATGTAGATGGTTTCATCTTCTTGTTTTTTGTTGTGTCTTTGCTTGGATCTATTGAAGATTGCTTTGCTGGACTGTTTTAATGGCTTTTCAAATACGCATGACATCAATTTCGGGCAATTATGGAAGATTAATGGAGTCCAAAGTTGAGCACTTGCAGTTTAATTATGATATTTGAGTTATTCATGCGACTACCGATAAGAATAGAACCTTCGCTAAACCGAAAAATTGGAAAAGGAATTTAACTGAATTGGGCAAAGCGGATGATCGGCTATCGGTTGTGTGACTTGTTAGGTAATTGGGAAAATGTTTGAACATCGCCTTCAAAATCATCATCATTGCTGTAAGTTGATGTTGATTTCCCCTTGTGATTTATGGCCGCCAATCGACATCCGGCCCGGTCAGAGCCAGAATAAAATGCTCTCCGCCACATGCAAATTAGTCACGTATTCCCTATTAGAGCAGGCACATCGATTCCCCCCTTGGGGTCTGGATGATGAAGATGATGATGAGTCAAGAGCAGAAGCAGCAGCAGCAGCGGGCAAACATTTTGCAACGTGCCCAGTCTCCAAAACAAATTTGATTAATGAGAGATGATGCTAGTTGCAGTTCCATTTCGAGGAGCAGTAGGAGTCCAGGTCTCATTCTATTCCTAACCTTTCTGGGAGGGATGTACAAGTGCAACATTTTGTTGACCCTTTGGAGTGGTGACTGCCTGCCTCGACGACGCGTCGGCACTGACTGTTGGTCTTATTAGAGGTGCAAACATGCCACCGTCGTGGAACGATCTTCGTGTGTCGGTCACGATCAGAGGAGAAATAAATTTCAGGTGCATATCCCAGGTCGCCTCGCCGTTGAGATGTGTTTGCTTATTTGCCAACGGGAACGAAGAACAGAACCTTCGAGCGCTAAAAGATATTTTGTTTGTTTAATTTGGAGTTAAGCCGCTGATCATGTAGAACAGGCAGTGCCCAGGAGCAGCAGCGTGCTACTTTATTTCTAATAAGGACCCTTCCTGACTTTCCGGTTTCCCGGCTTTCCACTAGTAAGCGACTTGATCAATGCAAGCACTTATGCCCTGCCCTCAAAGTGGTTGCCTGATCCGATCAAATCCGATCTCGAGTCGAGGCTGAGCAGCGGCAGCAGCAGCAGCCGCATCACCAGCTTCACCAGCTTCTGTTAATGAAAGGCAAACAGCTACAAAAATGTGAAGAGGTCGGGCAAACAGCTTAAAAAATCATAAACTCTGAAACGAAATGGAGATGCATATGGCCGTGCCCTTGCCTCTAACAGCCCTAGCCCTGGGCCCTATTTGGTCAATATTTGCTCATGGATTCTCGTCTCCGTTCCGTTGTCCTTTCGGATCCCAGCGGAAATTCGAAACGGATTCGGTAGCCGGCTGATGCTTCTGTATTCTGCATCTGAATCTGTGTTTGGTACAAATGGCTTACAAATGGCTCTGTTTGCCATGAAATCGTATACTTTTACTTAGCCTGGTCGTTATGCTTGACTTGTAGAGATCGGCGTCGACTTTCGCGGGTGGCTGTGGCAACCCTTAGGGCACATCCTCCCCGCACAGTATGCCATAAAAAGCTCAATTAAAATTGTCTATAGGGCAACATTATAATTCATAAATTCTGGGAAATTGCCGAATACAATGGCGGTCATTGTTTGTCAGTGCCACTCCACTCCACAAACGATAAACAAATTACAAAATGCTCCCAACGACCACGCAATCCAGAAAGAAATGTGCCTTCTTCTTTTCGTTTCCATTTTCTTGGAAATTTCTCAACACTTGCGCTTTTTTAGCAAACAAATGCCGACGGCACTTAAAAGTGTAAATGGCTCTTTTACTCCTTTTATAAATTATTAAAATATCATTAAAGTATTCAGAAAAAGCCACTGATGCGAGTAAATCCAATTACAGGAGCAATTAACAAATGTTAACTAACTAGAACTAATTAAAAATAATATTTCGCTAAACAAAATGGACGGCGGCAATAGCGGCAAAGAAAAAACAAAAAACGAAATCGGTAAAAAATATATTTACGAGCATTTGATAACAGTGTGGTCTGTAATAAGATTTTTCCTACTAAAAATTCTAGTTATAATTTAAATTTAAGGAGATAATAGATTATATCAGAGCAAAGAAAACGAAATAAAAACCTGGTTTCCTTCTTACTTGATTTCACTGTACATTGATAAATCTGATTTTTTAGCAATGCACATTTCTTATCATTTTGGAATGAATTATAATGCTATACACCAGATTGTAACGTCTTCTTCCTGCTTGTCTGGTTGATAATTTTCAAACAAAAAGTGCATTTATTGGACAAGGCATTCGATTGATGTGGAGATTATGCCATTTAAAAATGATTCCCTAGCGAGCACATTTTCGATGTCAAATGTCGAGAGGCAATGAACTTATTTTATGCCTAATTGAATTTAACAAATTCAACATTTCAAAATGATAAGAAATTTTGTTTATTCGATCATTAGAATACATTGTAAGATTTATGAGACTTTTGAAGTGATTGCATGGGCGAAAAAAACTCAGCGAACCCCGATGACAACAATACCTATCACGCCTATCCGGCATTTTGTGTGTTGAGTTGTGTTTAAAAAATACAAAAACAAAGAAACATTTCAAATCAAATTAATAAGCCGGCCGTCAATTAACACGTTTTCACGTTAAGCCAAGCGTTCTGAGAAAATGGCCCACTTAATTGTATTAAATCGTAGAAAATTCTGAGTAATTGTATGAATATTCACAACATTAACTGCAACCGAACAAATAAAATAAATAATACAATGAAATATCAAAATGGCTGCCAATTTGGATTTGTGTTTTTTTTTCCATTTGTGTTGGGCCCAAATGGAATATAAATTTGGCATGAAATGATGTTTTTGATATTGAGGGCAATATTTTTTCGGGTTGTGGGCTTGGTGTGTGATCCGATCAGTGGAAGAGGAACGCCCCAAAAAGTTACAAAGAGAAGATAAAGGAAAAAAAGCTTAAAACGCCATTTGAATGCTCTGACATATTTACATATGTCATGAGAGAAGAATTCTCGACAGCTGCAAGACATTTAAACCATTTATGGGGCTGTACATTGTTCTGCCATTGCTGGATGCCAGCTTTGATTCCATCACAACTTTTTCATATATTCTATATAATCGTTACGATTAAGGATTTCATCAAAGCAAGCACCTAAGGAATGTGTCCATACCCCTCGAAAGGGTATTCAAGTGCATGGCAAATTGAATTTCCTTTCTCAAAACTATACAATTTCTGGGTTTATGCACATGTGCATGTGTGGCGGCCTGGTCCCATAAATCTTTGGGTCTTGGCAAGCGGTTCCTTCTCCTTCGAAAGACCCCAATGGCAGAGGCAGGTTGATTGACAGAGCGCCGTCGCGATGGGGAGATGCCGCTTCATATATGTTTAATTTGTGTGATTTTCTTTTTATGAAATTTATATGCATTCGTATTGCAGAAAAAATTAATTTAACAACTCAGTTGAGTTGTGCTGAGGCTCGGCAATTGCATTGCGTATACGCCGCGTGCCCCCGTCCCCATATGCACATACATATGTAAGCATTATAATACTGTATACTACAAACATACATACATAGTTAGTTGCAGACTTTGTTGGGTTCTTGCTTAGACTTATAAATAGCACCCTTCAATGTGTTTCATTTTTTCTTTCTTTTATATATGTACTAACTATGTGCACTTGTCGACAATTTTGCATTCGGAGCGTTGCACAATTTGCCGCACAATCGCATTTATTTATCAGTAAATTTCACAGAGTCGCCCAGCCGGGAGAAAGAGGAAGCATCTCCCCTTGTCCGTCCGCCGGTCCGTCTGTCCGACTGTCTCTTTGAACTGCTGGCAATGCCATTTTCCATCTTAATCTGCAAAAGTTCAATTTCAAGTGTTATCAATGGAAAAGAGATCGCTATTTGTTTACTCAACATCGATCGATGC